AACAATGAAACTTATAAACATATTCAAGAACTTTTCAAACTATAATACAAAGTTATAGTAATCAAAATAGTATGGTACTGGCATAAAAACAGACACATAGACGAATGTAACAGAAATGACAGCCCAGAAATGAAGCCATGGAACTAATATTTGACAATAAAGCCAAAAATACTCAATGGGGAAAGAATAGTCTCTTCAATAATTGTGGCTGGAAAAACTGGATAGTTACACGCAAAAGAATGAAATTGGACCTCTCTGTTACAACACTCACAAAAATTAACTTGAAATGGATTAAAGACTTAAGTATAAGACCTGAAACAGTAAAACTCCTAGAAGAAAACATAGGCGAAAAGCTCCTTGACATCAGTCTTGACAATGATTTTTTTGGTTGTGACACCAAAAACACAAGCTACACAAGCAAAAATAAACAAGCGGGACTACATCAAACTAACAAGCCTCTACAAAGCAAAAGAAACAATCAACAAAATGGAAAGGCAACCTACAGAATGGGAGAAAATATTTGCAAGCCATATATTTGTAAGGGGTTAATATCCAAAATGTATAAGAAACTCATACAACTCAATAGCAAAAAAAAAAAAAAAACACACACAAAAACAACCAAATAACCAATTAAAAAATGGGCAAAGGATGTGAATGGACATTTTTCCAAAGACACACAAATGGCCAACAGGTACATGAAAAAGTTCTCAAAAGTCACGAATCCTCGGGGAGATGCAAATCAAATCCACAATGAGATGTCACCTCACACCTGTTTGAATGGTTATTATCAAAAAGACAAGGATAACAAGTGTTGGTGAGGATGTGAAACAAAGCAGCTGGCGGTAGGAATGCAAATTGGTGCAGCTACTGTGGAAAACAGTATGGAGGTTCCTTGCTGGTCTGGAGCCCGGGTGCAGACACGGCACCGCTTGGCATGCCATGCTGTGGTAGGCGTCCCACATATAAAGTAGAGGAAGATGGGCATGGATGTTAGCTCAGGGCCAGTCTTCCTCAGCAAAAAGAGGAGGATTGGCAGCAGTTAGCTCGGGGCTAATCTTCCTCAAAAAAAAAAATAAATAAATAAAATAAATAAAAAAATAAAAATAGAACTACCATATAATTCAGCAGTCCTATTTCTGGATATATATCTAAAGGAAATGAAATCACTGTCTCAAAAAAGTAGTTGCATGCAAAAGAATGAAACTGGACCGCTATCTTATACAGCTTACAGAAATTAACTGGAAATTGGTAAATAGCAAATGCTCTATAAAAAGATAGATTGTGGGGCTGGCCAGGCAGCACAGCAGTTAAGTTTGTATGTTCCGCTTCAGTGGCCCCGGGTTTGCCGGTTCAGATCCTGGGTGTGGACCTACACGCTGCTTATCAAGCCATGCTGTGGCAGGCGTCCCGCATATAAAGTAGAGGAAGATGGGCATGGATGTTAGCTTAGGGCCAGTCTTCCTCAGCAAAAAGAGGAGGATTGGTGGCAGATGTTAGCTCAGGGCTAATCTTCCAAAAAAAAAAAAGATAGTTAAAAAGATAGAAAATCCAAATGAAGGAGGAGGGGAGAAGAAACAAGAAAGTTTGAAAGAAATACCCTCCACTAAAAAAATGAATAAATTCAAGCCCAATTGCATTCACGGGCAACTCTAATTGGAACAATCGAACCTAGCACCATTCTTAGCAGGAAAACAACAGAAGTATTCCCAGTAAAGTCAGAAACAAATTAAGGGTGACCATAATCATCACTGTTACTTAATGGGTAGAGAGGGTATTAGCCAATGGAACTTGACAACAACAACAACAACAAAAGGAAGAGACATTATATCATTGTGGTCATTATGTCCCTACATTATATCACTATAAGAGAATCAACTGAAAACTACTGCAAACAATAAGACAATTCAGAAAAGTGGCTGGGCACGAGATTATTATGCAAAAATCAATAGCTTTCCTATAACTCAAAGCACAACTGACTCGATAATAGAATGAGAGAAAGGATGCCTGTTAGGATAATAAGCGAAGAGATAGAAGATTGTGCAAACAAGCAACATGCAAGAACTATATGAAAAGAGCAGCTCCCACTGAGTGGCACAAAAGAAGTCTTGAGTAAATCGAAAGGCACCCCCTGTGTCTGCTAGGCAAAACTCGATTTTATTTATGCTGTTAATTCTCCTTTTGCTCATCTATAAATTTCAGATCACAAAATGTTTATTTTTTTAATGGGCAAGCAAAAATATCCAGGAAAACTCTGGAAAAAAACCCCAAACTGGGTAACTAGTTATTCCCTTCCTCACTCCTTACCTGTCCAGGAAGGAGAATGTTCCAGAGGGAGCACTACACTGGGAGCCACTCTCCTTGAAGAACGACTGGGAAAGGGCCCCAAATGGCTCCCTTGACAGGAACGCAACTCTACCCGCTCCCTCTAGAGCAACATCGCTGCAGCGAGGCAGAGCCCGGCTCCCTGCAGCCCACATCTTCCTGCAGCCGCCATCCTGGGCAGCCTTGGGTCTCCCCAGCAGAAAGATGTAAACACCACGTCCCCTAGCTGTCACCCCTGAGTGGCACTTCAGAGCGCTGGGAGCTCAGGTCCTTGCTATCTGAAAGCTCTGCCACCACATTTCTAAGAGATGCTGTTATGGTTTGAACGGTGTCCCCCAAAAGACACGGTGAAGTCCTCAGAATGTGGCCTTATTTGGAAATAGGGTCATTGCAGGGGTAATTAATTAAGAGGAGGTCATCCTGGAGTAGAGCCGCCCCTTAGTCCAATATGACTGGTGTCCTTATAAAGAGACGGCTGTGTGAAGGCCCAGAGAGACACAGGGAGAACGCCATGTGAGGGGAGAGGGTCAGAGTGATGCGTTGACAGTCCAAGGAATGACAAAGATTGCGGGCAAGTCACCAGAAGCTAGGAAGAGGCAAGGAGCGGTCCCCTACAGATTCTAGAGGGAGCATGGCCCTGCGGATTTCTCCACAACCGTGAGACAATAAATTTCTGTTTTAAGCTACCCAGTTTGTGGTACTTTGTCACAGCAGCTCCAGGAAACTAACACAGGCGTCCACGGGCGGGATCCGTGCACTGTGCACCACTAGGGCCGGCAGCCAAGCGCCTGGTGGAAGTCGCCGCGCGGAAAAACCGAAAGAGTTTTAAACAGGGAATTCTGACCAGTCTAGCTAGTAGCACAGGGATCCCGTGCTTCAGACACACTCTCAGGGCAAGACTTGGCTCCAGTCCCCTTGTCTTTTGACACGCCTCCAAATTTGCCCAGCTTCTGCCCTGAGGACTATCTGGCCCGGGCTGACTCCTCCTCATTAATGGCAGCCCCTGCTGCAAGGAGCCCACCTAGCCACGACCAACGTGGTCTGTTCTCAACACCAGTAGTCCGAGGGAACCTGGGGAGAGTGGAGCCTCCGATGGCCCCAGACTGGACTTCTGGATCTGATATCGCTGCATAGAGCCTGCAGCACTAAATTCTGGGGACTAGCTGGGCCGTGTTATTTGCATTCCAAATCGTGGGTCCACCCAGGTCACACGTAGGCCCCTCACTCTACTTGCATCTCTCTCACTACCCACCTGGTAAACTTCTACTCGTTCTTCACAAACCAGGTCATGTCACCTCTTCATCCAGCAGGTAAGTTAATCACTCCCCACCTTGTGCCATCACTGGACTCCTATATACGTTCCTCTGTTACAGCTCTCATCACATCCTAGAGGAATCGTTCACTAGACCAGGAGCTCCTTACAGATGGGGACCACGTCTTCCTCTCTGACTCCTTAGTACCTGGCACTGTACCCCTCCCCAGAAATGCTTTATGGCTTCCAAGTGCTGTCATATGCATGAACCTTTCCAACTGTTGATAGAATGTTAGAATGTTCTTACTTACACCAGGACAAAATCTCTCTTCTGGGATAATTATATTTGTAGCTGGTGATTCCTCTCATCGAACAGAGCTCCCTGAGAGAGAAATGCTAGTTCTTTGCCTTCCTCTGGCCCTAACCCCATTTACACAGAAGTCGCCCTCGGTAAACGCAACGACTGCCACACTTCCAACTTCCAGGAAAGCACCACGCTAACCCCATTACGTCCCTCTGCTGCTTTCTGTCCCGTGTATCTCCAGGGAACCAGGCAGTCCAATTTGTTTAATGCCATGTGATCTGCTGCACCCACACCACATTTTACGGTCTTAATTTAATTTATTACAGACATTGTGACGTGGCTCTGTTTTTCTGAAAAACAGGTCACCTCTTACATTAGTTATGGGCCATCAGCCCTCTCCTAGTTGACAAGGGCAGGAACTTTTTCTGTCTCTTCTAGTAATGGGTAATATTTCCTCCTGGAATAAGAATCAAAAACTTTAATAATGTTCATAACCTTTGACCTAGCAAGTTCCACTTCTAGAAGTTTACCGTAGGAAAATGGCCAGAGATATGCAGAGAGGGGGTTTACAGCAGCACTATTTATATGTAACAGGGGAGACCCCACTGAGAATTTGGTGCAGTCTCTCCAAAGCAAACGTGAGGGATGTGGTGGGCCACAGAACATCAACGTGCCTGAGCCTGAGGTTGTAAGGAAGTGGAGAAATGGGGCTCTCCCGGCCCCCCAGCACTAACAGGGGTCGAGGTGCAGCACGCCCTGAGGGGCTTGGAGACAGACCCCACGCTGGACTAGCCTCTTGCCTCTCTAGTCTTTGGGTCATCTCCTCTCCCAAGTTCTCCTGGTCTCCCATGTATCTCCAAGTCCTCCCTGGGAAATGGCCTAGTTCAAGGGCATCTCACAGGACAAAGCCTAGAAGGATGGGTGGTCCATCCCTCCCAATCCAATGTGTCCTCACCTCTCACTGCGAGTCTCCACTCCACTCTCTTTCTCTGTTACTTGGAGAGTCAAAAGCTTCATTTCCTAAGTTTTTCTTGGGAGTTTCTCTCTGCTTCCTCCCTGCCAGGCCTGGGTTTAAGTGAACACAGATGGCCCTTTACCAACTTCCCTATCACAATAAGTTAGTTCAGTGCATACATTGTTTACTGGTCAGGTTCTTTCAGTTGCAAGTAACAAAAACATTCAAACAAATTTCAACCAAAAGAAGAAAGGGAGAGAGAGAGTAAACAGAGGGAAAGAAAAGAAAGTGAAAGAAGGGAGAAGTCTAGGAATAAATGACTTCAGGTACAGCAGGATCCAGGAGTCCAAAATATATCATTAGAGTCCTCTTACTCTTTACCTTTATTCTCTGCTTTCTCAGGATTGACTTCATGCTCAGGCTGACTCTCCTTCCTCATGTAATAGCAAGGATAGCCATTGGCTGCTCTAAACTTACATCATTTTCCCAGCTAATGATTCCATCAGCGGCCATGTGGGGTGGGGTCATCTTTTTTGCTAGTTCCAGGAAATATCTCAGACAAGGCTGAGTAGCCTGGCTTGGGTAATGTGCCTAACCCTAAACCAATGCTGGTGGCCAAAGGATATGCGCACATAGATATGATGTACATATCACAGATCCACCCTTGGTGCTGGGGGTGAGGTGGGCTTCATCTGAACTTCATGGACTGAGAATCGAAGGAAGGTAGTTCCCTGAAGAGATGCTAGACAGAGAAGAGAGCAGATGCTTCACACTTGACTGGCCCTCTCCTGATCTCTGTCTGTCCTTGTACACAGTCACGTCCCCCGTCTCTCCTGCCTTTGGTCAGGAGTCTGCTAATTTGATGTTCAGCAGGCAGTCCCATGTTCCAGATCAGTGATCTGTCTCCTTCATGCAGCTCCTGGTATCAGATTTGGGTCTGCTCTGACAGCAAACAGCAACGGTGGCTAAGTAGGAAGATCCCTAGAGTGTGCCCATATGTCCGGCTTCACACCGAGGGAAGCCCACTTCCTTTGCCCACCCCAAGGCAGAGGTCACTGCAGCGGGCCCCGCACAGAGATGGGGACTCCCAGGGCTGCAGCCACGGCTGCACAGGTGGTCGTGCGGCTTCAGCCCTGCACAGGCTTAGCATGGCGCGCTGTGCCCTGACCCAGGTCTGCATCTGCCCAGAGGAAGGGGGATCTTCTAACAATTCATAAGGCTCCTGATGGACTAACAACCTCCTGCGTGCAGCACAGGTACAGACAAGGGCTGACGGCTCCAAGGCTGACACAGGAAGAATTTCAAGGCTTGGCCTTTAGACCTGGGTGTGATGTGGCCGAGGTAGAGAGGCAGCGAACCTGCAGCTCGGTGCTCCTCCGGTCAGGCAGACATCTTGCTCCTCACTGGCTGCCAACATCACCAAACTCTGGGGAGTGCTTCTCCGTGAATTGACAGAAGAGGCCACGGGGAGCAGCAGCCACCCAGTGGATGTACCGTGGTCTCATTTCCATCCTTTGCACTGCTTTCAGCTGCTTTGGGAGTAGACCCAAATGAAAGAACTTGGAGTAGGACCTAAGTGGTCATTCTTGGCCACCCTCAAACCCAGACGAAACCTCACAGGTCAGCCAAGCTCATCAACGAGCTATGAGGCTCCATCCCAAACTCCAAAAAAGAGCTTTTGGGTGGAGTTACAGGCGCATACCAAGACAGCCATGTGTTGGCTTCACGGATCCGTCCATTCAGGCTTGAGGGGCCCCTGCACGGTTAGGAGAGCTCAGTGGCTCTCCTTGGCGGCTGAGGAGTGGCCCTGGGTGCCTGTGTTGTTGTCACTGTTGTCGTTGAAAATGGAGCGTTTACTATGTTCTGAGCACATTACGAGTGATTTACATACATTATCTCATCTAAATTTTACAACAGATCCACATTAATATCCTTTTTTTAAAAAGAGAAAACTGAGAGTAAACAACTTGCGCACCATTACAGAACTGCCAGCTGAGGGGTACCGTGCAGTCAGTCTGAGTCTCTCCTTTGGTTGGGGGAGTTCTATCGCGGCCTCCCAGCACCCACATACTGAGATGGGCCTCTCCCATAGCATCTGGCTGTGGGAGAACCCTGTGAAGAATGGGTGGTGTGACCTGGCACGTCCAGAATGTTCCCTGGGCTCCAATTCTCTGGTTCCAAAAGCAAGGAGTGCATGAGCACCCCCTCCAGGTCTTCACTCCTCTGCAAGGTCTCAGAGAAGCTGCTTACGCGGGCGGCCGGCTGAGGCTCCCATTCAGACATGGCTTCCTCCGCCACTGGAATTAAAAGTTTAGGGCCATATTGGCTCTAAGGTTCTCTGACTCCCCGGGTGGGATTGTTTCCTCTGTGGCATTCCAGGTTCTGTAGAAAGTTCTAGTTTTTGTAGACTCAAAGCAAAATCTGAATGTCCTTGGAGAAGGTCTGGGTCCCTTTGGGCTGGTGCCCCCTATTTTCCCCTTTGGTCCCTCCCTTGGCTCCAGAACAGCCCACAGAGTTATCTCACATAACAGATGCCATGGTGGGGTGGACTCCATGAGCAATACAAGCTCCAGATCAACAGCGTCAGCAGTGGTCCGGGTTCTGTGGCCTCTCTGCTCCACCCTGTCACTGGGTGGGCTCTGTCCTCAGCTAGGCTTCCGAGGGGCTGTCTTCTTCTTATATCTGTTTTGTTCAAAGGAATGAAAGCTTTCCCAGAGGCTCCCAGGAGACACCCTTCTTTGGCCATCGGGCAAGAAGAATGGATCACCATGTTGAGCTGAAACTAACAGCCCAGGGACCAACAAAAGCTGAGGGGTCAGCTATCCTGACCCCCAAAGCCTTCAAATTTAGCACTTGTGGGTTCACCAGGGTATTGAATGCCAGGACAGGATAACACATCACAGAGACCACCAAGGTCCTAAAAGTCCATCTCCAGCTCCCCCTAGTGGGGGTTCTTCTCCTGTTCTTGGGGCATCCATGTTTTGTACCTGTGAAGTCACTTGGTGGTTTGGCAAGCCTAGAATAGTTTCCCATAAACCTCTTACAACAGCCAAACTCCAGGATATTTTAAGTCTTGATCATTAATAAGTGGAGCCAATATCTTTTCAAAGTTTGAGTGCAGCCCTTGTTCTGACAATATATGCCTGTCACATCTTACTGTAGTCTGGCAGAATGTGCGTATATCAAGGCACCACTTCAGGTCTGTCTTCTCCTGACAGTAGAAAATATGAAGGAGTTCATTCATGCTCCTCTAAGGTCCTGCTGAAAAAAATTATGTCATGTAAGTAAACTAGATAATCCACATCCCCAATCCCCTTGTCCATGGAGTGGTGAAAGGGTGCAGTGATCCTTGAGATATTCTGGGGCATCCCTTCTAGTTGACAAAATTCTATGGAAAGTTAAGAACGTGGGTTTTTCCCTCACTAACCATAGGTTTCTCTTAGCACCACTCCTCACCAACTATCACCAGCTTCCTGTCTGGCAGTGGGTCTGAACTCTGAGAAAACCTACGTACATCCCCATTGAGGTTGACTGTTCCACCCACTACCACAGTGGGGGGGCTGTAGGCTTCACTGAGAATCAGCAGCTCTTCAAAGAGTTTCTGTAATCCCTGATTTCAAACAATAAAATCTATTTTAATCTGCTCTCAGCAAACATAACCCACATTCTATTCACGGAGAAAGAAAACATCATTCTAGTTTAGGGCTTCCCTTCAGTGTCTCCTCCTGATCTCCGGGTAATTAGAAATCCCTGAGATCAAAGTCCTGTGGATTTATCCGCAGATCCAGGTGGAACGGACCCAGGAGCTGGCAGAGGGACAGTCCTTGGCTCTGTGTGGCCTCTACCCACTCTACCCACCACACTGAGGGGGGGGAGGACCACTTTGCACCTACATGCTGCCTTTGGAGAGTGCCAACGTTTTTTAAAGGCTGAATTTAAAGTCAGACAGTGAGTAGTTGGAAGAGCCAGGATCCAACTCAGGTCTCACTCCAAATCTGCTTTCACTTTGCCAAAAGCAAAGCTGTTGATACGTCTGTCTACCTAGAAGACCCAAGAGAATCAATTGGAAATCTATCAGAGCCACAAAGAGAGCTCAGTAAGCTGACTGCTTTTAAAGTGACTGTAACCATTGCAGACAACATAATAAAAAAAAGTTACGATTTCAGGTACTTGCTAAAATCAAGGTGACTCCTTCTCTGGGCTGTTTCTAGAAAGAATCAAAAGAAACTGATGACACCGGCTGCCTCTGGGGAGGAAAATTAGGTGACGGGGTGTGGGGGGAGGGAACGGACGGACTTACACTTCACTATACTTTTGGAATTTTGATTGTAGTACCATATGTACATTTTACCTGTTGAAAATAAATAAGATTCCATGGGAACTAATAAGCAATGAGGCAAAAATTTCAGGACATTCAGAGGACATCAGACATCAGGACATGAGAACTGCCCTTGAGTTATTCCACCGCCTCTCTTTTACTTTCACTCCAAAGTAATATTAAACAACATTCAGATGCTATCAGATAGATTTCACCCTAATGAAATTCACTGTTTTTTCAAAGTCTAAGAAGACAGGAACCTCCTCTCCCACTTTTTAGGGACAGATAACAGAGGTTTTGCTGTAAGCTGGGGATAGTTTGCACTGGGGGATCATTTATTACCCCTTTTATTACTTCCCTTTGGACAACATAACTATCAGGTTGAGATCCAATTACGTTTCAGAAGGCTCACTGTGCATATCTCTTTCTTTCTTTTAAGAGAGCTATTAAACAATAAGATATCGTAATTTGGGGCAGAAAGAGTTCTCACAGCAAACCTTGTAAGCATTTAGAGGTTTTATTCTTCACAATGGTTAAACTTCCCTTTTGCAAAAGGTGCCCCCAGATCCTGGGCATCTTGAGTACTTCTTCTGCAAACTTTCCCCACTAAGTGGTGCCAGCACCCCCTCCAGATGGGCAAGTCTCCCTCATTCCGCTCCACCCAGAGGTCCCCTCACCAGGGACTGCGTGTGGAAGGAAGAGACTTGATAAGGACTGAAGCTGACGTCAACAGCCTCACAGAGCTGTCCTTGTCTCAGTTTGCTTCAACTGATCTGCTCCCCACCACACTTCCTGCCTTAAAGGGGGAACCCCCAGAAGCACATTGATGTGAAAAGCGAAACTCAGAACACCCAAAAACAGAATCCAAAACGGCCAAGAAATAAAAATAAGACTGTGAGAAAAAAATGAAATTCACAGGACTTCCTGAAGAGCAGGGAATTCAGGCAAGTCCTGCAGAGGAGCTGAATGATGGCAAGAGCCTTGGTCATGAATATGCAGAGAAGATTTCTGGAGAGAAGGACCAAGGTCCAGGGAGGGGGGAAATGTATCTTTCATCATATATCTTTTTATAGAGTTTGAATTTTAACCATGTGCCTATATAACTTTTTCAATTAAAGAAAACTATTTTTTTAAGTGGCCTGCCACCAGAGGCAGGCTGAGGTCAGAGTCACCATTCTGCAGGGTTCATCTCCAGGCCTTCCTGGAGCGGAAGGCAGGGAGCCTGTCCTTCCCGCCAGAAGGGAACAGCTCAGTGCATGACACATGGTGGGTGGGTCACACATCCTCCGGACTACATGTGCCTCCAAATTAGGCAGCTGATTATTCTGAGGACTCAAAGTCATGTTTAAAACCAGAATCAGCCCAAGTAAAATAGGATGAGTAATTTGCTTCCAGAACGTGGAGCACACAACACAGACGATGCTGCTTCCTTGGGAAGCTGGGCACCACCTTCTCAGGAACTCCAGGATGGGGTTAGTGGACATGACTCTGTCGTGGGGAAGAACGGAGGCTGTGAGTCCAGGCTAGCCCATCATCCTCAAACCATGTTGGGTCCTGACTAAGTTCCAAGGGCCAGGTCAAGATCACACAATCCCTGAGGGTCACAGAGCAAAGTTAGAGGAAGGGTGGGGCAAAGACCTTAGGGTCAGACTCATATAGGAGTGTCTAGCCCCCAGAAAGAGAGAAATGAGGGGGAGCATCCCCCAGTCTTCAATAGGAAATGCCCTTATCCTGAGAAAGATAGCTATCCAACAAGACAAGTGACAAGAATGGTGGCAGCTGGAGCAGTGTGAGTTAGAATGAGCCCTGAGGGTCTGTAAAGGGGCTAAAACGTATGATCAAGGTAACCTCTGTAGAAAGTCTCCCTTTAGGAACTTGAGCCCCAAAGAGTCTCTAGTGTGAAAGAAAGGGAGGTGGGGGTGGGGGAATCACTCAGCTATTAGGAGTTAGGGGAGATGGGTGACCGTGTCTAGAGTGAGTGGACGCCTCCCTTTTCTACTCCGTCGGGAATGTCCATCCTCCTGATCTAGTGTAGCTGGGTAAGGTCTTCTCCATGCTCCTCTGGGCTCCTCTCTCCAGACTCCATCGCTGTTAAACCTCTGGCCTCCTCAATAGCTCAGTCCTAAGGGGGGGTCCCAGATCAGAAAACAGGATTACTCCCCTCCATCCAATTGTTAATCCCCAAGAGACTTCCCCCGCCTTTCCCAGTTCACTTCAGAAGGTCTTCTTGCTCAGATCCAGCCACCCACACTCCCACTCCCAGGTCTTACGGACTTAGAAATACAAACTCGTTTAAATATCAAAATAAAAGAAAAACAGAATTAGTGGTCCAAGTTTCTACCACAGAAAATTTCCAAACTATCGGCTATTTGGAGTCTGGAGTCCTCCACTCTACTTCTCTATTACTGAGATAAAGACCCAGAAGATTACATCACAGAACCTTAGAGCCGAGAGAACCGGTGAGCCAGCAGCCCGAGGCCCTGGCGGGGTGACTCAGAGCACGGGTTTAGGAAGTGAATTCACCTGTATTCTGACTCCAGCCCTGCCGCTGCTTGTTCAATGGTTCTCAAAGTTGAGCGTGCACCAGAATCACTTGAAGGACTTTTAAAAACACACCTTGCTGGGCCCCATCCCTAGCGTTTCGGATTATTTAGTCTGGAGTGGGACCCAAGAATCTACATTTCTAACAAATTATCAGATGCTGCTGCTGCTGCTGCTGCTGCTGCTGCTGCTGCTCCGGGAACGACACTTTGAGCAGCACTCCGGCTGTGTGATCAGCCGCCTCCCATGTACATTCCGGATAATAATCGTAGGTATTTGCTGGTTTCCCTGAGACCTTGCACATGCAGCCCTAGCTCGTGGCACACAGTTAACACCTGCAGTTGTTGGATGCAGAGGAGGAGTCCTTTGTCCCAGACCACCCTGCCAATGAGAAGCAAACCTGGGACGGAGCCCCGGGGCTCCTCGCTGCCAGGCCGCCTTTTTCCCCTCCGGCGCCGCTGCCTCCGGGCTCTGAGCGCTCCGGCCGCGCCGCCGCCGAGCCCGCGCGGCGCAAGCTGCGGTTCCATGCACACGCGGCTCCGCGCCACCGGCGGCTCGGCTAATGCCTGTCGTCCTGGAGGGGGCTAGGACCCTCCGATCTTTTTCGGCGCTGAGAGCCTGGCCGCGGAGGCTGCATCCCGGGGTGGGCTGAGATCTGGAGAAGCTGGGCTCCTAGCAGCGGCCGGCAGGTGGGGCGCACGGGGCGGGGGACGCCCCCGACCCGGCCGCCAGCCTCCAGGCGGCCCTAGGAGCAGCAGGGCGTTCCGCTGCAGGCTGCAGCGCTCGGGGACGCGGCGGGTGACCGCCTGCACCTGGCCGGGCAGGGGAGGGGCGGGGAGGGCGCGCCCCAGCAGCCTTGCAGGGCCCGCCCCGGCCCCGCCCTCCAGGACGTCCCGTCGGGAAGCCGGCGAGCCGGTCGGCGGCTCGGCTGCGGCTCTGCCTTGGCGCGACAGGTAAGCGGCCGAGGCAGCCCGCGACCCTCCCAGGCCCCTCCACCCTCCCCCTGGCCTGGGAGCCCAGAGCTCTCCCGCTTTCGGGACTTTCCTCCGGTCGAGCGCGCTTCTGCCAAGTCCTTGCTCCCCACCTCCCCGCTCCGCCAACCTTCCCCTCCTCCGCTTCCTCCTCACCGCCCCCCACCGTAAGATGAAGGGGCTGGGCCAGCCTGGTCCTCATCCGTCGTGGTGGCCTCTGGCCCCTCCCTCGGTAGGACCCCCCTCCATCTTTGCGCCTTCCTTAAAGGATGAATGAAAAGCTCAGGCCTCTGGGTCTTGGAGGAGTGCGGTGGGAGAGGGACAAGCCAAGTCTCCCTCCCGGGCTTTACAGCCACTTCTCTTAACCCCCCCACCCCCCTCCCCGCATGCTTTCTGTGCCCCGTCTCCCCGGTTGGGCCACCCCCTGTGCTCCACTAAGAAAATCTTTCAGAAGCTTCCTCCTGCCAGGGCCACGTTGCTCCTGAGCAGGTGGGGCAAGCGAAGAGAAGCTTCCTGGTGGGGGTCGGGTCTCGGATGTCCTCCCTCTGGAGGCTTGGGCCCTTTGGGGAGTGGGAGCGGTGTGGTATTGTGGGGAGGGAGTCTGACGGGTGTTCATGACTCTGACTGTCACCAACTTCCCGCTTTCCCGGTCACTTGTTCCGAGCCCCAGGCGAAGCGAAAGGAGAAACAGTTTGCTACTCGCCCCCAGAGCCAGTCATCGCAGACTCTGTGTGTGCAGTGGGGCACCAGGGAGGGTTCAGTCTGCCAGCAAAGCTTGGGCCAGACCCCCTCTGTTAGCTGCTGGCCCGTTGCAACGGTCCCAGGAAGGACTTTCACATCCTGCTCTCAGCCCAGCTCCAGACCCACAAATGCAGTTTACAGACTCCGCGTGAGGTTAACAACTTGACTCACCAAAGAACCTGGGGCTGGTGCTCATCTTTCCAGAGATGTGTGTGCACTACCCAGGGCCTAGTCTCTCCCGTGGGTGAGCCCTGTCCCTCCCCATCCCAGGAAGGGTCAGAAGGGTGAGACAGGCATATTCGTGTGATGAATAGTACACACTAAGGTGAGGGGTCTGAAATACTTTGGATCCAGTTATCCAGCGGAAGCCAGTATCACCACAGGTACTTCCCCCAGCTCCTGTTCCTCACCAGTGTCATTCCCTTTAGGTCCCCAGAGGTGACAAGAGAAAACTACTTTCAGGGGCACCAGGGCACAAAGCAGGACAGGGCTGTCAAAGGGAAGAGGTAGTCTGGAGCTGGCGGAACCGAGAAGGAAACTGGACTGCCCAAGGTGGCCTCATCCTTGGTAATCACTGCCCACGGTCGGCAGGGCAGCTGACTCCTGTCTACAGCCACGTGGAAGAACTCGAGGGAGGCACTGCATGTCCGAGGCCCTCTGAGATCAGAAACAGTGGAGCCCAAGTTCACCTGGGAGAGACCTGGGTAGGAGACACGACCATGGGCTCAGTCTGTGTAGCCAGTGCCTAGAACAGAAGTCAGGAGCAGGAGGGCAGCTAACCCTGGGGCCAGAGGCCTCTCAGTGCAGGGCGGTAGTGGATATAAGGGAGGCAGGCAGCTGACTCAGCTCTGTCACTAATTTAGCTGTCTAACCTTGGCCAAATCACATAAACACTCCCTGGGTGGGGAGCAAATGAGAAGGTGTATTTGAAAGGGCTTTGGCAAAGCTCCAAGCACCAGCCAAAGCCAAGGCAGTGTGGTGTCAGGGTTAAGATCGCGGGCTTTGGAGAGATGTGGGCCTGAGTGCAAATCCTGCCTCTGCTACTTCCTAGCTGTGTGACCTTGGTCAGGTTACTTAACCTCCCTGGGCTTTGGTTTCCTTCTGTGTAAAATGGAGAAGATCACTGTGGGTTGACTTGATATGGTAAATAATAATATTAAAAACGGTGGTGGTATTGTCTTAAACCTTCTCTGGCTTCCACAAACATGTTGCGACATCTCCAGCCCTGGAAGTGAAGCTGAGGACCAGAGTGGGTGTCTAGGCACCAGAGGGACCCCAGTGAATGGTTGTGCCAGAGACTTGGGTAAACTTAGCTCTTCATGCAGCCCTCTGCCCCTCTCTGGAAAATCCCAAAATGCCAGTTCTCACTTGATGGGAATGAGAGTGAGGGTTTGAATAAACGAGAGGTCAAGTGCGGGGCAGTGCCTGTCTCTGTGTCCAGCTCAATGCTGTGATTGTGCTGCGTGAAAGGCTTGCTCAGTGTGCAAGGGTGGGTTCGGTCTGGGGAGAAAAAGGACTGTTAGAAGACTCTTTTGTGGCACCGGAGAGCCCTGTGGGGTCAGGTTATTCTGTACCCTCTGCGACCTGGTCCTGAGCCCTAGTTAGAGATTTGAAGGAAGGAAGAAAGCCAGTCCTCACCCTCAGCTATACCTGTGGCAGAGGACAAAGGACAGCAGAGCAGCATAACCAAATCCCTCAGGACAGAGGGATGCTACAGGGATTGGCAGGCCAGGTGGACTGGTCGGAAAAGCATTCTGGGGGCAGAAGATTGGGGGCCAGGATTTAAAGACCAGGAAGGAAAGAGAAGGCAGGATCTAGATGGCCTAGTATCCAGGCCTGTTGGTTCTGCCTCCCCTATGAAATCGAGTGGCGCAGTCCCACAGGGGGACACATGGGTGGGGAAACTGAGGACAGTAGGATGCTCCTTAGCCTGAGGCTTCTTAGAGGGGGGAGTTTCAAGGAAGAGTTTGGAAAGAGAAAAGAAATATAGCTTGTTTAGCAAGAAGATAAGGGAAAGAAAGGCTTTGAGGAGGAAAAGCTAGCCAGTGAGGGTGAGTGGCAGACAGGAAGCAGACTGCCCAGGCCGCGTGGCAAAGAAGGAATATGAATACGGCTGTTCCGACTGAGAAAGGAAGAGAGAGGCCTGAGGCAGAGGAGGCCGGCGGTGGCTTCGGCAGGTCCTCCAGATCCAGATGCTGGGCGATAAGGGCACCAGCTCAGCTGGCGGTTTGGAGAGCGGAGAGGAAGAGGAGGATCCAGGAGGCAGGGGATGAATCAGCAGGATTTGGGAGTGGGCGTGGAGTGAACCTGACATTGAGGAGGGTTTAAAAGCTCGGTGCCTGGGAGTGGGGCAGGGGTTGTTTCAGGGGTTTCGATGCTACCGGCGGCAGTGGGGGAGTTGAGAAGACTGGCCACTTAGAGGGCAGGGCACAGACCCGAGTTCAGAGCGTGGCATGTTGAGTCTCTGGTGGCCCTAGGGAGAAGTCCTACAGCCAGGAGCAGACTGTGGGGTGAGGACAAAAGGAAAAACTTCAGGTCTGTCTGCTCCCATCACCACCCTGAGGTCTGGAGACCAGCCCAGGGCTTCTGGAACACCCCTCCTGTTAACTCCCCCTCCACACCCAACCCCAACTGACACATGATACCACTCAGTTCAAGTTCCTTTTTTTGCCTTCTGTCAAACCCAGCCTGATTCCCATTGGGGTGCCTAGGTGATTAAGACACCCCACCTCCCGCCCACCTTCGTTCCTCCTCCATCCCTGGCTTGCTAGGAGCCAGCAGTGTCCAGGCTCAATGTGAGAACAATTGCACAGCCCTGCCCCACCTGGCAAGGGCCCGGAGGTCCTCCAGCGAAAAACCCGTGAGCTGGTGAACTTCCTGTCTGGTCACGTGTTACTTTGATTTTCAGTGACTTTTACAAACTTGGAATAAATCAACAAATATCTGCTGAGCATCCATCGGATGCCAAGGTATGCAGCGTGAGTGAAATTGCGCTCCGTTTTTCAATTGAAAATCCCGTGTTTGGGTTAAATGTTCAATGTTGAAGCTTAAAATGTTACACAAACATAAGATGAACCTAGATTTCCTGGGGAAAAAGCTTGATAGACTAGCTACAGAAATAACTTTCAGTGCATCTTTCTGGGAAAATAAGCCACAGTCCTGCAGCTTTAGTCCTGGGGAGAGGCTGAAGTGTCTTGAAGGTGTAATTATGGGGAAACCTCCCAGCCTTCTGTAATCAAAAGGATCAGAAGTGGGAGGAGGGGTTTGGAGGAGATGATTTGCAAGAGAACAGAGGAAGTGAAATGGGGGCTGTGTTTGATGGCAAGAAGGTTCTTTCGAAGTAAGGGAGAATCATTTGGGCAAAACAGACCTCACCAGTAGCTTAAAATTGATCTGTCCCCTCCCCAGCGTGATGTCTCACTCCACACACCTGCACCCTCTGTGACAGTGGTGACAGTCGTCACTTTTCCAAGAAACCTGTAATTGGGCTGTCGTGTGAGTAACTTGAGCAAACATCCTTGTGGTGGGGTTGAGACTGGTACTTCCTGGCTGCCACGTCTCCGGAGGTGAGCAGGTTGGTTGATAAACAGAAAGAAACTTTGTTACAAAGAGGCCACCTGGCCAGCAAGGGCGTGTTCTGGGTGGCTGACCCTGGCTCTCACAAAAGCTGAAACTTTGCCTGGGACTTCCAATTTCGGCCTTTTTAAAGCGTTTGTCGTCCTGGGCAGGATTTGGCGGAGATAAGTGCCAGATAGGGGAGGAAGGTGTCTATAAGAGAGTGGGGCGGTGGCGGGGGATCCCCCTGACCCCGGGCTCAGGAGTGCCAAACCTGGTCCGCAAACTCCCCCAGGTGATATCCAAGGGGGACGCAAGAGCAGTGGGAGTTGGGAGACTGGTGATGTCTGCTTCTGGAAGCCAAGAGCTGGAGAAGTCACCTGACCACTTTGGCCTCACCTGTGAAAGGAGGGTGTCGGACCCACAGACGTACCAGGTCAAAGTGGCGCCAAGGAACGAGAATGCTTACTGTCGTATGTGCATTCGAAACATCATGTATGAAGCCAGCACTTACCTTTGTGGCTTTGAATAGGTCACTTTAACCCCTCTGGGTTCATCTCATTTATTTACAAAAGTTTATGGAATGTCTACTACGTACAAAACTCATGCTAGACTTTGCAAGTGATAAAAAGGTGGAAGCATTGGTTTTCAAATTTCTGTGACTGGACCAAAGTAAGACTGCGTGTGTGCGTGTGTGGGTGTGGGTGTGGGTGTGTGTGAGGAAGAATGGCCCTGAGCTAACATCTGTTGCCAGTCTTTTTGCTTGAGAAAGGTTGTCGCTTAGCTAACATCTGTGCCTGTCCTCCTGTATTTTATATGTTGCATGCTGCCACAGCTAGGTCCACACCCAGGATCTGGGCTTGCAAACCCCGGGCTGCCAAAGCAGAGGGCACAAACTTAACCACTACATCCCTGGGCAGGCCTAAGAAAGACATTTTACAAAACTTAACCTACTCACCGTGTGACAGGGTATCCCAAAAGTCTTAGGGCAGTTTTACACTTTCCTCACTCAGAGGTATGAATTCTACAAACTAACAAAAAAGCGTGATTTGAAAACGTATTTTTTTTTTAATTTTCACCTTTCTTTGAGGAAGATTAGCCCTGAGCTAACATCCGTGCCCATCTTCCTCTACTTTATATGTGGGACGCCTACCACAGCAGGGCTTGATAAGTGGGGCTGTGTCCGCACCTGGCATCTGAACTGGTGAACCCAGGTTGCCAAATCAGAACGTGTGAACTTAACCGCTGCGCCACTGGGCCGGCCCTGAAAATGGATTCGTTTAATTTGCTTTCTTTCTTTTGTTTTATGAATTTTGAATAACAAATTTTTCATTTTAATTTTGTATCAGGAAATGTTTATCAGCTTAAATGGATGAGAAACATTAAAATAAAAATATATTATTCAAAATTCATAAAACTAAACAAAGTAAAAGAAATTTGAATAAAACTTTCAAATGATGTTCTTTGTAAGTCTGTGGCATTTATAATTCTGAAGTTATTAAAGCTTAAAACCGCACTACACTTTTTTTAAAGATTTTATTTTTCCTTTTTCTCCCCAAAACCCCCTGGTACATAGTTGTATTTTTTTATTGTGGGTCCTTCTAGTTGTGGCATGTGGGACGCCACCTCAGCATGGCTTGATGAGCGGTACCTTGTCCACGCCCAGGATCCGAACTGGTGAAACCCTGGGCCACTGAAGCGGAGCACGGGAACTTAACCACTGGGCCACGGGGCCGGCCCCCACACTAGACTTTTGGTACATCCTACACATGTATGTATAATAACTGAAATGAAATTTTAACAAAACAATACTTACCCGTATTACACATGAGCACTTTGGTATATTCTTTTTTGTCCTATTCTGATCTTTTAAAGAATTTTTTCCAGGGGCCAGCCCAGTGGCACAGTGGTTAAGTGCACACGTTCTGCTTCGGCTGGCTCTGAGTTCACTAGTTCAGATCCTAGGTGCGGACATGGCACCGCTTGGCAAGCCATGCTGTGGTAGGCATCCCACATATAAGGTAGAGGAAGATGGGCACCGTCGTGAGCTCAGGGCCAGTCTTCCTCAGCGAAAAGAGGAAGATTGGCAGCAGATGTTGACTCAGGGCTAATCGTCCTCAAAAAAAAAAAAAATTTTCCATGCTAATTTGCAACGCTTTAAATTTATTTCACAATCCTATGCATCAGTGGTTTGGTGGACACTGGGCTGGGTGAAACCTCAGTTCCCTTATACCAGTGAGAGAAGGTAAGTTTGTGTTCTGGCTGGTGGGGCCAGGGAAGCAGGTCCCATTTGCTCAACCTAGGAAAGCTTCCTGGAAGAAGAGGATTTCTGGTGTCTTCTCAGTACTGAAACCAAGATGATCTGATGTGTTATGATCCCAAGGGTGGCTGGAGGGAAAAGAGTTGGGGATGAATGCTCAGCAGCAGCAGGAGGGGAATGAGTGGTGGAGAGCTGTGGGCATACTTGCCAGTGGACCTGGAGGCCAGGCCGTGGAGCCCGAAGGTGAGGGAGTCACACAAGCCCACTGGGGTGGGGAGGAGCCTGTGAAGCCCTGCACTAGACAAAGTCCTACATGCCTACACTTCCTTCACCAAGCGTGGTTGGGGGTGACATCCCGACCTTGCTCACCACACTTCTGGGAATCGGCTCCTACACAGGGAGCAGGATCCTTAACCCTGAAGTCTTCTGGCTTCTGCCAGGTTGTGTGTCTCTCCTCAGGAACTCTTTCCTCTTGCCCGCATGCTGAGCACACAAACTAGAGAGCGAATCCCGTACGGCCAGGGCTAATCACAGGTGTCTCGTTTCAGGATGTGGTTAGTACCTTGAGAAAGTGCAGGCTCCAGCGAGAAAGCGTTGGACTGCGAGAGCAGAAGCCTGGGAAGGGCTTGGCGTGACCCTCGGTCTCCCTCTCCAGCAGAAACCTGATGTTCTAGTGGTTAAGATTCCCTGCTCTCGCCGCCACCGCCGAGGCGTTCGTTTCCCGGTCAGGGCACCACACCCATCTATCGGTTGTCATACTGTGGTGGCTGTGTGTTGCTGTGACGCTGAAAGCTACACCACCAGTATTTCAAATACCAGCAGGGTCTCCTTGGGGGAACAGGTTTCAGCGGAGCTTCCAGACTAAAACAGACTAGGAAGAAGGACCTGGCCACCCACCTCCAAAAAATTTGCCATGAAAACCCTATGAATAGCAGTGGGGCATTATCTGATATAGCGCTGGAAGATGAGAGGATGTTGCAAGAAGAGCAAGCAGGGTCCTGCTCTGCTGTGCACAGGGGCAGTAGGAGTTGGAACTGACTTAACGGCACTAACAACAACTCTTTCTCCAGGGCCAATAAAAGGAGCAAAGGCGAACCCCACTGCAAAGGACCACGAGGCAATGCCAGGAGAAAGTTGGCGTGACCTTGGTGATTCTGAGTGAGACAATCAGGGAGGCCTTCCTGGAGGAGGTGAGTCTTGAGCGCTTGGCAGCAGCCGGTAACTAAGCTGTTCCCACGCCTTTGTTTCTGACTGTGCTCCCTCTTTCTTGCTGGAGTGGACAGGCAGACAGAAAGTATTGGGGAAGGTGCAGCCTGCAGGATGGTGCAACACTGTCACGGCAAACACTTCCCCATTCTGCGGGCCCTCTGTCTGTGCTTAGCTGGGGCAGTTCCAGAACTGATGAGGGGTCTAGATCAAGCAGAAGCCCTTGTGCTGGCCCAGCAGACCTCAACCCCCAGGGCAGGAAAGAGCCTCTCCGTCGAATGCCCGTTTCCTCCTGGGCAGCTTCTGCAAGCCCGGGCAGCTCTGCCTTCCTCAGCTTGGCCCGTGGTGTCTGTGCCACTGCTCCATTTCAATTTTATTAATTTTTGCATAGGTAATGTAATCAGGGTTCAAAGTAGAAAAGGGAATTCAGAGAAGTATCTCTTCTTGTTCCTGTCCCCTCCCTGGACAGGTGCTCCCTGGACCCACTGCTACCCGTTCTTCTTCTCCAACTAGATTTTAAACTCCCACGGGGAACAGCATTGTCTCATACCTCTCTGTGTCCCTCTGTGTCCCAGCTGGGGTGAACTGTCCACCCAAGGGAGTTCTCCTGGCACCACACCCTCCCTCCTCATCAGCGCTGCTGCTCTCTTGGGTTGGACCCCAAGCCCTGTTAACTGGCCGTCCGGCTGCCTGGCAGATCCCTCTCCTGGACGCCCTCCACCAGCTGTCATGTTGCTTTTCCTGTAACGCTGGGCCCCCCACAAATCCGTTATTGCTTCAGGTCAGGTCAAGGGCAAACTCCTCGGCGTGATGACTTGGTTTCAGCCACCTTTCCAGGCCCATCTTCTGCTACTCCCATCAGGCTTCATGCTCCCACCATACTGAACGACTTGCAGTTCTCTGACTGGCCCTGCTGTCTCCTGCCTCTAGGCCTTTGTATATGTTGTTCCCTCTGCCTGGAGTGTGCTCACCTCGCCTGGCCAGCTCCTACTTGTGGGTTAGTGCTCAGCCCAAGCTTCTGCTGGGGGACCTCTTCTCAAACGTTACCCTCCCCTACTTGCATCGTCTCTCCCTCAGCACCCGAAGGTGACTCCCTCATGCTATCTTCTCACCAGGTGATCTCCATTTAAAATCTGGCTCCCCCGACTGACTGTATGCTCCTTGCAGGCTGGGCTTGCTCATCTCTGTGTCTCCTCATCTGGCAGAGGACCTGGCATACAGCACATATTCAATCAATACTGGCCAATTGAACATCTCCCATGTCCCAGACAGCACCTAACACAGAATAGACGCTCAACGAGATTTCATTTTATTTAATTTTTCATGCTGCTGCTGAATTTGTTATCAAAGGAAACCACCTGTCTCCCCCCAACCAGAGTGAACCCTGCTGCCCCTTGAGACCATGACGGCCACATAGTCTCCAGATCTAAGTGACCCCCGACACCGGGCCTCCCCATATGCAGCAGCTCGCTTGTTGAAATAACAGCAGTAAATAGTTCAACTGGAGTTACTTTTAAGCAAGACCTATCATGGGATAATGAGTGTGGCTTTGGCCAAGGACCAGGTGCTTGAGGATAATTGCTGGGAAGTTGAGCAAGGATTTATTCATCATAATAACAGAAATAATTGATACCATTTATTGAGGGCTTGGTATGTGCCAGGCACTCTGCCGAGTGTTTGACATACGTTATCTCTGATTTAATCCTCACCACAGCCCTGGGAGTTAGGTATTAGTTACCCCCACTTTATAGATGAGGAAATTGAGGCTTAGAGAAATTAAGAAATTTGTCCAAGGGTCACGCAGCTGCTAATGATAAAAACTAACACTTTTTGAAAACTTACTGTGTGCGGAGACTGCTAAGCTTTTTCCGTGAATTATTTCATTGAACTCAATCCTTCTGTGAACCCTAGGAGGCAGGTGCTGTTACTACTAGAAGGGGCAGAACCAGGATTTGTGCCCAGGTCTATTGCCACCGGTTTCTAGCACTTAACCCGGTAAGCCTTGTGCTTCTGGAGCACAAGAGGAAGTTTTGCAAACATTCATCCTCTGAGCCGTGGGACCACGTGCCTCGGGGTGGAAGCTGCTGACACACAAGCCCAGTCCTGCCTGCAAGGTGTTGTCATAGAATCTTGGATTAAAAAAAAACTTTTTATTAAATATGAATAGATGAAGAAGAAAACTGATAAAATATGTGAGGGGGTATAAAGAATAATAATACCAGCCGCCATCCACTTTAAGAAAAAAACTCTTTCCTTTGAGGTCCCCCTGTGTGTCTATTCCCATACCTTTTCCCCCAGAAACTCTGGTTTCAGCATTCCTTTATTTTTCTTTATAGCTTTACCGCATAGTCATTTTTGTAGTTGCAGAAATGTGTTGTTTAGTTTTACATTGTTAAATTTTCTGTAAATGGAATCATAATGTACATATCTTTCTGCAACTTGCTTTTTTTGCTCAACGTCGCCTCTGTTGTTGCCCCTCGAAGCAGTTTATTCTTTGTCGCTGCTGTATATCCCCCATGGGGTGGCTGTTTCACGCTGTTTGTTCACTCTACTGCTGATGGACATTTGGATTCTGCCTTGTTTTTGCCATTTTAGTCAGTGTGGCTAGAGACATGCTGGTACCTGCCCCCTGGCTCACGTGTGCTGGAGTTTATCTGGGATATCAAACCAGGAGTGGAACTGTGGGGTCATGGAGTCCGTACGTTTCAAATTGTACTTGATAATGCTAAATTGTTTCCCGAAGTGGTTATGTCATTTAAGTCTCTTCACGTCGAGTTTCGGTGTTCCAGTTATTCTAGATCCGTGAATGTCGGCGTCTTAGGGCAGGAAGGAAACGCTGCGCCCATCTCCTCGCTTTATGGACGGAGGAAACTTAGGTGCAGGGAAGTCAAGTGACGGGGTTAAGGCGATGTCACCATTCAGCTAGAGTCAGGACTTGAACCTCAAGCCCCCTCACTCCTCTCCCCACCCCTGGCTTGGCTCATTTCTCTCTCTCATCCCCTCCCTTTTCAGGCTCAGGCTCCAAGGGGTGGCCGCCACAACGCATCGAGCTCTTTGCAGGGTCCAGTCCAGCACTCGGAGCTGACCTAGCCGTGTCCCCGGTGGTGCCCGAGGATGAGGCTCCTCCGCAGACGTCACATGCCCCTGCGCCTGGCCGTGGTGGGCAGCGCCTTTGTGTTCTTCCTCTTCATCCTGCAGAGGGATGTAAGCAGCAGGGAACAGGCCATGGAGAAGCCATGGCTGAAGTCCTTGGTGAGCAAGAAGGATCACGTCCTGGACCTCATGATGGGGGCCGTGAACAACCTTCGGGATTCGATGCCCAAGCTCCAGATCAGGGCTCCAGAGCCCCAGGGGACACTAGTCTCCACAAACCAGTCCTGCCTCCCCGGGTTCTATACTCCAGCTGAGCTGAAGCCCTTCTGGGAACGGCCACCACAGGACCCCAGTAGCCCTGGGGCGGACGGGAAAGCATTTCAGAAGGACAAGTGGACCCCGCAGGAGACCCAGGAAAAGGAAGAGGGCTACAAGAAGCACTGTTTCAACGCCTTTGCCAGTGACCGGATCTCCCTGCAGAGGGCCCTGGGGCCGGACACTCGGCCACCTGAGTAAGTGGCCCGGAGTCCTCGGGTAAGGCCGGGGCTCTGCCAGAGTTGTGGCTGGTGTGGCCATGGCCACAGGCCAAGTGCCAGGTAGAGAGCTGAGGGGATTCTAGAACGTGGGCAAGGATTTCCTCTAAGCCTTCGCTTCTTTGCTTGACCAACTGCCCTTATCCCAAGGGGTGGGGTTCAGGAGTATTGTGGCCAGGCCAGAGGCCCAGGGAGACCTGTGGGAGCGAAACACAGTTATAAAGAGTGACAGGACAAAAGGAGGAACTCAGGGCACAGGGGCACCTGGGAGGGACTGATTCCAGCCACAGTTTCGGTGGCCTTGCTGAGGCCTGCCCCAGAGACCATGGCACCCTGCTGCTGGACTGTTGGGGGAGGGCCCTTTCCTGACGGCAGCCCTGGTGGTCAGGACCATCCCCCCACCGCCTGGTTTCCATCAGTGAAGGCCCACAGAGCCATGACTTCTTTCCGAGCTTTATTTGAAGCTGTGTCTACTTTCAGCCCTGGGCGGGGAACCAGCACTTGGATCCTTGAGCTGTGGCCACTTCACACCAGTGCAGCCGAGGTTGCGTTCACACTGTCCCCGAGTTAAAGATTTTGTGTCTTCCTCATTTAGACTTTGTCTTTCCAACTCAATGGTTATACCCTTTTTGGCCTTTTCTTACATGGCAGCCCGCATCCCCAAATTCATGATTCTCTAGGACTGCGAACCTGGGGTTCCCCAGATTTGGACCAAGTATTATAGTCCTGGAATGTGGGGCCACTTGGAGTCGTCAGGAGCTCGTCAGCGGGGAACAACGGTGTTGGCCATGAGGACGGCCAGTGGAGGAAGTTCAGGAGTCTCCTCTGGAGGGTCCAGGAGATATCTCTGACCAGCAGAGGAGGTTAAGAAAGGAGGTTAGGGGGCCAGCCCGGTGGTGTAGTGTTTAAGTCCGTGCGCTCCGCTTCGGCAGCCCAGGGTTTGCTGTTTCGGATCGTGGGCACAGACCTATGCACTCCTTATCAAGCCACACTGTGGCCTCCACATAAAATAGAGGAAAACTGGCACAGATGTTAGCTCAGTGACAATCTTCCTCAAGCAAAAAGAGGAAGATTGGCAACAGATGTTAGCTCAGGGCCAATCTTCCTCACAAAAAAAAAAAAAAAGAAAAGAAAAGAAGAAAAGAAAGGGGGTTAGGCCGCATGCTCTCTTGAGGTCCAGTATTCGCACATTCCCACCCCCCCACCCGAGAGAGTGTCAAGAGGGTGGCAGTGTGGCCAGGTGCACAGAGTGGTTGGAGTGGATGAGGATAGAGAAAAGGTCACAGAAGATTGTTTGTGATGGCAGTGTCAGATAGCAGGGAATTAATGAGGAAATGGGTTAGAGAGGGACTGTAAATTGTGCAGAGAGGAGCGCTTGTCTCTTGCTGAGTGTGGAAATTGTAGTCACTTTTCTCACATGTCAAATTTGCCCTTTATCACTCACCCCTTGGGGACCTCTGGATCCAATTACACTTTATGCAGTACACATATTACCAAGGAGGAAAGAGTCAGCCCCGGGAACTCCTACAGCAAATGAGAGAAGCGAGGGGGCAGCAGTGGGGAGCCCTCAGCAGTGCGGCAGGGGCACCGAGCCAGCTCTGGGGGAGGCAAGCTTTGGACTGGGTTGGCTAGGACCTGTGCAGAGGCTCAGAGTGGGTGGCAAATACAGTGTAAGCCAGTCCCAGGGAGCAGCTATTCTCAGCTACAACAGAGAATATAGGCTGGATGGTCAAGGGAATCTGTGAACAGAGCCCTCCCCACCCCCGGAACTCCCAGGGACCTGGAGAGCTATATCTACACTTTCATCCTTCCAGATGTGTCGACCAGAAGTTCCGGCGCTGCCCCCCACTGCCCACCACCAGCGTCATCATCGTGTTCCACAATGAGGCCTGGTCCACGCTGCTGCGGACGGTGTACAGCGTCCTACACACCACCCCTGCCATCCTGCTGAGGGAGATCATTCTGGTGGATGATGCCAGCACTGATGGTGAGGTTGGCGGGGGCCCTGAGGAGGGGGCTGGTGTCACCCTGGTACTCTGGGAAGGAGGACAGATTGTCTCGAGGGAGTAGGCACCTTCATTGCCTGTTTCCTGGCATCAAGCTCATCATAGAGGCCAGGAGCAGGGAGCAGACAGGTAGGGGACAGGAGGCAGGCAGACCACGTTCCTAGAGCCTGGACCTCATTCCCACTTCACCCAAAGAGCTCCAGAAGCTTTGCAGTTCTGGCTTCTGAGACTCCCTTAGAGCTGCCAGGCCCAACCCCGAGTCAGAAATGCTGGGAGTGGTCTGGGCAGAGGGTAGGAACAGGTCTTCCCTCTGTGTCCCACCTGCTAGACCACACTTCTGCTCTTGCAGATTCCATCCGCCTCAGAAGCCGTTTGTGCTATCGCTGTTAATAGTCCAATGAAGTTACTCACCAAACATCTACCTTCAAAGCAATTCCGCAAACATCTACTGAGTACTCTGTGCCTGGCACTGACTCAGGCAGGAGAGATTCCATGACAAATGACAAATGAGACAGATCTTGCGCTGAAAAGGCTGACAACCCTCACAGGTCAGATAGCGGCTTACAACACTGACTGCACCCCTAACGGACATGAAAGGGTGTGGCCTTGAGAGTCCAACACCCAGGAATTCAAATTCCAGCTCAGACTCTTCCTAGCTCTGTGAACTTGAGTAAGACACTTGGCCTCTCTGACCCTCAGTTTCCTCTTCTAAAAATGAAGACAATTGACTCCCTTACCTGGTGGACGAAGGATCAGAGACAGGTGATAAACGCAATAATTCACGTGCTACAGAGTACTTAGCATCGAGTAAGAGCTCCATAAGCATTCGTTTCATTCTATTCTCTGTATGGGAAAAACGTGGTACCGGAGTATGTAGTCAGGAGAGGGTATTTCTGCGGGGCATGGCGGGGTAGTCCACAGTGGAGGTCAGATTGGAGCTGGGCCTTGAAGCATGAGTGTTTGGGGAGAGAAGAGGCGTTGACGGGCATTCTTGGAAGAGAGAGTGGCATAAGCAGAATCCTAGAGATAGAGGGGTGTTTGTGAAAAATAGAGAAGTTGATGTGGCCGAAGCTTCAGTTTGTTGTAGGAAATAACACTTAAAAAAAATGTTAAATTGAAATCCATTCCATGCTAAAAGTAGTTATTTAGGAGAAAAAAATGAGGAGTTGTTGAAGGTACTTAAGCTGGAGAGTGACCTTGTCTCAAAAGGATGGCAATTTCGTGGAAGGGTAATTGTCAGGAACAGAGGCAAAGGACCCCAAGTTCTTACAAGCTCTTGAGAGGAGGATGGCGGGGCCAGAACTAGAAAAGGGACGGTGGGACTGATGCGTCATTAGCCTGGGCGTCTCCAGGGGCTGAGCCCTCCTCCCGGGGGGCGCGTGATGTCTGGGCTCTCCGGTGCCCACGCTCTCATATCGAGGGCTGCTTCCTCTCCTAAGCTTCCCCTGCTGCCCCCTGGGGGAGGGGTGATGCGACAGTGAGGACTAGGGCCGGGGAGGGTGGCGGAAGGAGGAGCCAAGTATGAGCACTGTCAGTCCATTTCCGCAGGGAGCACACATTTCCCAAGGGAGGATGGTCAGACACCTAGCAGCACTTCCAAAGCAAAGGCAAACAAGTGTCAGGATGCAGTGAAAGGGTCTGGCAGACCAGGAGTGCAGAGATTAGGCTTCCGGGAGGGAGGGGCAGAGAATCTGGCGGAGATGGGAGGGGCTGGGAGTGGCCTCTAGGAAATCTTAGCAGTGAAGGAGTGGCTGTGTGGAAGGGGAGGGAGTGCATGGCTGCCCTTCCTTTCGTGCTGGGCTCCTTGGTAACCCTTCTCCCCCCAGACCTGTGCTACCCAACCCTCAGAAGCTTCTTCCCTTGACTCACATATGGTGGAAGTTCTAAACGGTTTCAATTTGTCACCCAGGATTTTGTGAGTCCGTAAGGTACAAGTGCCCAGTTGGGCTACTCCTCTGAGCAGGCTAGACAAGTGACAAGTGCCAGGCTGGCACAGGCAGCATCTAAAGGGCACGGCAGCCTGTACCTAGTAGGTGATCCTTGCAGGAGCTCCCGTAGCCCCTCCAAAGGACACGTGTTCGCTTCTTTCTGGTTGTCACGCCCTTGTTGCCCTGAACTCTCTCTTAGGGCCAATCCCAGCATCTTGGAATCAGGGCCTGAAAAACCTAAACTGGTCATTCTTATTTTTCCAGTCCTGGCCTCCTTTGAGAATCTGTTAACAGCTATGCTGCTCTCCCTAGAATTGTGTCGAATTGCCACACCAGGGTGCACACACCCACATTTTTGCGTGCAATTCCAGGGAATTTGTGGACCCTAGGATAAACAACCCCACCTTGAGGGCTTGCGGACTCTTGAGGTACTTTCAGCAATGTCCGCTTCAGTGGGGAAAAGGGAGAAACTCACATCTATGGTCAGAAATCCCTGCAGTCCACAGCGGGATAAAATTTCCCACACGTTTGACGCTTTGATCAGATTAACTGGCTCTCATTACACACACACAAACGAGGGCTGTGTCTCCACTGAAATGCAATGACCGTGCTCTCTGTCCTCCTATCCAGGCGCCTGGCAACGCTCTATGACCACAAGTATAGGGGCGTTTGATACTGGGGTCAGGGCAAGAGGCCAAGTGCCAGGCTGGGGAACTTTTTCTTTCCCACCTCAGAGTCAACCTCAGACACAGATTTCAGTCCTGCCCGGTCAGGTCAGCAGCCGGGTCCACTTCTGGTCTGGCACGTTCCACAAGCTTCTGAAAACTGGCCCCCCAGGCCCATCGGTCTCCTGTGCCCCAAACAAGTCATCCCCTTGTTGAAAGCCCTGCGCTGCCTCTGCGGGAGGCTGAGGAGAGAATCTAGGCCTCACTCCCAAGGGAATCTGCTAGATGGATGGGAGGAAATCAAGCACATACCAGGACCCCAAGAGTCAAGAAGTGAACAGGACCCTCAATGAGCAAGGTGCTCACGGAGAGAGGAGGATGGGGCAGGTGGGGTTGGCCAGGGAGCAGGTTCTGTAGGAGGAAGGTAGAGGAACCAGCGGGCGAAGGAAAGGAGAGAAGGGGCAGCCCTGACGTCAGAGAACTCGGGAGGAGATATTTGGGGAGCACTCTGGGTTAGCCCATGATTTCTCCCACTGCCATCTCCCCTTGGAAGTCAGAGCTGGTCAGACCTGAAGTGAGTGGCAGTTCCTCTCGTGGCCTCCAGAAATCCTAAGAGGTACCAGTAACGCAAGTCAGGAATTGTCCGAAGGGTCCGATTTTAGTTGAATTACAACTTCCAGAGTCTATTCTAACCAGTAAGCTTGCTTCATCACCTCCATCTCTCACCTCTGTACTTGTTTTATAAGATAGGAAAAGGTCTCTATAGTAACTCTATGTCCTGGATTTTCTGAGAAAGTTTCCATTTCAATATTTTCTTCCCCATTAAAAAATTCTGTTCTCTTTGGGGCTGGCCCGGTGGTGCAGCGGTTAAGTTCACACGTTCCGCTTCGGCGGCCCGGGGTTTGCTGGTTCGGATCCCGGGTGCAGACATGGCAGCGCTTGGCAAGCCATGCTGTGGTAGGCGTCCCACATATAAAGTAGAGGAAGATGGGCACGGATGTTAGCTCAGGGCTAATCTTCCCCAAAACAAAAAAAGAAATCTAGTCTCACATGTCAATTTCACCTGCCTGTCTACTCCTGACACCTGGAAATGGAAAGTGGCCAACGGGGGGTCTTGATTTGGGTTTGAAAACATGACCCAGTGTCCAAATGTTCTGTCTGGACAGGTGGATTCTAGAATACTCTCAAAGGTGTTATACTTGTTTATTTCTGCTTTTATCCTTCCAAAGGGATTAACCAAGAGAAATGGCCCCATTGCAGTTAGAGCTGAGGTTGGATAGTGTATGGATGGACATAAAAGTAGAATAAAAGCAAAGAAAACAGGAAAAATTAGATAGGAAGTCCTCCTGACAAGAAAGTATTTTTGCTTTTCTTTTCTAGATTTTTCAAAAGCCAAAGAAGAGGGAGACAGTACACAAAAGAAGAGTAACCAAAGGCAGGAGTTCACTAATTTGCTTAATAAGTATTTGTTAGTTACCTAGTAGGTGCCAGGCCCTGGGAGTACAGCAGTGAACCAGTTGGACAAAGTCTCTTCTTCTTGGAGCTTATTTTTTTAATGGGAAAGATAGAAAATACTATATAATTTCAGATAATAATAAGTACTATGAAGAAATAAGAGGGGAAGAAAGAATGCAGGTGATGGGCTGGCGAGTCATTAGCAGCTCCTTTAGTCAGGGTAGCCAGGAAAAGCTTCTCTGAGTGTTCCCCACAATGGGAACAGCCAGTGCAAAGGCCCTGAGGCTTAGCATATTAATGGAGCAGAAATAAGGCCAGCGTGGCTAAAGAGAAGTGAGCTGAGAAGCAGAAACAACACTGGTACAGAGTGAGTGTAGAAAGGTGAGCAGAGCTGAATCATAAGACCGTTGTAATCAAAGGTCAGTGTTTGTTTTTTTTGTGTGCGTGTGTAGTAAAATATACCTAACAAAATTTACCATCATAACCATTTTAAGTGTGCCATTCAGTGGCATTAAATGTGTTCACATTGTTGTGAAACCGTCACCACCACCTTCCATCTACAGAACTCTTTCATCTTCCCAGACTGAAACTCTGTACCCATTAAACACTAATTCCCTATTCCTTCCTCCCCCAGCCTCTGGCAACCACCATTCTATGTTCTGTCTCTATGAATTTGACTACTCTAGGTACCTACAGAAGCGAATCATGCAGTATTTGTCCTTTTGTGACTGGCTTCTTTCACTTAGCATAATGACTTCCAGGTTCATCCATGATGTAGCCTGTGTCAGGATGTCCTTCCGTTTTAAGGCTGAAAATTTCATTGTATAGACCACATTTGTTTATCCATCCATCCACCCGTGGACATTTGGGTTGTTTCCAAATTTTTGGCTATTGTGAATGATGCTGCTGTCAACATGGGTGTACAAATATTTGTTCGAGTTTCTGCTTTCAGTTCTTTTGGGTACATACCCAGAAGTGGAATTGCTGGCTCATGTGGTAATTCTCTGTTTAATTTTGGGGGAACCACCATACTGTTTGGATTTGTTTTAAAGTGCAATTTCAAACCGCTGTTGTGACACGATCTGATTTATGGTTTTAAGAGCTAACTCTGCTGCTCACTGTGGCTGCTCTGTCGAGAATAGATTGGGAAGAGTGGTGTAGAGTAGAGGCCAGGAGTCCAGCTGAGGCATTGTTGCTGGGGTGACAATGGGGACGAGAGGGAACTGGCAGTACTTGCTGATGGACTGAGTGTGGAGGGTGAGGAAAGGGAGAACCCAGCGTGATACTGAGCTTAGAGCAGCGGGAAGGGTGCTGGTGCCGAGTACTGACATGGGGGAGCATGGGGGCAGGTTGGAGGGAAACCCAGAGTTCTGTTTCAGGCACGTTAGACATCTAGGGAAGATGGCAAGGCCAGGAAAAAGACCCCGCAGCCCTCTGCATATAGATGACATTGCAAACCACGGGACTGAGTAAGGTGTGTGTGTTGGAGGTCATAGGAGCCCCGTAGATGCCAGTCATGAGGAATGAAGCTGGGTCAGCGTGGTGGGGTGTTGAACCTAAATTAGGAGACTACTGACCGGGGGATGTAAGAAAATATGATTGGGCTCGGCTGTGTCTCCACACTTGGCCCTGCTGTACTCAGCTCTGGGGCATGTGTCCAGTGGGTCCAGGGGTGTGACAGGAGACTGTCAGGAGGGGCATAACTCACGGGAGTTGTCTCACTCCCCTCGAGGGGCCTGAGGCCCACGCTCAGAATCCCCAGGTCCAGCCTAGCCACCCTCGACTGGCAGGAAGTTATGGGAGAAGGGCTTTGTGGAGCTCAGGCCCCCCTGAGGCTCACGGCTCAGCGCTTCGCAGTCTCTTACCACAAAACCCACTTCCTGTGATGTTTGTCCCTGGGTTATCTCCGCCACCGTGAACTTCCTGTGAGGACGGCTAAGCGAGTTCTCGGGGGAAACATCAGCCACACCGAGGACGAGAGGCTCCTGGTTGGGCTTCCTCCCTCTGTCCTGTCACAGCCAGCACTTGGGGCTGCTGTTGGATCCGGAGTCAGGAGCTCCTTGGGGGCAGGACTCAGCCCAGGCCCCTCCCCACCCAGGGTCGTGTCTGGTCCCCAGGCAGTGTTAGCACGTGCTTGCTGAGCGAGTGCAGGGCTGCCAAATGAGGCTAATTTTGACTCAAACATTGGGGACAGTACTCCCTATTTCATAGTGTTTTAATCTTCACAGAGGAGATTAAATAAGAAGGTCAACATGAAAGTGCCTAGTTCAATGACTGGCACACAGTAGGTGCTCAGGTTTTGGGCATAGTGTGTGTGTGTGAGGGAGAGAGAGGTCAATCACACTCCCACAAAATTGACTTCAGGCCCCACAGTTTGTAGAACACTGCACTTGGAACAAGGCCTGAGCGCCTGGCTCATCCTACAGCCCGAAAGAGAAAGGACACACCCATCTGTCACCCCTGCCCTCCACTTTCACTTCTGAAACTACGGGCAACTCCCTTCTGCCCAGTCGGGAACAGGACGGTGGCACAGATAAACCACAAGAGCAGTTAATAAAACATAGGTAAGGTTGGGGGTATGTTTCAAGATGGATGGTTGCGGAATAGAGCCATTTTTAATGCTCTGAGGACTTAGCCTGAATAACGGGGTCGTGTGGTAAGCCCCAACTCAGCAGGAGCTGGAGGTCTCAGTAGAGACACCCCCTCCCTTCAAAGAGCATACCCTCCCCCCAAAATCGCCCCCCCCGAAACTCCGGATAGTTGCCCCTCCTGCGGCTCCCGCAGCCCCCTACTACCTCTGTCAGGTCCCTGATCACCTGCCTGGCAACCGCCCACCCCCTGGGCGGCCGGCTCACCACTGTGCCTGGCCCAGGACGGGCTCTTGAGACATGTTTTTAAAATTTAATTAAAAAACTGCCCGGCATCTTTTCATCTTAAAGAATTCCGCATGCAGAGGAGGTAATGAAGAGGATTCGAGTCAGATTTCTTGCTGCTGATCCAGCAAGCTGGAAGTCAACATTTGTGTGTGCTCTGCCTATCAAACTTACTCTGAAGAGCCTGGAGACAGGGGGTCGGACACTGAGAAAGGACTGCCACAACCACGGGTGTGGAAAGGAGAGGAGAGGAGGCCGGAATCAGGGCTCTGAGAGATGGGGACTGGGAGGGTGCAGAGACCAGGAGAGGCATCTGAGAGCCTTTGTTGGAAGTTTATACTTGATTTGAGACCAAAGGAACACGACTCTGAGGTCCCGTGTCAGCCCTTAGAGAAGGTGCCTGAGTCAACAGGCGCAGAATGGGCGCCGCAGAGCCGGTGTCCTGGCAGGGTGGGCCTCGGGGGCAGGGCACGCTTGCCCACACACAGGGCTTCCTCCTTCCTCCCGCTTCCCCACCTCAGCTTCTCTGGAACTGGTTAGTGCAGTAGGCACACGGGGAGGGTTCAAATCCAGCCTGCTGGAGGCCGGAGAGCGGCTTCGGCTTACTGCCCACAGGGGATTAGGTTTGCAACAAAGTCGCAGAGCTGGCAACAATGACACTGTCCCTTCCAGAATACTTAAAGGAGCAACTGGAGCAGTACGTGAAGCAGCTGCAGGTGGTGAGGGTGGTGCGGCAGAAGGAGCGGACGGGGTTAATCACTGCCCGACTGCTGGGAGCCAGCGTGGCACAGGCAGAGGTGCTCACCTTCCTGGACGCCCACTGTGAGTACAGGAGTGCCGGCCTGGCACCAGGAGGCCTGCATGGGGTCTGGTCCCCTGCTCTCTGGCAGAGTGGAGGGCTGGGATTGTGGTATCACTTCTTGCTCTTCTGTCCCAGGAGTGAAGGAGGCTTGGGACTCCTCCAGCCTCTGACCCCTTTCTCACCCCAATCCCGAGGAAGTCTCATCAGGAGGCACAACAGCCCTAGCAGTTGGTGACCCAACTGACAGTTGCTGGGAGTGTGCTCTGGAGCCCCAGACGCTCCTCTGGGCCTCCCTCCCCGGATCTGGACCTCATTCTGAGCCCAGTGCCTCGGAGAGGCCTCCTGTCACCACTGGGAACTGGTTTGCGTAGAGCTTTCCTGTAGGGCCACATGGAGCCAGCAAGGCCTCCCACTTGCCCCAAACCAAAACACCTCCCCACTGGTGTCGGGAATAAAGACCATTCCCTAAAAGTGGTAATATCTGGGGCTGGCCCCGTGGCCGAGTGGTTAAGTTCGCGCGCTCCGCTGCAGGCGGCCCAGTGTTTCATTGGTTTGAATCCTGGGCGCGGACATGACACTGCTCATCAAACCATGCTGAGGCAGCATCCCACATGCCACAACTAGAAGCACCCACAACGAAGAATATACAACTATGTACCGGGGGGCTTTGGGGAGAAAAAATAAAATCTTTAAAAAAAAAAAAGTGGTAATATCTATTGGGGAAAGCTGTAGACTCAGAGTCAGAAGACCTGGTTTTTCGATCTGGCTCTGACACTAACTGAGCCTCAGTTTCCTCATTTGTAAAGAGAGAATAAGGATACCAACCTTACTCACCAACAGAAGTATTACTCAGAGTGCCAAATAAAGTAATGTATGCAGTTCATTGAACATCTCAAAGGGCAGGACAAATGAAAGGGACTGTTAGCCTACAACTGGAGCTGAAGCTGGAGGTGCAGATACCCCTGGCGGAGGGTCACCCCCTTCAGAAATCTGCAATGGGGTGGGGAGGCCCGATCCAGAGAATGGGCGGGAGACACCCATCCAGGGCCTTCCCTGTGCTTTTGGATCATTTGAGTTGACCATGTTACTCCCCCGAGAGCTCCATTCTCCCCCTCCAAGGCTGCTGCCACCGTTTGGTGGTGCGGGTGGGGGAGGTAGGAGGGTCTCAGGAGATCTCTCTGTGCTCTCTGCAGCTAGGAGCTTGCCTGTGGTTCTCTGCCTGTAACTAGGGAGTGGCTGGAGGGTTCTCCTGTCCTCCTGGATCTCCCCGCTGGCATGGGGCCACGGGCTCAGCTGTGTGCTGGACCCTGACTGCTGTCTCCTGGCCCCGGCCTGTAGGTGAGTGCTTCCATGGCTGGTTGGAGCCCCTTCTGGCTCGCATCGCCGAGGACGAGACAGCGGTGGTGAGCCCAGACATCGTCACCATCGACCTTAACACTTTCGAGTTCTCCAAGCCGGTCCAAAGGGGCAGAGTCCACAGCCGTGGCAACTTTGACTGGAGCCTGAGCTTCGGCTGGGAGGCTCTGCCTCCGCATGAGAAGCAGAGGCGCAAGGATGAGACCTACCCCATCAAGTAAGGAGCAGAGCCTGGTTAGCCCCTAACCTGGCCTCCGTGGCCCCAGGCCCACCCAGTTCCAGGGACCTGGCCCATCTCAGGTCAACATTTATTAGGTGCTCTATGAAACACTTGACAATTTATTTAATCCTCATCCCCCATGAGGTAGGTACTGCGATTAGCCTGTTTCACAGGTGAGGACACGAGGCTCCTAGGGATGAAGAATTGGCCTTGGATTATGCAGCTAGCAAGTGGAACGAGGATGCCCATCCCAGCCAGTCAGACCCAAAGCCCGTGCTCCTAACCACGGCACTATACTGCCTCGCGCCGTAACAGCTTGCTCTCGTTCACCACTAACTGTGTGCTGGGCACCAGACTAAGGGCTTTCCATACTTTATCCCATTTATTCCTCCCTACACAGAGGAGGAGGGGACTGGCGCTTGCAGAGGCACTGAGAGATGGTGGGTAGAGGCCGTTGTTGAAAAGCCATTGTAATAAGAGGGGGTGGTCTGTGCTCCCAGGTCACTAGCTTCAAAAAGACTGAGAAAATATTAAAAGAAAATAGAGGGCCAGCCCCATGGCGTAGTGGTTAAGTTCAGTGTGCTCCACTTCAGCAGCCCAGCTTCACAGGTTCAGGTCTCGGGCACAGACCTACACCATTCGTTAGTCATGCTGTAGTGGCAACCCACATATTAAGTGGAGGAAGATTGGCACAGATGTTAGCTCAGGGCTAATCTTCCTCAGCAAAAAAAAAAAAGAAAGAAAATAGATAAGAGTTCTTCAGTTTGCAGTTTGTTGCAGTTGCCCTGAACTTTTTTGGTAAAGGGCCAGATAGTAAATATTTTAGGTTTTGCCAGCTACATACAGTCTGTTGCATATTATTCCTTGTTTTGTTTTTTTAAAATGTAGAAACCACTCTTTGCTCAGAGCCTAATATGGCCAGGCCAGCTTTGGCCCACAGGTTGTAGTTGGCCAACCTCTGGGCTGTAGAGGGGCTACTTGAAAGCTTATCCATTGTTTAAAGCCAACGGGGTTTGGCTTCCCCTGATGCACCCACCCTGTCCTTCCCTCTCCAAGATTACCTGTTGGTGTTGTTAGAGACACAGGTTTGTTTTAACAGATGTCTCAGCCAAACTGAGTTGGAGAGTGACTTTTAGGGTATCCTGTGGTGCCACTGTTCTCCTATACTGGCCAGAAAACTTAAGGATCAACTGAGTCTGTATCAGGGATGGAGGGAAGCAGAGGTTGGGGATACAGTGAGCAGAGGCAAGAGGAAAGGCTTGAACGGAGGAGAGTGTTGGAGTTCCTCCCCTCCACAGGCCCAAATCCTAAGAAATGCTGCCCAGGGCCTCAGTCGGGAGGGCTCAGATGGGTGCCACAGGAAGGAATCCCAGGGATCCTGACGGCCAGCTGCTTTGCCTCTGTTAGGAGGAGGAGAATAGCAATAGAAGGGGAAAGAAGGGGAGAGAGAAGGCAGGAGAGAGAAAAGAAGTTGGAACTCCCTATTTAGTCTCTGATGTTTCATAGATGTCTTTTGTTTGGTGTGTACAGCAGCAAAGACCCCCTCCCCCAAGATGGGAGGCAGGCACACAGTGGCACAGTCAGGGGCAGGGCACCTGGCCCCCGCCCATCACTGACGTCCCCATCTCCGATGTCCAGAGACCAGACGACTGGAAGACAAAGGTCCAGTGTTTGAGGACTGAATTTGCTGCCTGGTCCCAGTGCCCTGGTGGCCTACATCCCCCCGGGGGGCCTGCGGGCAGCACCCTCCCATCCTCCACTCTCAAAGCTCGCAGGAGGCTCAGAGGCGAGGTACAAGTCTCCCGTGCTATCCAAAAGTTCGCTTCATGCCTCTTTGCTTTTATGAAAGACCTACATTCGACTTTTGAAAGAAATCAAAGAGGATTTTTGTTTTTACAAAAAAGAGTGAAAAGCGGGAATAGCGTTCAGCGTTATACACGCAGTGCACACCCCAAGCAGCAAGGGTGGCGCCAGCAGGCTCCTTCCCCGGGAGCTACACCGCGTCTCAGCATCAACCTCCCGTAATTCTGAACTGTGTCTGTGAGCATCTGTGCTTTATCTCGATTTTTTTCGCTAGGTTATTTTTTGGGTCTGGGAATGCTCAAAATTTTTTCCCATGCAAATTAACGGTAATTGCTTTTTCGCTTTCTGCCATTTTGGCTTACAAAAGTTTCATAGGAACCCTCTATTTTAGATAGTGGAGGAAACCTGTAAAGGACCCAGGCGACCCTAGGAAGTAGGCCAGGAAAAACAGGTGTTGCCTGTTGGTTGTGGGTCTGCAGTGAAGTTCCCCATGTAGGGTTTATCCTCAGAAGTAGTTTGTCAGTGGCTTTTCGGTCGGAGAGACCGCAAAGCCAAGAGACAGCCGCAGTTCCAGGAGACCCTCAAGAAGAAGCCACTTAGCTCCAAAGTGCTCATCTGGAGTCCCAGGACTGTGAGCCTTTCCAAGCCTTACTCGGGCTGGCTTAAGAACCCCTGCGAGAGGGGCCAGAACCAGTGACAGAAAGCCTGCCTGAGCATGAGGATTTCCCAACTGAAATTCCTTCCAGAAAGCGGCTGCAGGAGCCACCACAGAGTCACGTCAGGGTCAGATCAGAGCCTCTGCTGTGTGTAAAGCACTTTGTTCCTTGTGGGCTTACAGAGGAAGTTTCAGTCTCTTTTTTTCTGCTTGGTTGTGCCACAGGGAGCTACCCACTGAGGGCAGCAAAGCCCCGTGCAAGCCAGGCTGGTCAGGCACAGCCGCCAACAGCTAATGATTATGTAGGTATTCCTGCCCCCTTCGCCCCCGGCCCCACCCCGCCTTCCACCTTGCATATGCTTCCCCGGATCTATTTGAGTACCCTCACCCTTAGCCCAGCCCCTCTTATGAGCAACCTGGTATCTAAATTCTAGGAATGAGATGTTTTTGTCAATTTATCTTAACACAGGTCTGTGCCACCCTGCATTTGAAAGCCAGAGTCTTGTTCTAACCTCCAAATGCTCCCTGCAGTCCAAGATGAGGTTGATTTCACCTCACTTTCTCCTCTATTTCCAGGAGCATCTCTTATCAGTGTCTTCTGTTCAAAGCAGCTGGTAACTTTCCCCCTAAGCTGGTTTCTCATGCAGTATTTAGCACCAGGGCTAGGCTCATACTAACACTGTGGCTTTGTAGTCCCTGAAGGGCCAGGGACCCTGAAACAGCATGGGGTCTATCCAGCTCATAATATTCATTCATTCTTGGTTGAATCCTATCTCCAAAAACAATTTGACACAGTTTCTGTTAACTGAGTATCTACTATGCTCCAGGAACTTTGCTGCCGAAAAGCAAACTGTGGTAGCTTTGCCCTCTGCTACTAAAGTGACTCTCAGAGAATGGGATCTGTCTTTCTCAGCTCTGCCTGCCTAACGTGTAGCTCAGGCCCTGGTGGCCTGTGTTTAGTACACTCTCAGTTGAATGAATGAGTGCCTTTTAGAAGAGAGTAATGATGATTACAGCTCCCCTTGACCTGGTCCTAGAAGGTGAAGAGGACATCATAAAAGCTCAGTGAACATGTGCTAAATGGCTAAGTTATGGGATAGGGGCTGCACATCCCAGGAAAGAGGAGAGGAGGAGGGAGGGAGGTCAGGAGGCATCAGCAGTGAGTCCACAGCCCTCCCCGCCAGGCTCCCGCTCCTCTTCCCCCCAGAAGATGCACATGCTTCTCCGTCTGTCTCTCCAGATCCCCGACGTTTGCTGGTGGCCTCTTCTCCATCTCCAAGTCCTACTTTGAGCACATCGGTACCTATGATAATCAGATGGAGATCTGGGGAGGGGAGAACGTGGAAATGTCCTTCCGGGTGAGAGTGAGGAGGGCTTCGCGGGGGAACCACAGCGTCCCAGGGGACAGCCTGAGGTCCTGTCTCTGAGGCAGCGGCAGCCTCAGGGATAGCTCATCTGGAGCCGAACTTAAAAGGGTGGTTGTTTCCTGTCATGGCTCTGCCTTCACTCTGCTGCCCTCCCTGTCCATGGCGGTCCGGCTTTGGGAATCAGATTAGACAACTTGGAACAAATGACTGGACACAACTCCTCAGAGGGAAGGGACAATATGGGTGCTAGGGACTGGACATGTGAGGATATCTTTCATGATGTCTGTGGGAAAAGGGTTAGGGTGAAGGTGGAACAGGTCAGTAAGCCATCACTGTCCTTTTTCTGGAAAAATCAGGCTCCCTTTTCCGGGTCAGAGGACACACGCCCTGGTAGCCTTGGGAGTCTTCTTCCTCTGTGCTCAGCAGGCCCCTCATAACTGTGGGAGAAGACGGTGGCCCCCAGAACGCGGAGGGGTTCCAGAAATTAGGCAAATCAGGATTAGGTTAGGCAGAAGGGACTGCCTCTGCATGAAATCTATCCAAATCGCCATGCCAGTAGAGAAGTGACAGTAAGTCAATGAGGTCGTTCATGAAGTAAGCCACTCACCGTGCCTGGCACATACTAAGCACATCACTGACACCTGCTGTTACTGTGACTATGAGTGTGTATTTCTGTGGCTGCCATACTAAAATCAATAACAGCATGCCTCCCAATCTAAAACCTAGAAAAGAGAAGACACAGGTGGGAGGGTTACCCTCACCCAGCCCCCTGGCGTAGACAAGGGTCACCACCTCAGTCACCCGAACTCCCAGGGTTCTGATTCTAGGCTCATCCGTGAGGCTCTGACTTCTGTTCAGTCCCTCTCCTGGAAGCTGTTGTGCTAAAGGCTCGGGTGACTGCCACAGGTCACCTGGCCGTTGACTATCCTTGCTATAATTAATGCACTGAGGCTCTGATCGGGTCACAAATCTATCTTGATTTGGGGGAGCTTGAGTTTCCAGTAACACCTTCTGAGCTGATAAAATCACATTTCCAGGTCAAAAAGCCAAGTGACCAGAGCTCAGAATAGGTATACGGACACAAAATTAGCCACCCTCATTTCTCTAAAGCGGGCCTTAGCAACCCTCAGAACCCTGCAAATTTCCATTTGCTTTAATCAGAGAGAACCCAGATCAGAGAGCCAGGGATTGTGCAGTCATGGCCTAGCAAGAAGCCTGGTCAGTGTCCTTTTTTCCAGGGAGAGAGAGCAGCATTGCCCTGGGTCCTTGGACCTGGTGTCCGGTACACTGGGATTAGAACAGTGCTGCTTGAGGGGAGATTGTCCCACCCACCCCCTGAAGGCCCCATCCTGTATCTTCTTATGGCAGGTGTGGCAGTGTGGAGGCCAGCTGGAGATCATCCCCTGCTCTGTGGTAGGCCACGTGTTCCGTACCAAGAGCCCCCACACCTTCCCCAAGGGCATCAGTGTCATTGCTCGCAACCAAGTGCGCCTGGCTGAGGTCTGGATGGATGGCTACAAGGAGATTTTCTACCGGAGAAATATGCAGGCAGCAAAGATGGCCCAAGAGGTGAGAGGAAGTGGTGCTCAGGGGAGGTTTGGGTGAAGAGACGTGCAGAAGCCCAGACCCTGGTCAGGGGCTTGATGGGAGAGGGTCCACCCATCTCTGCCATCTGGTGCCTCCCTTTACCCCTCAGAGCCTGTGAGTGAGAACCCAGGGAGGCGAGATTTTGAAGGCTAGGCAATGAGGAGGGGCCCCTTGGTTGTCCCTGCGTGGAGAGCCCTGGCATCTTTTAGGAGGGGAGGCAAAAGACATTTGGAGGATGAACCTCTTACAGGAGGTTCTTTGCTCTGTGAGGCTCAGAGTCGGGGACTGGGAGAAAACTGACTGGGAAGTCACAGGAAATGAGGGGTAAGGGGGCGGTGGGTGGGAGTCGCAAAGCAAAGGCAGGGGGTCTGGGATTGGAGTGAGGCTGAGCTGGTAGCCCCAACAGGTCCTGAGCGGGAATGAGCATGAGACCCAGCCTGGGAGAAGCGGCCCCAGGAACTCTGGGCTACTTCAACCTGGACAAGAAGGTCAGACTGGATGGAACTGACCTTAGGGGTGGCTTGGTTGACAGAAATCCTTTGGTGACATTTCGGAGCGACTGCAGCTGAGGGAACGACTACACTGTCACAACTTCTCCTGGTTCCTGCAAAACATCTACCCAGAGATGTTTGTCCCTGACCTGAAGCCCACCTTCTATGGAGCCGTGAGTCTTGAGTACCAGCGTGCCTACCTGTCATCACAGAACCCCCTGGAGAAATGCAGGACCACTTACCCCACAGATGGATGACACACAAGAATTGACCCCTACTCTTCATGCTCCTTTATTTAGAAGGAGGACCGAGAGGCCACTCGGGCTTCTAGAGATAGCAAAAAACCTTGTAAGAGAAAAACAACCCATAAGCAGTGGTTCTCAAACATTTGCCTGCATCAGAATCACTAGGAGGCATGTTAAAACACAGACTGCGGGGGGCCCAGTGGCGCAGCTGTTAAGTGCACACATTCTGCTTCAGCGGCCTGGGGTTCACTGTTTCAGATCCCGGGTGTGGACATTGTGCTGCTTGGCAAGCCATGCTGTGGCAGGCGTCCCATGTATAAAGTAGAGGAAGATGGGCATGGATGTCAGCTCAGGGCCAGCCTTCCTCAGCAAAAAGAGGGGGATTGGCAGCGGATGTTAGCTCAGGGCTAATCTTCCTCAAAAAAACCCAAAAAACCCACTGACTGCTAATTCAGTAGGACTGCGTTGAGGCCTGAAAATCTGCATTTCTAGCAAGTCCCCTGGTGATGCTGATGCCTTTGAGAGCCATTGCTCATAAGGAAATTCTCTAGTGCTGAGAGCTTCTCCCAGGGACCTGGCCACCGGGGAGGGTGCCCATCCTGCCCTTGCTCGGCCTCCAGGCTCTGAACCTCACTTTGCTGTTAACTCCAGGCATCAGGGTTGATGAGCAGAAAGGATGAGCAGAGGGGAGAAAATCACAGAGGGAAAGTCCAGCCATGCAAATTTATTCCAGTTGGGCCCCACACCACAAACCAAAAAACTGACTGTGCTATCCTGGTTCCCCTCTCTGCTCACCATTCTGCAGATCAAGAACCTCGGCATTGATCACTGCCTGGATGTGGGTGAGAACAACCATGGAGGGAAGCCCCTCATCATGTACACCTGCCACGGCCTTGGCGGCAACCAGGTATACAACCCCACTGTACCAGGTATACAGCCCCACTGTACCAGGACAGGCGAGAGAGAAGCCTGTCTCCAGGGCAGCTCCTCTCTTCACGGGCCCAAAATAGTCCTTTCCTGAGGACTAGAGTCGGGGAGATACCATCCCTGCCCTCAGAAAGTGCCCGGTGTGAGGGGAACTGCGTGAAACAGACAAGGTCTGAAGTACGACTTGAGGACATCCAGAGAGCACTGGGCATCAGTGCTGGGGGCTTGAGGTAGGGTGGGAGGGGAAGACTGTTGATTGGAGAAGGCTTGCTGGAGGATGCCAGCCGCTGAGTGATGTTTTAGGGTGACTGCAGAGAATTGTTGAGCACTTTCCCTCAGCTGCGCTCAACTTCCATCTTCAATGCCTCCCGTGCCCAGAAGCTACCACTCTGATCCTATGACAGAATCATGACCCCAAAACGACCACCTACTGACTTCCCACAGTTACTCCAGGCCCTACAATGCCCCAGCTCAGCATGTGCAAATGAAGACAGAGTCATTCAAAAGCAATTTCCTGTACCATTGGCCTGCAAAATGATTGTAGGTGGTACATTGGTGAACATTTTTTATTTTAATACTAATTTATTATCAAAGAACTGGTATATCAAACACTTGTTTTCACAGGTAATGCTTAAGATGAGGCTAAGTTACCTTTTTAATTAATTTAAAGAAAAAAATATCTGGGCCAGCCTGGTGGTGCGGTGGTCAAATGCGCACGTTCCACTTCGGTGGCCCAGGGTTCGCTGGTTCAGATCCCGGGTGTGGACATGGCACCGCTTGGCAAGCCATGCTGTGGTAGGTGTCCTACATATAAAGTAGAGGAAGATGGGCATGGATGTTAGCTCAGGGCCAGTCTTCCTCAGCAAAAAGAGGAGGATTGGCAGCAGATGTTAGCTCAGGGCTAGTCTTCCTCAAAAAAAAAAGAAAGATAAAAGTAAAGAAAAAATATTGAGTAACTATTTTTCCAGTAGAGCCCAGATCTAGTAAAAATCTGAAGGTAGCACATGAATTGCTAAAGTTTTGGCACTCGCTTGCTTTCCTCCCTACGAGGCCATCTCTGTTTGGCATCTTTGGGCAGTTGGCTTTGGAAGGTGGTGGGCAAACTCTCTGCCTGCCCTTCAGGACTTCTTCTTGTCTTAACTTCTAGTACTTTGAGTACACAACCCAGAGGGACCTTCGCCACAACATCGCAAAGCAGCTGTGTCTACATGCCAGTGCTGGCACTCTGGGCCTTAGGAGCTGTCACTTCACTGGCAAAAATAGCCAAGTCCCCAAGGACGAGGAATGGGAATTGACTCAGGTGAGCCTGCTGCCCAGAAAGCTCAGAATCAAGAACCTGAGGATACAACTGCCCCCTCATTTTCTGCATCTTCTGCCTGAGATACCATGGGGCGGGTCAGGAGGATGTAGAAAGTATGGAGAGTGTGGGCTTGGCACAAGCAGGGTTCTTGGGATTTAAATAATATTTGGTGATGGCTGGTTCTGGCTAATATAAAGATGGGGTCGGGGGCTGGCCAGGTGGTGCAGTGGTTAAGTGCACATGTTCCTCTTCGACAGCCTGGGGTTCACCGGTTCGGATCCCGGGTACGGACATAGCACTGCTTGGTACACCATGCTGTGGTAGGCATCCTACATATAAAGTAGAGGAAGATGGGCACAGATGTTAGCTCAGGGCCAGTCTTCCTCAGAAAAAAGAGGAGGATTGGCAGCAGTTAGCTCGGGGCTAATCTTCCTCAAAAAAAAAAAAGATGGGGTCAGGGGTTATGGTTCACGGCCAGCTCTGTCATGGCTCAAGTATTTTTAGGTTGAACCCAAGTAGATGAAGGTAAAGAGTCACTCATGGTTCCTGCCTGCCCTCTGTGTGCCAGTGCAAAGCTATGCACTCACGTACATTGGTTTGTTAATCTTTGAGAGGCTTTTCCCAAGTAGGTGGTGTCCCCATTTCTATAGATGAGCCAGCTGAAGCTCAGCAAGTTTGTGACTGGCCTAAGACCCATCACTAGTAAATGGCAGGCCTGGGAGTCAGACCTAGTTAAGTCTAACTTGAAAGCACAGGTTCTTTCCATTACACCACACTGCCTCAGGATATATAATATAACTTCTACAGTGCTGAGCCCAACCTAGCACCCCCAATGAGCCACCACACCCCACTCTACCCCAATCCCAAGTCCCTAGCTTAGGAAGAGAGGAGCCTAATCTTGGGGCTACAGGAAAGGGGGAGTCTAAATATGATCAAAGGCAGAAAGTGAGGGGGCCAGCCCTGTGGCTGAGTGGTTAAGTTCGCACACTCCAGTTTGGCTGCCCAGGGTTTCACAGGTTCGGATCCTGGGGGCGGACATGGCACTGTTCATCAGGCCATGCTGAGGCGGTGTCCCACATGGTACAGCCAGAAGGACCTACAACTAGAATATACAATTATGTACTGGGGAGCTTTGGGGAGAAGAAGAAGAAGAAAAAAAACCAGATTGGCAACGATGTTAGCTCAGGTGCCAATCTTTAAAAAAAGAAAGTGGGGTGGGTAGCAGTGGCCCTGGTCTTTGAGACTGGTTATCTGGAGGAGGGTGGCCCTGAAAGCATTTTTCAATTATCCTATGGTCCTGCCTTCCTCTATTCCAGCCACTCAGGCTAAAGCTGAGGTGAGCAAATGGCGCCAGACACAGGTGGAAACTCAGGAAACATCCCACCAGAGTATCTGGCCTCCAAGGAGAGGCATTTGGAAATGTCCTCTCTGTGCCTTGTTGGGCTCCCTTGTCCTTTTATGTGTTGCCCCCATCTTATTGCCCCCTAGTAGCAGTGTTAGAGGTCTGAGGCCCACAGTGACCCTTTGCTGTGTCATCTTTTAGGACCAGCTCATCAGGAACTCAGGATCTGGTACCTGCCTGACGTCTGAGGACAAAAAGCCAGCCATGGCCTCCTGCAATCCCAGTGACCCGCACCAGCACTGGCTCTTCATCTAGGCCCTGGATCACGCCCCGTGGGAGTTCCCACAAGCTACTCAGGAAACAGGATTTTTGGGAATCTGATCATGAGCTTCTCTGTAGGCCTTAAAGATGGATTTCTAAACCCAGTGGATGTCAAGGCAGGACCTTTCTACTCCTTGCAACAACACTGGACCGATTTTCTTTCCTCCATATTGATGGAAGGGACCATTAGAATACATTATACTTGGCCTAGAGCTTTCCTTCTCTCCTAGAAACAGAGACTTCCAAAGCCAAGAAGGCAGCTGGGATAGGGCCCAGGGCAGCAATGCTGAATTCAAGAAAAGCACCTCTGTAGCCACGTCCTGGGTCCCTGGTCATCTAGAGCACCCGCAGAATCTGGTGAAATAGTCTATTCTAGCAGAGAGACCAGAGGTCTAAGAGAGGCTTGCCACTATTCCCGGAAGTTCATAGAGCCAGTTACAGTCTACAGAAAGCACGCTGACAGGAATCCTTTACCTCACTTCGTCTGCACAATAATCCTGTGAGAAAGCCAGGAAGCACCATGCCCGTGTTACAGATACGAAAGCTGAGGCGGAGAGGGGCAAAGGAGCTTGTCTGTAGTCCCGCAGCTGGTGCATGGCTGGAGCAAAGATTGAGCCTCAGGCTTGAATGCTGAATCAGGGCTCCTTCCACCACACCACAAGAACACTAGACAACTAGCTATCAGCCTTGCCGTTCCCTCGACCCCCTATTCTGATCATTTCTGTCTGGCTGGTCTCCATAAAGCCTAAACAATGGGGCCAGATAGCCATGAGGGAGACCACATTTGGGAATCCTAGGATGTGAGTGTTGAAAGAAAGCTCACGGATCCAGTGATTCTCAGGTTTAAGCCCCGAAACTGTTTTTCTCAATGCCTCAAATGTAATGTAATTAAAAGGCAAAGTAGCTATGGGTGAAATTGAGGGTGGGGGAGGGCAATGCCTACCAACCACTGAACTTCTAAGGTCCATAAGCTCAATTTGAAAACCGTGTTTTAGTCCAACCCTATCATTTTTATATTATGAAACTGAGGTCAGATAAGTGAAGTAATTTGGGCAAGGTATTGGCAGCCTTGAGGCTGAGACCCGGGTAAGGCTAATAAGAGTCCTGGGAAGTCTGAGGAGGCAGGGGCGAGCGTGTGGAGTCGAGCATGACTGGCCTTGTCTGCTGTGCTCTCGTGATGTCCCCACATGGAACAGACCTGACACGCATGTCAGCTCTTCAAGCAAGTCGGACCCCAGCGCACAGGACTGCTTTGCCTGACACAGACACTAGCTGCCTGGAGGAGGGCTCACATTCCTTCCAGGCGGGCTTCCGACTTTCAGTAGCAGGCTGTCATCTTGGGCATCACCACATGAGGGTGCCGTGGGATCACAGCTGCCTGTCCTGGCACAACTCAACACTATAGGAGGTCTCCTGGGCCCCTGAGGGCCTTCAGGACCCCAGAGAGGAAAGATTCTGGGGGAGCCCTGCCAGAGGGGGAAGAGAGAGCAGCCAGGATGTGACCTGGAGTGCGGAAAGGGAAAAGTTCTCTCCTGGAAAGAGAAGAAAATTGGACATGAGATCCCAGGGGAAATAAAGGTTGTATGGCATTGGTAAAGGAAGTTTGCGTTGGGTTCCTCCTCCCCTGCATTGTCCCTTAGCTGATCCATTTGGAGAATCAGTTGATTCAGGCTGTGAAGAACCACACCCATCTGAAAAGTTCCGTCACAGCCACTGTCTTGTCCCCAAACATCCTCTGGCCCCCAATCTAGCCTACATACTGTGGGTCAAGCACATGTAGACACGAGGAGATCTAAGGGGAGGCTCTTCCTCCATGAAACTCACTCTCTAGCTGGGGAAACAGACATGAAGGCAAATTATGACAATCCTGGAGATGTTCAGAGATGTGCCAGGTGAGTTAGAAAGAAGAATTCCTTCCATTTCGGAGAATCAGGGAAGGCCTCACAAAGGTAGTGACTTTGACCTTAGATCTGGAAGGATGAGTCCTCGGGAAGGGCTCAGTAAGCAAAGATCTCACACAAGCGACAATCAAGCATGAGAAAAGTCACAGAGGGACAAAGGTACAAGTGGATCTGGGAAACCAAGAGAACAGCAGGCTGAGGGAGCAGTGGGTGTGGAAGCTAGAATGATCAGGGCCCCATTTTGACTTTCATTGGCCCTAGGCACTTTTGACTTCATAAAAAAGTATTAAAAATTATCTTTTACAACTGCTTTGGTTTAAAGATGAATACAATCCAGGCTGATTGTATTCCTTTTATTTCTTCTGATTTAAAAGAAACGAAAACATTTTTGTGGGCCCCTAAAAGTATTGGGGGCCCTTGGCACTGTGCCAGCTGGGTAAAGACAGCCCCATAGAACAATGGGTTGGGGCCCAATTGAGAAGGCTTTGAATGCCATGCTAGTAAGTTGGGTAAGCCATAGGGAGCCATAGTGCATAATTCTTACCCTAGCCCTATTCATGGTTGCATTAAACATCCAAACATTTATCAGGCATTGTTTGCCATTTATCCCAATATCCCTCATACTCTCTGGCATCACGCAATAGCTCTCCAGCCCAATCTTATGATATACACCCAACCAGGGTGCCCTGGTCTGGTGCCAAGTTTCCTCACCTCTGCCCCAAAGCATCATAGCCTCTGCCAGGAGGAGTCAGCTGAGGGTAACTCACGGGAGTGAGAGATGCAGCAGAAGAGAGAAAAGTCCACATGCCACAACCTAGAGAGTGGGCCCAGTTTGGGGGTGAGGGGAGGACTAGGGAAGGTGGTGGTCAAGAAGAGGGAGAGGGCCCTGACGGGGTGGTGGGAAGGCTCAAGAAACCGGCTTTATGGCCTCCCTTTAGCTGAGGTTGGCATTGCCTTAACCCAACATCTGCACCCTTCCTCAAAATCCATCCCTCTGACCATTCTCAGAGCTAACTTAAAACCTTGCTTAAAACCTTGATGCAGGGCCGGCCCGGTGGCACAGCAGTTAAGTTCGCACGTTCCCCTTCTCGGCGGCCCGGGGTTCCCTGGTTCAGATCCCGGGTGCAGACATGGCACCACTTGGCATGCCATGCTGTGGTAGGCGTCCCACATATAAAGTAGAGGAAGATGGGCACGGATGTTAGCTCAGGGCCAGGCTTCCTCAGCAAAAAAAAAAAAAAAAAAAAGAGGAGGGCTGGCAGTAGTTAGCTCACAGCTAATCTTACACACACACACACACACACACACACACACACACAAAAACCTTCATGCTAGCCCTGTGCTACTATCTCCTGGCTCTAGAAGCTTCTCTCCTTATACTGAATGGCTCGTCCCCTCTGGGAATCTCTCCCACTTGAAGAGTATTGGCACCATTGCCCAAAATAGCTAAATGTCCCAGAATATATGTTTTACTTATTTTTAATTACAAAAGTAATACCGTAGAGAAGTCAAATAATACAGAAAAATAGGAATTTAAAAAGTGAAATTGGGGGCTGGCCCCGTGGCTGAGTGTTTAAGTTTGTGTGCTCCGCTCTGGCGGCCCAGGGTTTCGCCAGTTCGGATCCTGAGTGCAGACATGGCACTGCTCATCAGGCCATGCTGAGGCGGCGTCCCACATGCCACAACTAGAAGGACCCACAACTAAGAATATACAGCTGTATACCGGGGGGCTTTGGGAAGGAAAAAAATAGAATCTTTTAAAAAATAGTAAAAAATAAAATAAAAAATAAAAATTGAAATTGATCCTCACAATGCCTCCATACCTATTGACTCATTCTCTAGAAGTAATAACTTCTAGAGAAATAATAACTTCTACATATAAACCCTTCCATACCCTTTTTCTATGAATATCCAAACATACACAGTACCATATTGTTTGCAACTTGATGTCCTCATTTAATGTATCAAGAACATCTTTTCATGTCAATTCACTTAAGTCCAGCTCATTCTTTTTAAAAGCTGAATAGTAGTCCATAATATTGTTAAACTCAATTTCTTTAACCTTTCCCTATTAATAAATATTTAGGTTTTCCCCAATTTTGTGACAAACTATACTATAACCCACAACCTCGTACATTTATTTTTGTGCCTGCGTTTATTTCAAAAGGATGCATTTCTAGACTTAGAATTGCTTAGAGGAAATATAGTACCCCAAATTTAAGCCAAAGCCACTGTCTATGCCTAACGCTAAGAGTGAGGAGAAAGAAGAGTCTGACCAGCATGGGAGATGAGGCTGGGCGTGTAGATTAGGGACCGGTTGTGAGGGCCTGGAGTGCAGTCCTAAAGAGCTTGATTTTTTTTTTTTTTTTTTTTTGAGGAAGATCATCCCTGAGCTACCATCTGCTGCCAATCCTCTTTTTGCTGAGGAAGACTGTCCCTGAGCTAACATCCGTGCCCATCTTCCTCTACTTTATATGTGGGACACCTACCACAGCATTCCTTCCCAAGTGGTGCCATGTCGACACCCAGGATCGGAACCAGCGAAGCGCAGGCTGCCGAAGCGGAATGTGTGAACTTAACTGCTGCGCCACTGGGCCAGCCCCAAGAGCTTGATTTTTAAGCAAATACAGATGGGGCTTCTCTGGGCTGGGCCAAGTGTACAGAGATGGATGTGACATTAACCCTGCCCTTCAAGGCTCACTTTGGAGTATGTGATGTCAAGGGGTAACCTTTAGGAGGCCCTAAAGCCTCCTCTTGGACTCCTCATCCTGGGGCTAGAGCTGCCTCCTTGCCTTCCAGAGGAGGCGGGGAGGTGGGAGGAGAACAATAAAAGGGGCTCTTGTTCCCTGACCCAGCTCAGCCCTCTTCCAGGACCTCTACTGTGTGTTAGAATGCTGGGGGTTGGACTGGAGAGGGAGCCCTCCAGGTTACCCCAGCATCATAGTGCCATGCCCCTGCACAGCTCAAGGAGCTGAAAAGGTGGCCTGTACAGAATTCCTTCCAACAGCCTTTTCCAGGCCCCTCCATCTGCAGGCATGAAACTTGAATTCTGGAGTGTGCAGGCAACAAAAGCCCTCAGGTGGACCAGGTGACTTTGCCATCTCCCTCTAGGCTCCCTGGCTTCTCTCTGCCTAAATCACCACTCCACCCATAGTCCTCTGCTCTGGGCCCTCCCAACCCAAACTCCTCTGCCCGCCTCCAGGCCCATGTACGTCCCTCCTTCCTCCTCTGCTCACTTTGATGGGTGGAGCCTTTCATCTCCTGCAGGACACTCCTGCTCCTCTGCCCTCCACCCTCACAGCCCCCAAACTATCTCGCTATCCTGAGGGCCCCCTCTTCTAACCTGCCCCACATTCTCCTTTTCTGGGAGCTTTCGTTGGTTCTCCGTCTGAGTCTCCCCAAACCTGTTTCTTAGTAGCCTCCTCCACCAGAATTCTCTCCGCTGCATCTACTTTGCTTTTGTCTCCCTGCATTTATACCTCTGTCTGTGTCCTGGGGGAAGGTCCCATCTCCCTCGTGGGGCAGGGAGATGTTGCTGGCTCTTCTTTCTTCTTGCTACCACTCTTCCCTCCTCCACTCTTCCTTGCCTCCACCTCCCAGTGCACAGGATCCGTCTCTGCACTTATAGCGCCGCTAAGGACAGTAAGGCAGCCACAGACCAACAGGGGAGCCCCCTGAGGGAAAAGCCAGTCATGGTTCTCCGTCTTATTTCTGAAAAAGAGTGTGTTGGATGCTTTTCAACTGAAAGCAGATTATTAATTCAGCCCTGGCCTTGTTCTGTCTTTGAACAACAGATAAATTAGTGTACTTGAAAAGAAATCTTTTCATTTGTATTTCCATGTCACCTGTGATTTTCCCTGCCTTCCACCAGCAGCCCTGCCAGCTGGCAGGAAGAAGGTCAGCAAAGCTGCTGATAAGAGGAGTATAAAGAGGGCTTGGTTCATGGCAAGGGGGTAGTGGTCTGCTCTGTTGGCAACATGCTTCGTTTCCTGGTGTTTGCCACCTTGGTCCTTCATGGTAAGTGGTCATCCAGCCCAAGTTCTGTAGGGAGGGGGATTTGAGCAGGAGGGTTGGGAAGCTATCCCTAAGCCCAGGTCTGCTGTCTATCCCAGGGCGGGGTGGGACACTGCTTGTGAGTCTAGCAAAAACCTTACTGTCCTGGAGCCCATTCTAGGAAAGGTCAGGGCCACTCTCCATGCAGGCCTCTCTGGTTGGCAGATCCTGAGCCATGAACAGACAAAAGCCTCTTCCAGGGGCCTGAGCTTCCCCACCACCCTCATTGACAGGAAGACATCCTCAGCAGGTGTGTGCCTGGGGTGTGCACTGCTGTCTCAGCCCCCTGGAGAACCCAACCAAAGCATTGTGTGGTGGGGGGTTGGGAGAAGGGGAGGTCCCTTCAGGCCAAGGGATGACCTCTAGCAAGGCTGAGACCACAAGGAGCCTCTGGGGCCCTCGCCTGGCGATGTGAACTAGGTCCTTCACAGCATGCCTCAGACTACCCCTAAGAGTTCTGAGGACGCTTCTGAGGGGGAAGCAGAAGGCTCTCAGACGCCCCTGCTTTCAAAAGGGGCTCAGAGAACTCGCAGCTGGGCCCCTCATTTGCTAGGGAGGAACCGTGAATTCACAGACAAAGCACAACTGCCACCCCCCACCCCCACCCACGCTTAGTCATCACTCATTTTTCTTCTGCCCCACAAAGGACACAGCACCCAGGACGTTCCAGAAACCAACGCCCGGGTGGTTGGAGGGAATGATGCCCGGAAGAATTCTTGGCCCTCTCAGGTGGGTGTTCCTTCACAGCCCCGGCCTTCCAACAAAAGAGTTGCCTGTGCGCTGATATACAACATGATGTGTGTTTGTGTATGTCTTATCAACAGGAAGCTCTCCAACTGCCTCGATTCTCGGTTTTAAAGATGAATGGGACAAGGCTTAGGTGGTTTTCCTAAAAGCCAAAGACTTGGAGGAGGGAATTTAGACACGCCAACCACACTGACTGTCCCAGGCACACACCCAAACATAAACCACATTTACACTCTCAGTGACACCATTTATGCCACACTAGCAAGAATACACACCTCAGACTCCACATACCTTGACACGTTCACACACACACACACACACACACACACACACAGAGTGTGTGTCTTGCGTTTGAGAGCAACCCCAGCCCCAAGAAGATGTTGTTGTTGTTTATTTGGCTATTTAAAGCGTTTCCACTTTCATAACAGGGCAGCTAGGCTCTGATTTAAGCAATTTTAAATGTGTAAAACTGGCAAATTAACTGGTAAATAGACACACTTTGAGAGGAACCAGTGTAATTCAATTCAATTCAATTTACAAAAGCTCAATTGAGCTCCGATTTTCAGGAATAGAGCTATTGTGTAATATGAAGTGCTGAAGGAGAAGACATAAACTGATCAAAGTGGCCATTCCAATGGTATTTCTAAGTTTTCCCTGAAGTGGGGGGACAGGGAATAACTTGAACCTTGGAGGGGGAGCTCTGGAGACTTAAGCTTGTGGGGCTTAGGTGATGAAGCAATTCCATGGCTACGTTTCCTTCCCAAGAGAGAATAGAAGTAGAAGGACCTGAGTTCTTGGCCCTTTGCAACAACCAAGGGTAGAGACGCCAAACACACCATGTGTGTGCCTTTACTCCCCCATCATGTACACAGCAAATATCACCAAACAATGGAGCACTCTTTCCTGTTGTGTAGGATTCCAGAGAAATCTACACACCCCTTCTCACCACCACTCCAGGTAGCCATACCAACCAATCAATAGCAATTGACAGGTCAAATGAAACCTATTTGCCATCTCTAGCCCAGAAAGCTGGAGAGTGTTTTGAGGGACAGCTGGAATTTAAGGAGGTAACACATAGTTTGGGACGAAGCCTTTTAAGAAACACCAACCTGTCCCTCCTTTCTTCCCTCCCCATGTAGATTTCCCTCCAGTACAAGTCTGGAAGTAGCTGGTATCACACCTGTGGAGGGACCCTCATCAAACAGAAATGGGTGGTGACAGCTGCTCACTGTGTGGACAGGTAAGAAAAACAAAGACCAGCTTTCCTGAACCCCTAGGAGGGGAAGAGTCTGGCCCTTCTGGAGGAGTATGTATCTTTGGCCTTTCAGGACCCGACTTTAAGTGGGTGCTGGGGCCTGTGGGGAGGTAGGGGAATACAGAGTGAAAAGTACAAATTTTGGTGTCAGACAAGCTCTGGTTCAAATCCTATTCTACCTTCTTCTAGCTACGTGACCCTGAGCAACTTACTTAGCTTCTCGAAGCCCTCAGTCTCTTATCTCTGAAATGGGGTAATAATACCTACTTTGTAGAGTTATTGTGAGGATTAAGTAGGTAAATATTTAAGTGCCTAGTCAATGCCTGGCTGGAAACCATTTTTTTAAATATTGGTCTTGAGCAACGGTTCTCAAATTTGGGCATGTATGGAATCACCTAGAGGGCACTGATAGCTGGCCCCCACCCAGCAGAGTTCCTGATTTGGTCAGTCCAGGTTGAGTCCCGAGAATCTGCATTTCCAGCAAATGTCCAGGTTATGCTGATGCTGCTGGTCCATGTGTTAAGAACTACTGGTCTGGAGCTTGTACTTCCCGCAAAAGCCACTGTGGGCTGAGAGCCATCATTTCCTTTATGCTCACCACACCTCTCCCAGGTTGTGAGATATTCAGTCTATGATGTTTAGCTCAATAAATTGGGAAAATGAAGTTGATGGTAGCGTTTGTCACTTCCACAAGTTAGTAAATGAGAGAATGAAAGAGCTTTTTACTTCCTCATCCTCCAGGGCCTTTCTTCCCTCCTCTACCTGGGCCAGATAAGATGGGTTCTTGTCCTAAAGACAAGCTATAAGATCGCTTCCCAGTTTTTCTCTAAGGAGGAAAGAGACGGTGTGAGCCCACTGGATCACTCGGGGCTTCCTTCTCTCACTCCAGCCAACTGACCTTCCGTGTGGTGGTTGGAGAACACAACCTGAACCAGAACGATGGCACTGAGCAGTACGTGAATGTGCAGAAGATCGTGGTGCATTCCCAGTGGAACAGGAATAACGTGGCCGCTGGGTAGGAGCAAGGCTGGGGAGGCCTTGGGCTGGGAGGTGGAGGGCTGACTAGCCAGTAATGGGATCTTGGCTTAGTTCATATTCATCCAGGAGAGCTTTGCGAATTTAGATTGTGGAGAGCTTGAGAATGTTTGAAGGTCTTTGGGATTTATTTGATCTAGGCTGGTTTGCATGATTCGATCACCTGAAGCTCCTTCTCTGCCGAGTTCAATGTTTCCATTTTTATTGTTATTTATTATTCATTTTATAGAATAGACTCCATCAGCAAAAGTAAATTTCTTAAAATGAATCTCACATGAGAAAACTCCTGCAAGACTGGGCTGTAAGTTTTTGAAAAGGAAGTAGTTAAAATGATTGTCAGGGGCTGGCCCTGTAGAGTAGTGGTTAAGTTCAGTGCACTCTGTTCCGGCAGCCCAGGTTCACGGGTTTGGATCCTGGGCGTGGACCTACACCACTCATCAGCCATGCTGTGACGGTGACCCACATACCAAATAGAGGAAGACTGGCACAGATGTTAGCTCAGGGCTAATCTTCCTCAAGCAAAAAAAGAGGAAGACTGGCAATAGATGTTAGCTCAGGACAAATCTTCCTCAGCAAAAAATAAATAAATAAAAATAAAATGTGGTCAGTTCTGTAGAGTATGGAGGTGAAAATGGGTTCAAGTAGTTGGGACATTTCTGTAGAGCTTTCAGAACCATGCAGCATTTTACATCTTTCTTTTTTGAGAAGTCTTCTTTGCTACCAAGATCACACCACTCTGCTCCTTTCTGAATCCCCATTCATAACAGAAAGACGTAGGCTCCACTCCCCTGGGTTGCAGAGATCAGAGCTGGAGTACAACAAAAGACCTCAGCAGCAGTGCTGCTGTTAAACATATCATTTCCTACAATCCAAATGTGTAATTCCTCAAGTTTGAGGCTTAGCAAATCAGCCTCCTCCTTCTTCAAAGTCATTAGTTTCCACTTCTATGGGGACACAAAGACTAGAGAAGGCCCAAGAGGGCCCGTATGCTGACCTGAGGGAAGCACTGATCCCATGAGTGAGCAGTCTCCTTTCCTCCCACAGTTATGACATTGCCCTGCTGCTCCTGGCCCAGAGCGTCACCCTTAACAGCTACGTCCAGCTAGGTGTTCTGCCACAGTCGGGAACCATCCTGCCTAACAACACGCCCTGCTACATCACAGGCTGGGGCAGGACCAAGAGTAAGTCACCTACACTGGCACCATCTGCCACATGCCTCTTGATTGGGCAGCTCAGCTTCTGGGGCACATTTTTCTGTGGTCCTAGGTATTCATAGCCAGAGACCAGAAACCAAAGGAACTAGAGAGAAAATGACTGACACTTGAAATCAAGTTAAGAACGGGCTGTGGAATAGTCAAGTCAGAGACTCAAAGTCTCTTATGGCTAAAAAAACCTAACCTCAGAGAGTATTTTGTATCAGCCTCTCATTTTACGCATGAGGAAGTTGAGACCCAAAGAAATTAAAGACCTTGTCCAAGATCACATGACTAGTTAGTAACTAGTTCGCTGAGGCCGGAAGCCGGGTATCCTGGCTCCTACTTTGGTGGTCATTACACCATCATGCTACCTCCATAGACAGTCACCGGGCTGTGGGTTGGAATGAATGAAGCAGGAGTAGCTGTAAGTCCAGAGAAGTGAAGGCAGAGGAGGCCTTAGGAGACCTCTTCTGGTCATGACAGGAAGATTTCTAGTGGGGAATGTCATTCAGATAAGGTGGAAAGGTGGGAGGGCTATGAGCAGAGATAGTCAAAAGGACACAGACATGAGGCCGGCCCTGTAGCCTAGTGGTTAAGTTTGGTGTGCTTCACTTCAGCGGCCCAGGTTTGGTTCCTGAGTATGGACCTATACCACTTGTGGATTGCCATGCTGTGGTGGCAACTCACATACCAAATAGAGGAAGATTGGCACAGTGTTAGCTCAGAGCAAATCTTCCTCAGCAAAAAGAAAGAAAGAAAGAAAGAAAGAAAGAAAAAAGCAGGGCAGAGACATTAGGCCTGACACAGAAGTCTGTCAGCCATCAGGCAGTATTTGAGCTCTGGAGAGGAGGCAAGGCCTTGCTGTGAGCAGCCAGTCTACTGGGAGAACCTGGAGCTGAGAGAAAGAGATGCTTCTTATCCAGCTCTGCTCTCAGTTCACTTAACGTCATTGTGGTTCAATTTCCTGCTCTATAATATGGAAGGGTTGTTGTAAGGATCAGAGAAATAATTCATGGGCAAAGGTTTTGAAAAGTCAAAAGAGCCAGATAAAGGAAAGCTGCACCAAGCTCTTAAGGCATGGAAACAAGTCCCAGTTCTGCTTCTTGGGGTTCACAGTGTAAGGAGGAAACTGGACAGACAGATAAGTTATCAACAAATAAGACCATTCTAATTACTTAACTGAGGTATCAACGAGTTAAAAAAAAAAAGCAAGAGTAGGATTGGCGGTTTGGAGCCTGAGAACAGTAATCAAGGCTGACTCGCTGAAGGAAGGGGCCCTGTAGCTTCCATGTAAAGAGAGAAAAGAGGAGGATCTATAATAAGCAACGAGCAGAGAGGAGGAGCTTGCCCCGAGGTCAGCTTTCATCAGAGCCTGGGAAAGTTTGGCAGGGTGTGGAAGGTTTTCCCCCCCTCGGGGTGACATCTGGGGCTGACCTCCAATGCTGTGTGTCCTGTTCAGCTAATGGGCAGCTGGCCCAGACCCTGCAGGAGGCTTACCTGCCTTCCGTGGACTATTCCACCTGCTCCAGCTCCTCCTACTGGGGCTCCACTGTGAAGAACACCATGGTGTGTGCTGGAGGAGACGGAATTCGCTCTGGATGCCAGGTGAACACACTCAGGAAGTGTCGGGAGTCCCACCCCAGACCCCTCCCCTCTCTGCCTCCCACCCTCCACCTTTTCTTTACTCCCTGTTCCACACCTACTCCGACCTCATGTACAAATTCAACTTTCTACTCTGGCGTCTGAATGAGAATCTCTATACTCACAGAATCTCAAAGTTGAAAGGAACCTTAAAATTCATCCTGCATAATGCCCTCACTCCAAAAGCTTGTATGTGGCCCAACATTTGTATGGTGGTGTATGCGTGCATTCTTTAGAAGTTGTTTGTGGTGTGTTATGGCTGCAGTGGGGCTAGGCCTGAGTGGTGGATGTAATTGTGTGCAAGGTAGCTCCCCGCCATCAATGCCAACTTCTGTAGCTTCTCCTCCACCACCTCTTTATCCCGGGAGTATTCACAGTAGTGAATACGGTGGGGGAAAGTGCACAAAATAGTTTTATAATAGTTTATATATATAATCAATAGAATCTTCTTTTATTTAGACAAGATCAATCGGCAGTACACCATCTTAGAGATTTCTTAATGCAGTTCAACAAATATTCTTGATTATCTACCAAATGCCAGGCACTATACCAAGTGCTAGGCACACAAAGATGAATCAAACAGTGTCTGGTGGAGAAATGCGAGGAGCAGACACATGTTAGAACATTGTAATGCGATGTGGTTAAGTGTTATCACAAACATACGCATAGGGTGATGTGGGAGTCCAAAAGATAGGCACTTACCTCTACCTGCTGGGGCCAGAAAAGACTTGCCTTGCCCAAGAAAGTGGGGTCTGTAATGAGTCCTGAAGGTTAAATAGGACAAAGCCAGGCAAAAAGGGGAAAAGAGGGGCCGGCCTCATGGTGCAGCGGTTAAGTGCACACGTTCTGCTTTGGTGGCCCGGGGTTCTCTGGTTCAGATCCCGGGTGCAGACATGGCACCACTTGGCAAGCCATGCTGTGGCAGGCATCCCACATATAAAGTAGAGGAAGATGGGCAGGGATGTTAGCTCAGGGCCAGTCTTCCTCAGCAAAAAGAGGAAGATTGGCAGCAGATGTTAGCTCTGAGCTAATCTCCCTCAAAAAAAAAAAAAAAGGGAAAAGATACTCTGAGAGAGGGAACAGCATGAACAAAGGCATGGGCCAAGAAACGTCTAGAACACATAGAGAATTATAGGGCATTTGCTACAGCTAGAGGAGAAGTCGGAGCCTCAAGACTCCAAATCCAGCCTGCTCCCTGTTTTTGTATGGCCCACGAAGTAAGAATGGTTTTTACGTTTTTAAATAGTTGGGGAAAAAATCAAAAAATAAGAAAATGTCATGACACTTGAAAAATATAAAATTTCAATGTTTAGGAAAATACCATTTTATTAGAATACAGTCATATTTGTTCATTTATGTATTACTTATGGCTGCTTTCACAGGGTTGAGTATTGTGACAGAGACTATATGGCCTGCAAAGCCTAAGATATTTACTATTTGGCCCTTTACAGAAAAAGCTTGCTGAGCTCTTGGCTAGAATATATCACCACACCAGGGGGTGTCAGGAGATGACACTAGGGACAAGTAGGAGCCACATGACTTAGGGCTTCAAATGCCATGCTTGGGGATGTGAGCTTTCTCTCTTCGGCACTGGCAAACCATTGAAGAGTTTTAAACAGGAGAACAGCATGATCAGACTTTCCTTCTAGAAGCCGTCTTTGATAACAAGGTAAGCCTGTTTCTGAAGAGGGCAACCTTGGCAGGAAGACTGGTTAGGAGACTATTGCAATTATCTCAGCAAGAAACTTGAGGACCTAAATGAGGGCAGTGGAGGGGAGGGAAGAAGAAGGAGGGTCTGAAATGACTTACAGGCATCTGGTTTAAGTGATTTTGGGGAAGGGTTTTCTGCCTCAAATGAGCCAAGATTTATAATATTTGAGAGGGAAGGTGACGAGTTTGTTTCTGGACAAGTTGAGTTGGAGATCCCACTGGGACATTTGGGCATAGTTAACCGGTAAGAAATTCGGTGTAAGAAAGTGGAGCCTGGGGGAGAGAGCTGGGCTAGACACGCCCTTAACAGCAAGTGAGATCCACCGCCTCCCCTTGCCCCCACCAGGGAAAAGCGGTAGAATGAGAAAAGAGCAGAGAGTTGGGGGAGGAACGTGATAACTGAAATACTTGAGTGCTTCAGGAATAGGTGGAGGACAAAGAACCCATAAGGATCTAGAGGGATTTGAGATAAGAGAAAAAGGTAGTAATAAGTGTTTTATAAAATCTCAGGAAATACTGATAGGTCATCCCAGTCTACTGTGTAGCCGAGAGCCACAGTAGGTAACTGAAAGTGGCTACTTTGCTGGTGAGTAGGTCACTGGGAACTATGGAGTGGTGAGGGCAGAAGCTTGACTGAAGGGCAAGGAATGAAGAGGCAATAAGAAACGTAGCAAGGAGGGGCCGGCCCGGTGGTACAGGAGTTAAGTGTGCATGTTCCGCTTTGGCGGCCCGGGGTTCGGCGGTTTGAATCCTCGTTGTGGACATGGCACCGCTTGGCACAGACATGGCATCGCTTGGCAAGCCATGCTGTGACAGGCGTCGTACATATATATATGCTACATATAAAGTAGAGGAAGATGGGCACAGATGTTAGCTCAGGGCCAGTCTTCCTCAGCAAAAAAGAGGAGGATTGGCAGCAGATATTAGCTCAGTGCTAATCTTCCTCAAAAAAAAAAAAAAGAAACATAGCAAGGAATGTAGAATACTTTTCCAGGAATCTTGTATGAAAGAGAGGAATAGAAAAAGTCTGGTAGCTCTAAGGAGGATGACAAGTCATGGAGGGGGTGGATCTTTTAAGAAGGAAGAAAGTTGAATGTGTTGAGAGGTAGAGAGGAGAGAATCCTATAGAGTCAGAATGGCACAAGATGCCAGAGGAGAAGGAAGAGGTGGCAGCAAGAGCACAGGTGAAGAGGAAGAGCCTTTGAACAGGAAGAGGAACACTGAAATGTACATGGACATGAAAGAGTGTGCAGTCTGGGTAGTTGGAAGGTGGCACGTGTTCTGCATTATTGTTTCTATTTACTCATGTACTAGGAGTCAGATTGAATGCTGAAAATGAAGGGGCAAGGGTTGTATGGGTTTGGATTAATTAAGATGAATGAGAGAAGGATTGGCTTCCAAGATGTTACTGATAGGCTGAGGTTGGAGACCACACAATGAACACAGGGGTCTATGATTCACTCTATTTTACTCAAAGACTCACCTGAAGGGAATGGATTAATCCAGGACTGGGTTTTCCTGCATTATTGGAGCAAAAGGACAGGACTGCAGATCAACTGCAAGGTTCCAAGCTAGGAAGAGGAGGAAGAGAAGCCAGCAGGAGGCAGGTTTGTTGTTAGTGCCCTCGAGTTGATTTTGACTCCTGGCAACCATGTGTACAGCAGAGCCGAACCCTGCCCAGCCTTTTTGCACCATCCTCTCATCTTCTGGCGCTATATCAGACCATGCTCTGCTGCTCCTCTGGGCCAATTTTGTCAGAAGTGAGTGGCCAGGTTCTTCTTCCTAGTCTGTCTTAGTCTGGAAGCTCTGCTGAAACCTGTCCACCATGGGTGACCCTGCTGGTATTTGAAATACTGGTGGCATAGCTTTCAGCATCACAGGAACATGCAGTCACCACAGTATGACAACCCGCAGATGGTGGTGAGGTTCCCTGACCAGAAGCAAACCAGGGCCGCAGCCATGAGAGGGCCAAATCTTAACCACTAGACCACCAGGGCTGGCTAGCAGGCTGGTAGGCTGGCTGAAACAGTAGAATCAGAGGAAGACTAAAGGTTTTTTTGTGAGCACTTAGAATCATGGAAGGAAGGTGACCAACTCATCCCAGTTTTCCCAGGACTTGCCAAGTGTTAAAACTTAAAAGTCCTGTATCCCAGGAACCCTACATGCAAGTAGGGGAAAAAAAAGAGAGGCGTGCATACGGTAACCTCTCCCAGGTCCTCACCAGGTCCTTCACCTATAACCTCTTAAGGTCTAACCTTTCTTTCTTTGTTTTTTTTTTAGTATTTTATTTTTTTTATTGAGGTAACATTGGTTTATAACATTATATACATTGCAGGTGTACATCATTATATTTTGATTTCTGTGTAGACTACATCATGTTCACCACCCAAAGACTAATTACCATCCATCACCATACACATGTCCTGTCACCTCTTCGCCCTCCTCCCTCCTCCCTTCCCCTCTGGTAACCACCAATGTAATCTCTATATCTGTGTGTTTGTTTGTTGTTATTGTTGTTTTTATCTTATACTTATGAGTGAGATCTACAGTTTTCGACTTTCTCCACCTAACTTATTTCACTTAGCATAATACCCTCAGGGTCCATCCATGTTGTCCCAAATGGCAAGATTTCATCTTTTTTATGGCTGAATAGTATTCCATTGTGTATATATACCACATCTTCTTTATTCGTTCATCCCTTGATGGCCACCTAGGTTGCTTCCAAGTCTTGGCTATTGTGAATAATGCTGCAGTGAACATAGCAGTGCAAATATCTTTACACATTCGTGTTTTTGTGTTCTTTCAATAAATACCCAGCTGTGGAATAGCTGGATCGTATGATAGTTCTATTCTTAATTTTTTGAGGAATCTCCATACTGTTTTCCAAAGTGGCTGCACCAGTTTGCATTCACACCAGAAGCGTATGAGAGTTCCCTTTTCTCCACATCCTCTCCAACATTTGTTACTTCTTGTCTCGTTAACTATAGCCATTCTCAGGGGTGTGAGGTGGTATCTCACTGTAGCTTTGATTTGCATTTCCTTAATAATTAGTGATGTTGAGCATCTTTTCATTTGCCTTTTGGCCATCTGTATATCTTCTTTGGAAAAATATCTGTTCAGATATTTTGCCCATTTTTTAATTGGGTTGTTTGTTTCTCTTTTGTTGAGATGTATGAGTTCTTTATATATTTTGTATATTAACCCCTTATCAGATATATAGTTTGCAAATATCTTCTCCCAATTGTTAGACTATCTTTTCATTTTGTTGCTGGTTTCCTTTGCTGTGCAGAAGCTTTTTAGTTTGATGTAGGTTATCTTTCCTTTGTTTCCTTTGCCTGGTCAGACATGGTATTTGAAAATATGCTGCTAAGGCTGATGTTGAAGAGGGTACTGCCTATGTTTTCTTCTAGAAGTTTTATGTCCAGCTCTTACATTTAAGTCTTTAATCCATTTTGAGTTACCTTTCTAAATTAATTCATTTCCCTCTGTTCTCTCTCAGGGCCTTGAACTCTGAAAAACTAGAGTACTTTTCTTCTGGCTGCCACTCCAAATGTACAACTCTCTGAGGCCATTGTGTCTCCCAAATAGTGATTCTTCCAGGTTTTCAGACTTCTGAGTCCCCAACCACCTTCCTCAGAGTGGATTCAACCCTCCTCTCACTTCAACCCACCCACTCCCACTCCTCTCTTTCCCAGCTCTTCCTTCTGCCCTAAAATCCACGGCCACACCCTCTGTCTCTCCAGAGCCTTTGTTTCTTTTGAGGTCAATTAGCATAAAACAATAGTACTGTATACAATTCAATTACCTTCCATTCCTCTCGCCCAGAAATACTCTCAAATCCCTATTAGAATTCGGGTGGAAGAGATTTAGGTTGTTTTGTTTGCTTTAAGTACAATTATCTAACGTAAACATTTTTCCTAAACAGTAGTTGGAGTGGGGTACCTTTTTAAAAGAATTACCCCAATTTGAACTTTTGAGTTTGGTCTCCTTCTCTTTTTTTTTTTTTTTTTTTTTTGAGGAAGATCAGCCCTGAGCTAACTGCTGCCAATCCTCCTCTTTTTTCTGAGGAAGACTGGCCCTGAGCTAACATTCATGCCCATCTTCCTCTACTTTATATGTGGGATGCCTGCCACAGCATGGTGTGCCAAGCGGTGCCATGTCTGCACCCGGGATCGGAACCAGCGAACCCCGGGCCGCCGAAACGGAACATGCGCACTTAACTGCTTTGCCACCAGCTCAGGCCCTGGTCTCCTTCTCTAGTTCTTCTTTCTTAAGTTTTAATTTTTATAAAAGCTATATGTATTAAATTGCTTAAGGTGGCAAATAAAATTATGAGGCTTAATAATGGAAAAGAACAGTTATTGTGTTCCTTGCCCTCTCCTTGAGTTCTCCCTCGCCAGAAGGGACCACCTTCAACTCTTTTCAGCTGCTTCTTTTAGTGTCTGCCTCCACACCTCTCTAAAAGATACACTTATATTGCTACTTAATTTTTCAGTTCAGGCATTATGGAAAATGTGGGTCTTTCTTCCTTTCACACATACATACCTGTCTCCCAAGCATGAAATTTTCTTATCCCCACTTCAACCTCCCTAAATAATTTTGGTTAGATTAACGTTTAGTATCTATTATGATTACGTAAAATGTTATTCACAACCAAACCATGTTGTATTCTAGGATTACTTTTCATTTCCTGCATAGCTTTGTTTTCCCTGGAGTTAGTAATTGTCTTTTTTATTTGTGTAATATACACATCCCTAATTCAAACCCATAGTTTCTACTAATTTGTTAGTGACCTATTTTATCTTCTCTTGACTCTAGTGTTCTGTGTCTTGGTATGAGTCTATTTGCATTCATCACAAGGGACACTTGGTGGGTTTTTTCTTTCTGGAAATTCCAGATCTTTGGTTCAGAAAATGTTCATTTGTTGATGATTTCTTCCCCTGCATTTTTATTTTGTCTTTCTAAAATTTGTTATTCACATATTTACCTCCTAAACTGGTCCTCTTATTTTCTGTGTATTTTGTTTGTTTGTTTTATCTTCCAACCCTTCCAATCTTTTATTTCTACTATCATATTCATAATTTTCAAAGGCTCTTTTTGTTTTCTGAATATTCTGTCTAATAGCAGGTTGTTCCTGTATCATGGATGCAATATTAATTGTAGTTCTGTTGCTTGTTTTCTTCTCCCTGCATAATCTTGGTTGCCTTTGTTTTTTGTTTATTTCTTCGTCTCTTCGTTTTGATCTGTATTTTTATATAGAGGCTTTCTTCAGACGTTTGTTAATCCTTGACCATTTGCTCTTATTTCAGAGCGGGGTGATAAAAAGCTAATTGGTAGCTCTGAGCCTTAGGTGGGGTTCATATATAGCAAACTGCACTGTCAAGTGATCTGGCTAGACCTTTTCACTGGAGAACCTCCAATGTCACTGTCTTTAGGTCTTCCCTCTTGTGCTGGTTAGATTCTCCAGAGAAATATCTTTCAATTTTATGTCTGGAATTACAGAACTGACATTCTGGGAGCTGAGTAAGGAGAAGAGCGTCAAGATCATATTCTATAACCCAGGTTCCTCTGATTCTAAGCCTGAGCTGGTAACCACTACCCAATGCATCACTTTCTCTCCTCTTCACTCCAGTTTAGCTTAACATATGTTGACTGCCTACCCTGTGTCTAAAGGTTAAAGGTTAAGTCTAATTAGACCCATTGGTCTAAACACCGGGGATAAAGAAATCATTAGAACACCCTGCTTATCCTACCCCAGATTCAATTTAGTCAGCAAAAGCTATTGAGTTTAAGATGTTCAAAGTTCTACGCTAGCATTGTGGAGAGGAAAAATATCTGTAAGACATAGTTCCTGTCTAAGAAGCTCATAGATACACGTGGGAGGTAGAAACAAATTATGAAACCAAAATAAAGGCAGAATATGACATAAGGGCTGCAAAAGAAAGAAATACTGTGGTTGGTTAGAAAGGAAGAAGAGATTTATCTTGATTGTGGGGATATGAAGGAAGCGGAGATTTAAAACTACAGGATTTTACAGAGATGGGAGTGGGCTGGGTGTAAGCAAAAGCAAAGGCCCAAAGATCAAAAGATCTGGAGTTTGAAGACTCTGCTTCTCCTCCATGCAGGGTGATTCTGGGGGTCCCCTACACTGTTTGCTGAATGGCAAGTATGCTGTCCATGGAGTGACGAGCTTTGTGTCCAGCCTGGGCTGTAATGTCTCCAAGAAGCCCACGGTCTTCACCCGAATCTCTGCTTACATCTCTTGGATAAACAATGTGAGTCCTCTCAAATGCCAGGTTGAAATAGGGTCATCTGGAGACCCATGCACTGGCTGAGCTGGGGAATAAAAGTTGGGCAGGGGAAGCCACCATCTTCCTCGTATGTTTACTCCTTCCCCTTCCCTTCATAGTGCACTTCCCCTCAATATGCTGCCATCCTGAGTTCCCCTTCTCAACCCACTAAGCAGGGTTCACCATGCTGACTACTGCTCAGGATAAGATGGTGGCAACAGCAGATGTGAACCAGGCACACATCAGTGCCGTCCTCAGTCAAAGCCAAGGGAAAATCAGCTTCAGAAAGGCCTGCATGCTCCTGGGCAAGGGAAGAGGCACTTACATTCTCTCCCACAAGCTCTTTCTGAGGGCATGATAAGAATTTGCTCTACCCTTTGGAAAAAGGTTTTACCACCTTAAAAAATGCCTGAGGGTTAGGTGAGACTCTACCTACACTGACGTAGAGATAAAGCCTAACAATCATCCCACTTGTGCCCTCCAGCCTTCAAATACATTCTAGAGTCCTGTGGTGTGAACTTTGACTCACAACCATTTCAAGGTCTGTCCTTGCCACTAAGTCCTGGGGATGTTCCTATAACATTGAGTTGTCCTGACACAGCTGATACCTACTATCTGCTCCCCACTTTCTCAACTCCACAAAAACCCAGTACAGGGCCATACTCAAACTGGGAGCCCTGAAGAAAAAAGAAAGGGGGTGGACAGAGGTAACTGGATATAACTGTCTTTTCCTTCAGGTCATTGCCAGCAACTGAACATTCTCCTGAGTCTGACGGCCTTCCCAAGACGATTCTTAGATCCACAGCAGGACTTGAGACCATCAATGAAAAAAGATTCTAAGAAACTATTAAGCCACATGCAGAAAAGCAAATAAAACTACATTATCATCGTGTGTCTTTTTATTTGTAATTAAGCTCTCTGGAGGAAATGCAGTTATAGGACCCAAATTAGATTTCACCACATTTCTGGTCTGGTTCTTCCATTTGCTGCCACCTCTACCAATTCAGAAACTGAGCCAAGTGGGAGTGGTTTTACATTATCCTTTTTGTGTTATTTTAGGATCTACCTACCCATTAAGCTGCCCATCTGCCCCTCCTTCCATGCATATTGGCTATATTCAAAAGCACACAGCGCTTTAGCACGTTCCTGAGTAACTAAATGTGCCCCAACTCTCCCAGGTAGACTGTGGGCTCATCTTTCTTTTGTTTTCCTCTTCAGTACCTGGAACTGGTGCTCACCCCAAGATTCTGGGTTATGGCAACTACTAGGACACATGAGAGATGGGAGTATAGGATTAGGTGGCAGGTCAGATGCTAGCAGACAAAGAAAGTGACAAATTAGAAAGGAAACTAGGGAGGAAAGAACAGAAAAAAGGAGAAAAGAAAAAGAAGATACTGAACAAAGAAAGGAAAGGGTCGAGGGGAAGAGGCAGAACAAAAAGGGAGGAAACAACACTGTGGGGCATCAAACTAAGTGTGAGTCAGCACTTCAAGGCTTGGACTAAAACAGGCAACCGGATCCAGGGTTCTACAAATCACAGAGAACTGGGAAGCTGATAATCTGCCCTATCATGACCAGGATTCAGTTTGTTAGAGTGGCCTACAATAGAGTGAAGAGGGAAGTGAAAGGGGAATGCTAAGAGGATGAGAAGCAGCTTTTCATAGCAATCACAGAGGACCGGAAAAGAGGGACAAGGGTATTTAACATTACAGCAGCGGAAACCAGCTAAGACCCATCCTGTAATTTGCAGGCTGCTGTGTCAGCAGAGGCCTCTAGAACAGTGCATACAGTATAACAGGCTGGGCTGGAGTCAGGACGCCTGTACATCCATCTCAGTTTCACCACTGAGGACTGGGTAACCGTAGGCAAGTCACCAGCCCTTTCTGTGACTCAGTTTCTCTAACTTCTAAAGATTGTTCCTGCTCTAATACTACATGCTTTGGTGACCATCAATTTCAGTTCCCAAGAAACTGGCACTGAAGAGTTTCTTAGGAGGCAGTGGCTGGGCTGCATTGCTGTGGATTCCTGAGAGTGACACAGGTATTGGCCTCCTCTGCTAGTGGCATACCCGGCATCATCACCATCTTCTCTCAGTGTTCCCACAGTACCACCACCCGCTGGGCTTCTCCTCACTTCTCCCCATCCAGTATCAAATCCTTCCATTTCTTCTCTCTGCCCCTTCTAGACTATCCCCACAGCTAACATTCAGAATAAACCCTAATGACCTACTTCCTGAAAATTTTATATCCATTGCTATAAACAAATTAAGCGTATAACATTATAATCACCTGATTACCAACTTATCTCCACCTCCAGATTTTAAGCATCTTGAGGTCAGAGAATGCTTTTTTAAATTCATCCTTGGCTTCCCAAAACCCAGCAATGCCTGTCACACGGTTGACCCTGAGTAGACATGTCTGTTTTGGGAGAATGAACTAGAAAACAATAGCAGACAAGGGCCTCCAATTTTGTCTCAGGCCTCCAGCTTCCCTCTCCACTCCTTAGGAAGTGTTTTTTTTTTTAAAGATTGGCACCTGAGCTAGTATCTGTTGCCAATATTCTTTTTTTTCCTTCCTTTTCTCCTTCTCCTTCTTCTTCTTCTCCCCACAGCCCCCCAGTACATAGTTGCATATTCTAGCTGTGGTCCTGCTGGTTGTGCTATGTAGGACGCTGCCTCAGCATGGCCTGATGAGCGGTGCCATGTCTGTGCCCAGGATCCAAACTGGTGAAACCCTGGGCCGCTGAAGCAGAGTGTGCAGACTTAACCACTCGGCCAGGGGCCGGCCCCAGGAAGTGTATCTTGAGCCTCTTCCTTGCCTTAAGGGAATTTTACCTGCACTGTAAAACCCTTGAGTAAATGGTTCCTCCAAACCTAGTGTCCTAATTTCCAGCTCTCCTCTCAAACAGGTCAGGGAGTAACTTCCACTTGGAGAACTTCTAGCTAGAGAAGCAACAGTTGTAAGCAGTCCCATCCCAACTCTCACAATCGGTATCTGTCTTCACCTTCCGCCTCCATAAGTACAGCGTACTAGTTTATCCAGCTAGAAAAATTTGCTCCCCATCCCCAGCACAGTCTTCCTACTCCCTCCTCAGTCTCTGTTCAGTAAGATCCTCTCTTTTCCCAAGGACCCCCATTTCTCTCTCTCGTGCAGTTGTTCCTCCCTTTCAAATCCAGCTCTAGAGTTCCCCCTCTGCCCTCTCATACCAGTTCCAGGCTTAGAGCCAGCCTCCCTGGTACAGGCTCTCCATCTTTAAAGACTGCAACCTGGAGTAAGAAATATATTTTACTTGGCAACCTAGTCATACATGGGTTGACCTATATACACACCCATATAAGTAAAACACGTTTTCTGATGCAATAAATACGCCTGCTGAATGGAAATCACGGTATTCTCTACCCATGGTTTCAGTTATTTTCCAGTTCTGACTGTTACAGCTAAGCAGCTTTCGGGACCAACGAGGCCTGGCCCACCTTCGAAAGCTCTTTTCAGTGGGGCTGCGGTTTCTACACCTCAAGGCTGGAGAGCTTTGCAGGCGGTCCTGAGCAGGCGCCTCCTGAGGGCCGGCCCAGGCTGCACGCCCTCAGGCCCACCTCCTCTGACCAGGCCCCACGCCCCGCTCGCCCCCTGCTCTGGGCCGCCCCCCGACTGTGCCGGGTCGTGGGGAGGCCTCGGGGGGCACGGCTGGCTAGGCCCCAGTGGGCCTCGGAGTGGGCCTCACGGCGGGTCACACGGTGGCTGCCATGGGGGCCGCCAGGCTTGCTGCCCTGGGCCTTGGGGTGGCCTCGGGGTGGTCGTGGGCAGCCTCAGGGTGAGCCTGAGGCGGCCGCGGGGCAGGGCGTGCCGGCCAGCAGGGCCAGGAGGAGGAGGCCCGCCCGCCGCCGCCGCCGGGTGCGAGGCATGCCGGGAACCGCACTTCCTCCTCAGGGGCCTCCTGAAAACCACAGGGCTTAGGGCCCGGGCGGGCGGCCCCCAGGGAGCCGGCGGGATGGCAGAGGGCAAGGCGGGCGGCGCCGCCGGCCTCTTCGCCAAGCAGGTGCAGAAGAAGCTCAGCAGGGCCCAGGAGAAGGTAGGCGGCCAGGCTTGGCGGCTGGCGGGGAGCCGAGGCCCAGGGCCGGCCACGGCGAGAGGGGGCGCAGGGTGTTTGGGGCCCAGAGTCCTGGCTGAAGAGAAGGGGCGCCGGTTCCCCCAGAAAGGCGAGCGGAGGCGGGTTTCACTACAACGGGCAGATGTGAGAGAACGGAGAACGTCACCCGCTTTGGGGCCAGGACAGGGGAAGCTGAGGAGACAAGTCTCTCAGCAACCGTAACGCTCAGGCCAACCCAGAAAAGGTGAAAGAAAGGCATTAACGTTGGCGACTGCCACGGAGCGGTCTGCGTTCCAGCCTTCCAGCGAGGATGGTATTTCACAGATGAAATTGAAGGTTCCGAGAGGGTCGTTTCCCCCAAGTCCTAAGACAGCCGTGAGCAGCTGTCCTGCCAGTGGTACCACCGGTCAGCTTAGACCGCAGGTCCGCAAGGGCCAGAGTAATTGTGCATCCTTCTCCCTGTACCTAACCCTGCCTGGCGTCTGGGTGTTGTTTAAGCTGATGTAAACAGTAGCCCAGTTCTGCTTCCTGCCCCTTCCCTTTGCCCGGCCAGCGCATCCGGCCCAGGGTGACTGAAGGAGCATCTCTTTTTAGATTGTGTCCTTCAGCAGCTCTGGGTGGCCCTACTCCAGCACTAGCGTTTAGGTAGGCTGTCTGTCTATAAGTTGCCTACCTATGTAGATTGCGTGGACACTTCTCTACACATTTTAATGGTGTTCTTGCTTCTACTTGTTGACAGTATTTTCTTTCCTTCTAACCTGAACCTCTGCTTTCCACCTATCAACACTTTGGTAGATGAGATGGTATGAAAAGATGACTATGCCAGAAGAAAAAGCCGGAGGGGGACAGATAAGAAGGACTTGAGACAGAATTTTGGTTGTCTAAGGGTTTGTGGTTTTAGAAGCATTTGGATGAATACCACATGCTTAAGAATTGAAATATTCGTATCATCTTCTAAAAGCAGAGCACTGGTTTGGGCCCTGGGAAGGATTAAAGGCAACCAGCTCTCCCAAGTGGGGTTATCAACAGAATTGATGGACGGTAGATGTAGTCCCTTTCTTTAAGAGGCTCACAATGGAAGGGAGAGGAGAATAAAAAATATATATATATATATATGTATATGTATATACTTTATATTATATGTATATGTATAGTATATGTATATACTATATATTTTTCTGTCTTTGTCTGAGGAGGCCGGGGTGATGTGGAAGAGCAGAGGAAAAGGGAAAGATTTTGTACGGCTAGACTTTCTTATTTCATTTTACCCTGACTTCACCTTGATCATGGTTTCAGCCTCTCCAAGGCTGTCTGGTCACTAATCTGAAAGATGGAGATGAGAGCCTGTGGGAAGGTGTAGTTAGATGTGGTATGGAGGAACAGAAGGTACTAGGGAAGAGAAGGCTGGCTGCGCTATGGGTTGGACAAACAGAAAAGACAGAAAACTCATGGTTAATAGTTATTTTTAAAAGACACAGCAGTTGATTTTACTCACTCTTTCACCTTCTGTCCTCTTTTAGCCTATCATCAACACTATGCCCTTGCTTTCGGATTTCTCTCCTTTTCTAAGCCGGAACTCCAAAGCCTTGCGTAAATAATGTCCCTGCTCTGGGCTTCAGATTCTGCCTCTGTAAAATGACATTCAGTAATTTGGAAACTCAATTTGGTGGACACCTAAGTGAGAAGGGGAGAGGGCTTCTTGAACCTCAGAGTCAGATACTTCCCAAAGGGAGAACCAGCTGCCCAAGTACACCCTATACTTCCTGGTCTGAACCCTGAGAAGGCAGAGAAGAGCAAACTCAAATCTGCCCTGGGGAACCCCAGGTCGATGCAGGAAATAAGAAGATACTCTGAACCTAGACTTCGACAGAAGGACAGCAGATGTTGAACTTGGCGCAGTACAGCTGGCACCCTAGAGGTAGTGGATGCTGCCTAGAGTGGGAATGTAGGCCTGAGATGTAGGGAGGAGCTCAGCTCTGCCTGCCTGAGTCCTTGAGTCTTGGGAAGTTACTGAAGTCAAGATAGACAGGGAGAAAGTTATAGTCAAAAGAAAAGACTCCCTGGGACTCTGCAGTTTTTCTGTATGCATTTGGCTATAATCTGAGTAATATGTAATAACGAACATGTCAAATATCAAGTGCCTGTATGGATGAGGCACAAGAATATAAGAAAGATACGATCTCTCCCTTTATGGAGCCAACATTCTTGTGATGTGATCTCACTTCATCTTTTTCAACTCTTTATCATATTATTGGTATCCCAATTTTAGAAATGAGGAAACAAGGCTCAAAAGAGATTGACAAGTGGCAGAACTATCACTGAAACCCAGGTGTCCTGCCTTTGGATCCAACCTCAGGCTGCTCTCTTTACAAGCTTCCTGATAAACCACCCTGACATCTGTGCCTGCCCACTTCCTGCTGTGCCTGCCCACTTCCTGCTGATCTTCTCTCCAGAGCAAAGCTAGGAGTGGAAACACCTTTTGCTCGGGACTCCTCCTCTGAAAAACTAGAAGTGAAGGTCTGGTGACTGTTAAACATAATGGAGATGAAGCATTCTTCTTGTTTTATTTTCCAGTTCCCACCCAGACTCAACATGAGACCGAATTCAAGCTGGCTTTACTGTGTTTTTACAGTATGACACATCTTCACATTTCAAACTAATGCTTTCCCCATCTGTTTGTGAGTTCTCTGTGGCACACCTCTCAGATCTCCCCCGAGGAAGGGCAGTGTTTACTCTTCCTTTGTTGGTCTTTTCCTCTGTTGACTTTTACTCAACTTGTATCCCAAAGGGTTCAATAAACAGTTTACAGAAAAACTCCTTTGTCCAGGATACTAGGCTGGACCCAGGAGGCAATTTAGAGATGAGTAAGAGGGCATTATTGCCTGCCAGAAGCTTACAGTCTAGGAAAAAAAAAGTAAAATAAGTGATCTAGGGAGCTGCAGGTCTGTGGGAATTCAGAGGACAGAAAGATTGAGGAGAAGTGAAGGAGGTTTTGTAATGAAGGCTGAATTTGAGATAGAAATTATGGCTGATTAGTAGTTCCTCAGGCAAGTGGTGGGAGAGCATTCCAGCTGAGGAATGCCAGCATGAGCAAGGCATGGAGTCTGGAAATCTTTTAGGCAGAAGGGTGAGAGATGCAGCTGAGCTGGAGCACAGGGAGTGGTGTGAGAAAAGGCTGGAAAGTATATTAGGGCCATATTAAGGAGAGCCCACTTTAGCATATATTGTGAAAATAAGAATTTCTTACATAACTACAATATCATTATCATACTTAAGGAAAAATTTTTAACGAAACTCCATAATATCTAAGATCCAAGGCCTATTCAAATTACCCCAATAGAGAGAATAAACTAAGATATAATAAACGGTTATGGGGACGGGTCTTCATGAGGAGCTATAGCCACCAAACATGTCTGCACTGATTTTTTTTTAAAGCTTTATCCTCCCACCCCAATCTACACAAAAGTGTAGTCTTCCCTGATTTCACCAAGTGTTAACATTTTGCCACATTTACTTTTCCCCTTGTCCCTGCTGTTTCTCTCTAAATATCTGTGTTCTAGCTTCTCAGCTGCTAGGCCAGGCAAATGGGGGCGGAATTCTAAGTCCGGGACTTCAGGCATTGGTATTATGTGGACTTTTGTTAGGAAGTGCTCCAAAGGTGGAATTTATTAATTATCTCCACAAACATCTGTGGAGCATCTCTTCCCTCAAGGAACTCTGGTTGAGGAAGAACCTCTACTGCAAAGTCTAAGTGCCCTGTCACAGGGCCCTGTTGCTTATGACAACAAATGACTTTGGGCACTGGTTATGTTTCCACGGGGACAATGCTCTTTTCAGTTTCAGAATTGAAGGTGGGAGTGTTTCCTCAGCACACACACTCCCACGCCCTTCAAGGCTTTTTGCTTTGAGCCTTTTGGGGTTTGGGGATATTGATCTGTCCTGGCATGTGCCACGTCAGCTCTAGGCTAAGTTGACTCCTCTGTCCTTTCAGCCCCCTCCACCTCAGAAGAACCAAGCCCCAGGGCAAAGGAAGGGAGGAGTAGGGGCCTGCCCCGTGGCACAGTGGCTAAGTGCACACGCTCTGCTTCCTCGGCCCGGAGTTCACCAGTTCCGATCCCGGTATGGACATGGCACTATTTGGCAAGCCATGCTGTGGTAGGCGTCCCACATATAAAGTAGAGGAAGATGGGCATGGATGTTAGCTCAGGGCCAGTCTTCCTCAGTGAAAAGAGGAGGATTGGCAGCAGTTGGCTCGGGGTTAATCTTCCTCAAAAAAAAAAAAAAGGAAGGGAGGGGTAGCAGGAAGGAAGTGAGAGCTGCATTTAGCACTAACCAAGGTGGTTTTGTAACTCTGGTAGAGGACAGTGTTTTGTTGGTGTGAGCGGGAGGAGCCTGGGAAGATGGCTCACTCTGTGCAATCAGGGCTGGGTGTTAAGTGAGGTGGAGTTAGAGACGTGGACAAACACATATGGCTAAACTGAAAAGGAAACAAAACAAGTATTTATAGGGAGGGGAATGGAACTAGACATAATGATAGTGAATTTGTATTGAGTACTCACCAAGGGCAGCACTGTGAAAACAATTTACACATCATTTCATTCTCCCAGCAACTCCAGGAGATACTGTTATCTTAATGGGGGAAAGGGAGTTCTGTAAACTGAGGCTTAAGAGTTTAAGCAGTTTGTCCAAAGGCTTATAGCCAGTAAGTGGAAAGGCCAAGATGGGGGCATTTTTCTGTCTGACTTCAAGCCCTTGATCTTAACCACTATAAAGAGAGCTCCAGAAGTGAGAGACACTAACCCCAGGATTAAGAATGTAGACTCTTGGGTCAGAGTCTCGACATAGAGCTTTCCACACTCCCAAAACCTGGGCACTCTTGCATGTCATTCAGAGCCCTTCACAATGAGACTCCAATCTCCCTTTCTAGCTTCCTACCCACCACTCCCCAGAACACACCCTAAACCAGCCATGCTGAACCATCTCATGAAGCTGCCATGAATTTGCGTAATCCTGTGATTTTGCTGATGTTATCTTTGCCTGGAATTCTCTTTCCACCTTCACCCTTTATACTCTATTCCAGTCTAGCAAAATCTTAATTCAAGGCCCAGCCCATTGGTCCTTCCTGTATCAGTCTCACTCTCTTTCTTGTTTTATAACAGGTCCTTATGTTTTATAAATAGATATTTATGTATTAAGCACCTATTTGCTGGGTACTGAGAGATCTAGATGAGTAAGAAAAGTACCCAATCCTCAAGGAGCTCACTGTTTAGAAGGAGACATAGATAGATAAATACAAATATAAAAAGTAATAGAAGTGTATACAAGGTACAGAAGTTGAAGTGCTTAGGAGAGAGTGATTAACTCGATTAATGGGATGAAATAGATATGGTTAAGCATCACAAAGGATATAGAGTATGAATTGGGATAATTGCCTAACAGACAAGGTGGGGAAGAGCATTCCAAAAAGAAGCAAAAGCATCTATAACAAGCAATAATATGGCTTTGTAGGGGAGGAAGACATTTCCTCTACCCACTCTGGGTCCTTCTGGCTGTACTACAAATTAAATTGACATGAGACAGAATAACAGGAGAAAATTAAACAAAGCTTTATAACATGTATACGTGGGAGAGGCTCAGGCAAACTGAGCAACTTGCCAAAATGGCAGAGGTTCTCATCTTAAATACCATCTTCAGCTACAAAGGAGGATGTTGGGTGTGGGGCAAGTCAGTTATGGGAGACTACAAGAAAAGCACAGTAAACAAGAGTAAGGTTATTATGCAGATTTAAGTCCTTGCCTTCCTCATTGATAAGAGTTTTTAGAGGATAAGGTCATCCACCCTTCTTCCTGGTACAGAGAGGGAGAGCCTTTACAGATGGAGATTTTCCTTACAAATGTAAATGTCTCTTGCAAAGAGTAACTTCTACTTTTCAGAGTTTCTCTCACGCCTGCAGTTTTTAATCAGCCCAAAATAATCCACATGCCAAGGAGACATATCTTGGGGTGGCCAATTCCAATCTCCCTTAGCTTATTTGGGAAACTAAAAAAATGTTAGGGAGGGAGACCTGCAGGATGGAGGAATAATGAGAGCTGAGGCTTAGTGAAGGGTCAGACCGTTGAGACCTGTGTGCACGCTAGAGTTTGAACTATACCTTATAGATACGTAATGGGCATTTAATAAAAATTCATTGAGCAGATGAATGGAGAACCATTAGAAGGTTTTAAGCTGCAGCATGATGGGCCTATTGTAGCAGGCCAGATGAGAGACAATGAGGGCTTGGACTCGAGCTGTGGCAGTGAGACCAGAAAGCATGGGATGGTTTCTGGAGATGGACATGGTAAGGGATTTGATGAAGGAGGTGAGAGAGAAGTAGTTGAGGGCAACTCCTGAGATTCTAACTTGGGCCCGGGGGATAGAGTAACCCCCAAAATGGGGGTGACAGGTAGAAGAGTCAGGGCTTTCTTACTTGTTTATAGGTGAGCGTCCCTGCTGAGAGCAGGTACTGTATCTTTTTCATTTCCACATCCTTTGCATTAGCACTGAGACCAGTGTGATGGTTAGCTCTCAGTTTCCCAGTGGAGCGGAGATAGACATGGATAGCATTCATTTCTAGCTGAGTTTCAAATGCATTACATCAGAGCTTCTCAAAGTGTTCCACGAGGGCCCTTGTGAGAAAAGAGCGTCCTGCCAGCCTTTCCAACCTTGTCTGTCTAGAGGACTCTACAGCTATGGCAGGAAGAGGGTCTCTCAAGTGAAAAACATCTTCAAGGCTCATGTTTTATCTTTAAAGCCATACACATTTTACATTCTTCTTATTAATCCTTGTTTTAATAATGTATAACATTTTCCCCTTCCCCTGCAGTAAATAATGTCATTCCAGGAACATATACCATATTTATTCTGGGCTTTATATATACCCTCTAGCACACTACTACATACCCCAGAAGTACCCAATTTGAAAAGAACCACAAAACATGATAGTTTTTTCAGCAATGTGCTGTATTTCTAATTCTTTTGGCCTAATCTGAGTATGGGCCTTTAGTTGCATCTGAGACTGAGAAGCCAGGGTCATATGAGGCAACAGATATGAGAGACTTGACTATAGCCTTACGGACCTTTCTGACTTATATCACCAGGTACTACAGAAGTTGGGGAAAACTGTGGAAACCAAAGATGAACGGTTTGAACAAAGTGCCAGCAACTTCTACCATCAACAGGTAATCTGGAAGACGGGGAAGGGAAGCTTGAAGGAAGAAATGAGACATGAGGGCTGAACGGCAGCACAGCAGGCTCTGCAAACCAGCAAGCATCCCTACTAACCCTGCTCTCCCAGGCTAAGGGCCCCAGCGTGCCCTGTTGCTTATCCTTCCCCTGGGAACCAGAGACACTTACCTTTCCTGTTCTGCTGACCCTGGGTTTTGAGACACAGCCAGTGTTCTTCTCTTCTCTTAGTGCTTCCCTCAGGGTACAGTGGCATCACTAGGTCCTTAGACAAAATCAAAATGAGCCCCTGCCACCTTAGTTTTTTACTTATTCACTTCCCCAGGGTGCCTCTCTCCCACGTTAGGACTCTTATCTCCATAGCCCCGTGTTTTGTCCACTACGTCTACCCCACCTAAGCCTTTTATTCTAAAATAATACCTCTATGTTGACCTGTTATTCTAACTACAAACCTATTCTCACTGTTCTTTCTATCTTCACTGGATATGATGGGTAATTTCATATAGAAAATTTACATTTAGAAGTGGATAGAAGAGATCTAACTTTCTGTGGGATCTCTGACTTTCCATCTCCATGTCCAGGCATCATGCTTCGTGCTTTACACACATTATCTCATTTAATTCTTACGTCAGTCCTGGAAATTGCGATCCCCTCTTTGTAATAGAAAGGAGTTATTAACTTATATGAATATCTCGTTGCAAGGCAATGTTGACACTAACTACCCAGGGTTAGGTCAGATTTCACAGCATCAGGGCACCGTCCCCTGCTAGACTGCCTCACTTCAGACACCAGCTGCAAGCTCCAGAGTTCCCAGGCCACCTGCACTTCTGAGCAGCTGGCTCCCAGGGTGGAAGTTCCTACTGGCTGCTTCCATAATTCACTAGAATGACTCACATAACTCAGAAAAGTGCTCTACTTACAATTAGAGTTTTATTATGAAGGATGCAAATCGGGGCCAGCCAAATAAAGAGACATATAAGGTGAAGTGTGAGAAGGTCCCAAATGTGAAGCTTCTGTGTCCTCACGACATGTCACTGTCCCAGCACACTGATGTTGGATTACCAGCCAGGGAAGCTAACCTGTGCTTCAGGTTTTTATGGTGACTTCATTACATAGTGACTCATTGGCTACGTGATTGAACTTAATCTCTAGCTCCCCTCCCCTCCCCTGGAGGTTGGGCTGATATGCTCTCAAAGCCCCAACCCTCTAACCACATGGTTCATCTTTCCAGCCTGACCAGCCACCATCCTGAGTCATTTGTTTTGGTGTGGTCTGAGGGGCCCTCCATGTATAACAGACATTCCCGTCACTCAGGAAATCCCAAGGTTTTAGAGGTTACTTCTCAGGAACTAGGGACAAAAACCAGCTAAAATCTTTATTGTGCAATATCAGTTAATTGAATTATATGGGAAATAATTCTTTAAAATTATATTAAAAGGATATTAGCTACCATCTAATTCAGTAGTTGATTGTATATCAGAATCATTTGGAAAGAAAAAATTTTTTTTTTCCTCCCCAAAGCCCCGGTACATGATTGCATAGGCTAGTTGTAAGTGCTCTAGTTCTTCTATGTAAGCCACCACAGCATGGCAGCTGACTGACGGGTGGTGTGGTTCTGGAACTGGGAAAGGAACGCGGGCCACGAGAGCAGTGAGAGTGCCGAACTTGACACTGGGCCATCAGGGCTGGCTCTGGAAGATTTTTTTAAATGTAAGGTCTATGGTAGGAGGAACTGAGAATCTGTACTTTTAAATTTGTTGTAATGGAAAATTTCATATATATACAAAGATAGAAAAATCTGTATAACGAATCCATGTGTACCCCATCACTCAGCTTCAATAATTTATCAACTCCTGGGAATCTTGTTTCATCTATATCTCCACCCACTTTCCCCCATCCTTGATTATTAGGAATCAAATTCTAGTATCATATCACTGTATCCATAAAAATTTCATTATCAGTCTCTAAAGATAAGAAGTCTTTTAAAATATAACCACAAAACCATTATCACACCCAAAAATATTTTTCTATAAAACATTTACTCATTACAACAAGTCAGGAAGTATGTCAAGAAAAGAATGAATTAGGGGCCAGCCCGGTGGAGTGGTGTAGTGATTAAGTTTACACGCTCAGCTTCAGTGGCCTGGGGTTTGCAGGTTCGGACCCCGAGCATGGACCTTCACACTGCTCATCAAGCCATGCTGTGGCAGCATCCCACATACAAAATAGAGGAAGATTGGCACAGATGTTAGCTCAGGGCCGACCTTCCTCACAAAAAGAAAAAAAAGGAAAAATGAATTAAAAAAAATGATTTCACACCCTCCCATGCTACAACCACTGTTGTTTTATATCCTTACAGTTACTTTGCTATGTACGTATATGATCTCTAAATATATCCATAGTAAATAAATATGAGGTTTACAAAAATGAGATTGTTCTATTCATGTGGTTTTGTAACTTGCCTTTTCACTTAACAATATAATACAAATATCTTTTCAGGTATTTCAGGTTAAATACCCACTAAAACAGTTTTAGTGATCTCTAAAAAATTAGCAATTATTTCTTTATATGATAATATATCCAGTCAGTGTTCACACTGCCTTAATTGTGTGATTTTGTTTTTACTGTTTGTTTAAATCAGCAACTTGTTGATATGTTGAAATCTCTTAATCTATGGGTTTCCAACCCCTCCCTTTTTGCAGTTTCTTTGTTGATGAGACTGGGTTGTTTGTCCTGCAGTTTAAATTTTGCTGAATCTCCATGGTATTATTTAACATGTTCCTCTGTCTCTTATACTTTATGTAAATTGATCGTTCAATTTAGAGGCTTGATGAGATTCAGATTTTTGTTTTTGTTTGTTTTGGTAACAAGAATACTTGTTATTGTAGGTCTTATATTCTTCCATCTGGAGCTACATAATGTCTGGTTGTTTCCTTTTGTGTGTGATATTAACAGCCATGGGTGATGACTAGCTAGGGAATCTGTGTTTTACTTTAAGCTTTCTAGGTAGTTATGATGTAGCAGCTAGTCTGAGAACAGCATTTGGCAACCACTGATCTAGTCTAATTCCTTCAAGGAGACATAGGAAGTGATTGAGAGGGAAGCAGTTTAATCAAGGTAGTATAGTGTAAGAGTTGCAGAGCTAGGATCCAAACCTAAAGCCTATGCTTGTTTCCCTGTACCTCTCTAGGAGGCCTCCCTGGGCCTCTTCTCAACTGTTACTGTTCTGCTTCCAACTCCAGCATGAAAAGAACAGGAATGAGTAAGTTGACACCCACTTTGAAGGCTTCTGATTCTTGGCGCATTCTTCCCCTCGGTCTTTTCTCTCCCTTTCTGCCTTATAGGATGGTCTACAATGGCCGATGTGTGAGTAGAAAGGGTAAGAGATGAAGGAAGGGGCATCAAGAAGAATAAGATCGGATGGGACAATCCCCTCAGAATTCCTTTTGCGAGCCCACCAACTAAATGTCACTTGAGGGGGGAAATATATTTGAGAAATGAAATGGAGTTAGATTAGGAATAAGATAAAACTTTCCTTCTGAGCAAATGATACACCTACAGTAACTGGTGTTTGTACGTGCTTGGAAAGTTCATTTAACAAACGTTTCCTGGGTGCCTGCCGCATGCTGGCCACAGTGCTAGATGCTAGGACTTTAACAGGAATAAGACAACACACCTCCCCTCAAGGCTCTCACAGTTTAAGGAGAAAGACAGTGACAATACAGCCAAGTCTGAGGGTGGACCTGGGGTGAGTAAGATGAGCAGGAAGAAAAGGACAGAGGCAAGGAGATTGAAAGTGAAGTGTTCCAAAAGTTGGACCAGTTGGTCATGTGCCCTATCCCTCACCCACAGTCAGCTTGTAGGTAAACTTTGTCAATGAATAAAACTCTGAAACTTCCCAGCCTGATTTCAGGGCCTGGCCACTTGCCTGGGTTCCGGGTCAAATTTCCATAGGTAATTTTTCTTTGAGAGCTCTATGTACTTCCCATTTCCCTCCTTCAAAATATTTTATATAGGAAGAATTATTTTCCCCAAGCAGCATTTTAATCTCTTCTTTCTGGTAATGACAGCTGCTTCCATTTCATTGTCTTTAAAATCAAATCTGACAATCTCTCTTCATCTTTCCCTTCTGGACCTCCATTAGGTCAAGCACTTAAAACACTTGCTCAGGGTTTGTCATGCTGTTTACTTGTGTTGCTAAGTGTTTGGGTTTCTCTGAGTCCATTTTTCTCCAGAAAGAAGGGAACCCCAGGAGAGGGACCTTCTTCTTAGTCTCTTAGGACATAGCTCTGTCTACCTGAGTGCTTAGGACAAGCTTCCAGAGTGAGTGGTTCATTAACTGGGGGCTGGGGCTGTTTGTATAAGGCGTGGGAGGGACTAACTCAGACTCCTTGTAGTGCTGCCAAGAATTTGGCAAGGATTCAAAGAGCAGAAGTGATAAAATCATAAGGTTTAGAGCTAGAAATGGCCTACCAGGCATTTATAGATGAGGAAACTGGAGCCAGAGAAGTGGAATAACTTGCTAGTTGGTGGTAGAGACAAGTTTTTGACTCCCAGACAAGTGAGAACTAAGACTGTGAGAGCCACCTTTGTCAGGAAAGAAGAAAGATGCTGACATTATTCATCCTGGAGACATCTCAGGGGAGGACAGACAGGTCAGAGAAATAAAATGACTCCCAGTGCTGTCCCACCCCTACCACCACCATCACCCACACCCACACTTCCTCTCCTCAAAGGAAAGAACAAAAGCATAAAGGAAGAACTTTGGCCGGAGGCTTGATTCTAATACACAGAAATGGAGTTGGCGTTTGTGCAGTACCTTGGAGGGTAGAAGGCATTCACATTTTATGGCCTATGGTATGAGCAGTACCCCATAGTTTTGAACAGTGTACATAAAACTTGCACAGGCGTGCATGATACTTGATTAGTGATCTGAATTTTCAGGCCATATAATATCTAATGGGATAAAAAATTAAGAATTTCATTTATAGGGGCCAGCCTGGTGGTGCAGCAGTTAAATTCCCACGTTCTGCTCTGGTGGCCCGGGGTTCGCCGGTTTGGATCCCAGGTGTGGACCTACACACTGCTTCTCAAGCCATGTTGTGGTAGGCGTCTCACATATAAAGTAGAGGAAGATGGGCACGGATGTTAGCTCAGGGCCAGGCTTCCTCAGCAAAAAGAGGAGACTTTCAGGAAATGTTAGCTCAGGGCTAATCTCCTCAAAAAAAAAAAAGAAAGAATTTCATTTATAGAAATTATGCAAGATAGTTTAACAGCTTTTATTACTCAAATATGTATTTTGGAGACCAAATCTTCATGGTGAAGTAAAAAGTTGAGTCCATGTTTTTTTCTTTCATAAAAAGAAATTGAAATCCTTGTTAATTTTTATAATCCCCAAAACCCTTTCAAAACTTTCAAACCTTGGTTATCACATTTCAAAACTCTCAAACTTGTACCTACCTACCATATCCGTGTTTAAAAGATATTCTGTACATTTAATGTCTTAGACTGTTTAAACTTTTTTTCTGTGAATGAAAAAGCAGAAAGGAAGTGAGACACCCTTCCTGGTGAATGCCAAATGTTTCTGAATTTTAACTGACTGAATCTGTCTCCATCATGCTATTAAAAGTGCTTCCTCAAGGTCACCAGTGACCTCCAATTACCAAGTCTGGTGACACCAATTCTTCCTGCGTTCTAACCTCTCTGCAGCATCTGACCCTTCCCTGATCATTTCTCTCTTGACCCTCATTTGCTGTGACACACTACAGAATCCCAGCTCTTCTCCCAGCTCTCTGACAGTGCCTTAGACTCCTTGAGACTTTCTGTGTCTTTGTGTCCCTTGAGCCCTGGCATTCAGCCCCTTGAGAAGGACTTTTACCCGAGGTATGGTCAAGAGTTTGGACTGGCTTAGAGGTGATCTCTGGAGGCAGGAAGATGGATGAAATAATTAGTCCAGTTTTCTGTGTTTATTTGACTAAGTAGACTTAGATTTTCTGTTGCTAAAATTGAACAATAATTATCTTTCCATCAAAGATTCCCACAGGAAAAAAAAAAATTTAAGTTGTTAGGTAGGATTTTCCCCCATGAATTTTTCTAACTTTTGGTGTGCTCAATAGCCTATCTAGTAATGAACACAAGCAAATAGAAGAAATGAACAAGTTCATAACAAGTATTTTATGGTGTACTGCATAATGCATCTCAGCTCAAATACTCCGTCACCTGAACTAGTATGAGGCTCACTGTTCTGACCCCGTAGAATACTCTTGAAGTGGGCTGCACCTTTCAGTCCAGTCCCACACTCCTGAAGTTGGGCTCCACAAGGTCAGTGGTCTGGCCTCAAACTTCTTTCTCACCCCACTCCTAGAAACTGGAGTTCACACAGAGGAAAGAGGCCAGAATGGGAAGGGGCTTTAAACGACATGACGAGGAACAATTGAGGAAGCCTGTGAGAAAGAAGACTTGGTGCAGAGCATGTAAAAGATGTCTTCACACATGTGCAAGAGAAATGAGATCTACTCTGAGTGCAGAAGGCCAACCTAAGACCAGTGGGCAAAAGTTGTAATAGTCAGAGCTATTTTAAAATGAAGTGCAGCCTCAGCAAGAGGTCATGAGTTTCTGGTTGCTGGATATATTTGTAAACATGTGTCTGAGTTACAACACGAGTGGTTCATCGATTAGGTGGAGATTTGAACTTCCAAATCTAAATGATACCTTCCTCTCCTCCCTCCCTCCCTTCTTTTTTAGAGGGAGGAGACTTAATGTGTGCTTGGGACTCCTAGCCTAAAAGAATGAGAATTCAGACACAGCAGCAAAGATTGAATCGGATAGGTAGATAGAACTATAGATAAGGACACTGGAGTTGGAACAGGAAGAGAGTCAATGATGAGGCTCCTTGGAGGAGAAGTGTAAAGCAGGTGACTGAGGGAAGGGAAGGGTAAAGTGAGGCAAAGCAGAGAAGGGCGTCGGGGGGAGAGGAATGGCCAGTGTGAGAGTGCAGAGAAGGAAGAGGGCCTGGTGTCTGCAGGAGGTGGGAGCACTTCATCTGCCGAGACAGGAAGGTGTGAGCGAGGGTCACATAGGTTGTGTCACATAGGACACTTACGTTTCAACAGAGGAACTCTTTCACTAGAAGGGAGATCAAACAGGAAAGAAGATATGCCAATGCAATAGGAGCAATCTCCCAACTTAAAAATTGCTGCAAAAGAGACAACCTACAACTTCTTGGTAAAGAAAATATAGGCTAATTTATAACATTTATATAATGTTTGAAGAAATTCCAGGAGTGATTTCTGCTTTTAACCTACTTTTCTGCTTTGACTTCTGGTGCATCTTTCCAATTGTACCCCTTTAGTCACCGAAGGCACTTCTCCCTTTCAGGCAGAGGGCCACAAGCTGTACAAGGACCTGAAGAACTTCATTAGTGCAGTCAAAGGTGGGTATGGTGGCACAGGAGAATCCAGAGGGCATTTATGGAGCTACTAAGAAGTCTGGAGGATGGGAAAAAACCCAGCCATACTCAGGCTTTTTATCAGTTGCCTGTCCCTGACTTCTGGAACCTTGTGGGCCTAGGAAGAGTAACTTTTCCTATCTCAGCCCCATCCAGCTGCCCTCGCTGATAACCCAAACCTTCTGAGTTTGTCCTTCTGAATTGGACTCACTGATTTGTCTGTCACTCGTATGATTAGACAAAACTGCTTTCTGGGAAACCTTATGTTAGAACTGAGTACTCTCCTTTCAGTGATGCGTGAAAGTTCAAAGAGAGTGTCAGAAACCCTGCAGGAGATCTACAGCAGTGACTGGGACGGTCATGAGGAGCTGAAGGCCATCGTAGGGGTAAGAGTGTTCTGGGTTTTACAGCTCTTCCACACTCACTCCTGCCCTCATCTCAACCTCATCGTAGCTTCTCCATCTGAGCAAACAGGAAAACAAAGGGGCCAATTCACATTGTTCATTCATTTGTATGGCCTCAGTCACGGGTGGTAGGAAGAAGCTGCAACGATGAAGGTAAATACAAGTTTGCCTTAATCTGTGGAGTCCTGTGGTTTTGACCCTCTTCTCCTCTTTAAAACCTTATGGGGGGCCAGCCCTGCAGCACAGCGGTTAAATTCACACGTTCCGCTTCGGCAGCCTGGGGTTCACTGGTTCGGATCCCGGGTGTGGACCTACACACTGCTTGTCAAGCCATGCTGTAGCGGGCATCCCACATATAAAGTAGAGGAAGATGGGCATGGATGTTAGCTCAGGGCCAGTCTTCCTCAGCAAAAAGAGGAGGATTAGCAGCAGATGTTAGCTCAGGGCTAATCTTCCTCAAAAATAAATAAATAAATATTTTTTAAAACTTTATGGAAGTTTTACCTACATAAAACCCAACTGATTGTTCATGTAGTTATTTACTCCCAAACTTCCCTATCCTTCAAGCTCTAGGGCCCAAGACTGACCATGTGTTCCTGTTCTTAATCCCTGAATGTATGTCTAGTCTCTTATAGGGTAGTCTTTTCTTGGGGAAGGGCTGTTTCTTCATCTGACGCTTCCCCAGAATCCAACATGATATTCTAAATCCTGTGCTCCAAAAAGGAAGCTTGTTGCAGGAAGAATTTGGGTGTTTCCCTCGTGTGCAGTTGTCAAGAAGTGGAGCCTCACCACCCCCTCTGCCTCTATCCCACAGAATAATGACCTCCTTTGGGAAGACTATGAAGAGAAGCTAGCTGACCAGGCTTTGAGGACCATGGAAAACTATGTAGCCCAGTTCAGCGAGGTTAAGGTAATCAATTTACAAAATCAAGAATGGGTTATGGGGGGCCCATATAAGTTAGAGAATGTATTGGGTTTTGCCTTGGAAATAGAGCTAGAGCCCATGGTTAGGAATGAAGTTGGGTAGGTTAGGAGAAGGGTTAAAAGTTGAGGGTTAGACAAAAGGTTAGCGTGAAGGTTATATTAATGCTTAGATTTCAGTGAACTAGATTTGGGCTGGTATTGAATTAGATCCAGGTCAGAGCATCCCTTTTAGTTGTGAGAAACAGCTGATGGGACTAAAGATGTTTATTGTAGAGAAGAGGAAGCCTGGAGGAGTCATAAAAATTACCTTCAAATGCTTGAAAATCTGTTAGGTGAAAGAGGAATTCAACCTGAAAGCAGAATTAGAATTCGTTTATTCATTCAACTCATATTTATTAAACATCTACTTTATTGGGCACTGTACTGATTTTATTTATTTATTTTTTTCCAAAATGTATCTCCCTGCCTCCCTTCTTGCTTTCTCTAAGGCCATTTTGTTTATTTATTTAAATTTAAGTATGGTTGACATACAATATTATATCGGTTTCAGGTGTACAACATAGTGATTCAGCATTTATATACATTACAAAGTGATCGCCACGGCAAGTCTAGTTACCGTGTCACCTTACAAAGTCATTGCAATATTACTGACTGTGTTCCCTATGCTGTACGTTACATCCCCATGACTTGTTTATTTTGTAACTGGAAGTTTGTTCCTCTTAATCTCCTTCACCCATTTTGCCCGTCCCCTACCCTTCTCCCCTCTGGCAACAATCAATTTGTTCTTTGTATCTATGAGTTTGTTTCTGTTTTGTTCTGTTTGTTCATTTATTTTGCTCCTTAGATTCCACATATAAGTGAAATCATACAATATTTGTATTTCTCTGCTGATTTTAGATTAATCGGAAGAAATTAGAGGGAGACTGACTGAACTTTCTTATAGTTAAAGCTTTCCAAAAATTAAATATACTGTGAGGTAGTGTATTGTCTGTTCTCTGTTCAAGCAGAAGTCAAACTACTTCTTACCTTGGCTGTGGTAGAGAAGCTTCGTGTATTGAATAGGAAATTGGACCAGATAATTGCTAAGATCCTTTCAAATCTGTGATTGAGAGAATGAGACGGGCCGTTAATATAGTTTGCTTCTCCCTGGAATAATTTGTAGTTTGAATGAAATTGAGTAGATATTCTCTCAGTGCTCATATCAATTTGCTATTTTTACTATACTTTAGGGTTTTCAAAGCACTTTATATTCAGCATTTGCTCTCTAAAATAACACAATAGGGCAGATGAATCTACTGAGGCTCCAAAAGAGGTCTGCCTTGCCCTAGGTCACAAGGCAATAAATGGCAGCATTGGGAGTAACACCCAAAACTCTTGACTTTCAATTTGGGAGGATTTTCAAGGCTGTTTCTCCTGGAGGCTGAACCACTTTATCGTGGGTTCCTAGGAAATATTAACATTTAGTGCAGGCTTCCATGTGCTCTGTAGGATTGCCCTTTGCTCTGTTTCCCCCTGAGAATTCCCATTCCTTCCAGGGAGACCCCTTGGGCACAAAACCCTGTTTTCTGTGAAATGTGATAATAGGACCCAAGAATCTTGCCTCTCTGTTTGATACTCTGTTACCTACATCTCGGCCACTGAAAAGTAAGTGTCAAGGCCCTCTCTCCTGACTCTGGGTTAGGAAAGAATCGCCAAGCGGGGTCGGAAACTCGTGGACTATGACAGTGCCCGACACCACCTGGAGGCGGTACAGAATGCCAAAAAGAAAGATGAGGCCAAGACTGCCAAGGTAAAAAGAAAAAAGCCTGGTAAATCCGTCCCACTCTCCCTCTCCCGATAATGGTGGCAGGTGGCTGGGCCAAACTGGGTTTAGGAAATGATAAATTCAGCATCCAGTGTCCTGAAGGAAATCCTGTTTCCTCTGACACAGATGCTCTAAGGATAGTCAGAGACTTGAGGCTGGGGAGGTCACGGGTCTGGAGAAGGACAGGCATGGTTCCAAGTAAGCGTAGTCCCTGACAAAATGCAGAGACAAAAGCAGCAGCCTCTAGCCTTGGGTTCAGAATTGAGGGGAATTGTCTGTCTCTTTCACCGCTTAGGCAGAGGAAGAATTCAACAAAGCCCAGGCTGTGTTTGAAGATCTGAACAAGGAGCTGCTAGAGGAGCTGCCTGTGCTTTACAATAGGTAAGGACTGAGATTCAGGAAAGGGCTGGACTCCTGGGCCACGCAGGCCCAGGCCACCTGGCAGCCCAAACATGTCACCTCATGAAAAGAGCCCTGGTCCAGCCCTGCTACTACCCTGTTGTGTGACATTAGGCGAGCTGCCTTGTCCCTCTAGACGCTGCTTTCTTCATCTGCGACACAGATAACCATCCTTGTCCTGCCAGCTTTTCTGGGTTTAAAGACAAGATGCTTTTTGGACAAAGGAGATTTTGGCAAGTAAAGTTCTGTCATCATGCATGCTAGGAATATCTGGTTTCATGCTCAAGTGCGTGTTATTTTAAACAAGCTTGGTTCATGAACATTCAGATTCACGTAGAAGATAAACCATGGGATGATTGTTAATGAAGATGTCTTTGCTTCACAGTAGGTAGAAGTGTTTTGGAGTAAATTTTCCACATTGGAAGAGGAATCTGAGCAGAAATTCTATTTGTATCCTATTCTCTTTTTATTGTACAAGATGTATTTTATCGTTTTTGTTTGTTTGTTTTTGAGGAAGATTAGCCCTGAGCTAACATCTGCCACCAGTCCTCATCTTTTTGCTGAGGAGGACTGGCCCTGAGCTAACATCCGTGCCCATATTCCTGTACGTTTTTTTTTTTGTGGGACACCTGCCACAGCGTGGCTTGACAAGCAGTGCGTAGGTCCACACCCGGATCCAAACCGGCAAACCCTGGGCCGCCAGAGCATAACGTGCAAACCTACCCTCTGCACCACTGGACTGGCCCCACAAGATGTATTTTAAAGCAATTGTAGTCAGAGTATTTTCTATTGTTACTTAATATTATTCTACAGGGCCAGCCGGGTGGCGCAGAGGTTAGGTTTGCCCGTTATGCTCTGGCGGCCCAGGGTTTGCCGGTTTGGATCCGGGTGTGGACCTACGCACTGCTTGTCAAGCCATGCTGTGGCAGGCATCCCACATATAAAGTAGAGGAAGATGGGCATGGATGTTAGCTCAGGGCCAGTCTTCCTCAGCAAAAAGAGAGGGATTGGTGGCAGATGTTAGCTCAAGGCTAATCTTCCTCAAAAAAAAAGAAATTATTCTACATATGATGGAGCCTTTTTAATGACTACGTGTATTCTAAAACATTAAGTACGTGACTCCTAATTTAAATGGAATTGAAATTTATTACAGTTTCTTTAAATGTAAACTTCCCCAATTCATTTACAGTAGAATTCCATTAATGTACATACAGCTTCATAGAAGTCCAAGTTTTGCATAATGAGAAAGAATAATTACTTATTATAATAACTATAATTGTATGGCCTTATACAGCACTTTAAAAATTCTTCAAAGCACTTCCACGTCTACTTCAATACCTAAAGAGCCTGAATCAGATAACATCATTCAACTAGAGATTGTGATATTTTGGTGTCAGCCTGGGCTGATAGTGTCTCCTGGCCTGCCCACTCCTGAGAGTCAACTGTGCTCCTGGCTTGGCTCTGATGAATCCAGATCCCAGAACCCAAGTCTGGGACGTGGGGCACTTTTCTCTGAGGAGCCTTGGTGGTGGTTGGCTTTGGCCTAAGCTCCTACCTTGCATTTTCAAACAAAAACTTCCTTTATCAACCCTTACCTGTATATGTTTGTCATTTTGCCTCCTGATAGTCGTATTGGCTGTTATGTGACCATCTTCCAAAATATTTCCAACTTGAGGGATGTCTTCTACAGGGAGATGAGCAAGGTGAGAAACATCTGGTCAATTTAGACACCTAGGTTTTTCTAGTAAATATGAAGGTAGCCCTAATTTATATAATCTCATTAAATATCCATATTGGCACCACACATTTTTACTTTTTTCTCACGATGAAATAATAGCACTTGATTGACTGCGTTGAACTCTATTAAAGCACATATATATCTCTCTCAGAGGGCCCTCTCCATCTCCATTAATACTGAATAATAGCAGCCAAACTTGAGCTTCAGATGAATAAAGGAGGTGAAGCCTCTGGAAGGCACAGCTAAAACAGGGAACCAAGTTGTGAAATCTCTATCTTTTGTTGCTGGGGAGTGGAGGGGGCGGTGTTTATGCCCAGGTCAGTTTCTCAGGTAGTTGGTCTTGAATAGGACCAATCCTCTTCAGTGACAGGCAGCCACAGAACATCATCTCATGGGTCTTTTCTAGTCCTGGGATTCCAAGACTCTTTGCTGTTACAATATTAATTATATTCACATACACATACATGTACGTTCCTCTTCAGAGTTTCTTTGGCTAAATTATGATTTACATGGTAATTTTACATTAAATTAATTTTAAATTAAAATTACATTGTAGTATTACAATGAGTTTTCATTCCCTGGATCACCTGAGAGAAGCTGGAACCTCAAATCAAACATCAAGAACCCAGCCTTGAGAGAGCTGCCAGTCTGATGCTAGAGGCAGAACTTAAGACGCAGACAACTTAAGACAGTCAAGGAGGAAGGGGTGGTGGGACAGGACCCTGGACAGTAGTGCAAAAGAGATGAGGAGGAATTGTACAGTTCAGGGTGGTGAGGTTTTATTTTAGGGAGCTGTCTGAAAAGAGAGGAGAGAAGGGATCTGCCAGTCTCAGGTTCCCATCTGGCTGGCATCCTCTTCTCTCTTGCTGGCTCTAGCTGAACCACAGTCTCTACGAGGTGATGAGCAAACTGGAGAAGCAACATTCCGACAAAGTCTTTGTGGTGAAGGGACTATCAAGGTGAGCAACCTCTGAGACTCTTTTCTGCTTCACTTGTCCTCTGTGTGAACGTATTCACCACTCTCATCTCCACTCCCAAATCCTGGCCTTGCTTTTGTGTTCATGTACATTATGTTGTTTGCTGTTTGCACTATGCCCCTATGTAAATTCTTTTTCTTTTTATGAAATATTTCATCTATAACTAAAGGTATAAAGAATACAACAAATAGCTATATGCCTACCACCAAATTTAAGAAATCAACTATTATATATATAATTGAAGCTCCCAGTATCCCTTCCCCACTCACTTTCTCTTCCTGCCCCACCAAAGGTAGCCACTATCTTAAATTTAGTGCTTGCTATTCTTATGCATGTCTTTTTACTTTTATTATACACATATATGCGCACACAGAAAATATTGCTTTGCATGTTTTTAAACTTTATATAAATGGAATTACACTGTTTGTATTCTTTTGCAACTTCTTTTGTTCTCTTAGTATTGTTTATGAGGTTTATTTATCCTTGTTGCTACATGTTGCTAGCTCTGATCTTTCCCCTCCGTAACTGTTGCAGATGCCATTGTACGGCTAGTTTACAATTTATTTATCTGTCCTCCTGCTAATGGACATTTGGGTTGTTTTCCAGTTTTTTGCTATTACAAATAATGTTGCAACGAACATGTTTTACGTTTCTCATGAATACTATCAAGAGTTTCTTTATTGTGTATACTGGGAGTGGACTTGCTGAGTCATAGAGTCTGTGCATTTGGGCTTCTTCAGCCTTACTAGCTGTTGCCATTGCTAAAGTGCTCTCCAAAGTGACTGTCCCAATTTACAACCCACCAGCAGTGAATAGAAGCCCCCATTGCTCCATGTTCCTGCTACATGTGAATTGTCAGACTTCATGATTTTTCTAAGCTAATGAGTATGAAGTGGAATTTTTTACAGTTTTAATTAACATCTCCACAATTGCTAGTTAGCATGAACATCTTTTCATGTTGTTGGCCATTTAAGTTTCCTGTTCTGTGACTTTCCTGCTTATCTTTTTTTCACATTTTCTTTTGGATTGTTTACCTGTTTACCCCCCCTTTTTTTTGTGGTGAGGAAGATCCGCCCTGACTAACATCCATTGCCAATCTTCCTCTTCTTGCTTGAGGAAGATTGTCCCTGAGATAACATCTGTGCCAGTCTTCCTCTATTTTTTGTATGTGGGATGCTACCACAGTGTGCTTTGATGAGTGGTATGTATGTCTGTGCCCAGGATCCAAACCCACAAACCCTGGGCCACCAAAGCAGAGTACACAAATTTGACCACTATGCCACTGGGCTGGCTCCTGTTAATCCTTTTTTTAAAATTGTTTTATATGAGGGTGGTTTTTTTTTTGTATATTCTGGATATTAAACCTTTAATGATATGCATTGCAAATATCTTTTCTCAATCTGTTATGGCTTGCTTTTCCACTTTGTGTGTGTGTGTGTGTGTGTGTGGTAGCTATTGCCTTCATGCATTCTTTGTGTTGGTAACTGTAAGCAATTCACTGGTCCCTCAGAATGTGATCACTTTCTTACTCTGAAGCCGTTGTTTAGGAAATTTTATTATGTCCCTACTCTGTGCAAAGTTTTATGCCAAGAGTTAGGGATCCAAAGACACAGGACACTTGTCCTTTCTCTGAAGTGATTTACAAAAAGTTGAAAAGAGAAAATTTGCCTTAGGACTACAAGGGATGATATAAGCTTGTACATACAAAGTGCCTAATGAGACCTGTAGGGATTCCAGAGAGGTAAGTAATTGCCAGTGTGTGGATGGTCGGGGAAGCCTTTAAGGAGGTAGTGAAACTGAGCTTGGGCCTTGAAGCAAGAATAGGGCTCACATTTGCTATTTGTACTGCTCATTTAGCAAGTAGTTACAGACTATTGAAAAGAATCACCAAGGGGCCAGTGTAAACTTCCTAGACGAATTCCCTTTTTCTCCAAAAACTCTGTTTCTCCTCTTCCCAGCATTGAAAGCCAGAGTTCTCTCTAATTATCCATTCATCTGAAACTTACCATCACTTACACCAAGATGTCCCGGAACCTTGTAGGGAAATCTGGTCTTTTCTTACTATGTCCTGGGCCTTCTAAACCTACTGATCCCTAGGATGCTAGTGCTAGAAAGAACCTTATGTCACTCAGCTTATCTCACATTAGAAACCCCATAGGGCAGGAATTAATATTTTCTCTTTCTGTTCCTCTGCCCATTCCCCATCCTTGTGCCCAGGACACAGCACATAGTTGGTACCTGTTGAGTAAATATTTGTGGGTTGCTTAATCAGTTAGTGGATGGTACATGGGAAGCACTTGAGGAGGTGAGTAGGAACCAGGCCGATGTTGGCTATAGAAGCACTCAGCACAGTATCCAGCCTGCTTGATAAATGTTATAGTCCACTTTCATTGTTCGTGGCAGTTAAGTTCTGTGAAGTCACCACGAGCACTGAATTAGTGAATACTACACCATCGCTCCTTGGGGAAACACAGGGTTAGGTTCTTGTGAGCCCCTGGTCCCAACAATTTCATCAGCCAATCAGTATATAACCTTGTCTTGTGTGTGTTTCTGTTTAAAGACAACTTATTTAATCTGTATCGTTGACTCATTAATATTGAACTGACGGCCGACAGCGCTGTAACACACGCCTGAAGGAAGCTTATCCAACATCGTATTTTCTCTGTGAGTCACCTCACTGTCTTCTCACTCTTAGACAGCACTTTAGCACTACACTTGGAGGCCATTTTAAATGGCAAAATCATCAGCAAAAAGCACAACGATGTGAAAAACATGGCAAAAGGACACATTTACAGTATGAGAGCAGAAACAAGAAGGCCAAGGACTGCCTTATCAGAACTCAGAGGGACAGCGCTCGTCACGGACTCAGTTTCCACAGCTTGCACATGTCTGTGACTGACTGTGAAAGCACCAGAAGTATTGATTTGGGGTTATAAATAAATTTTAGGGAGTAGGTGAATTTGCAAATACAGAATCCATAACGATTAACTGAATCTTTTCCCCAGAGAAAATATTTCATTAATATTTTGCTGTGTTTCTTTCTAGTCTTTTTCTTTATATATTTTACATAATAGAGTTGTGATATAGATAAAATTTTATAGCCTTTTTCACTTTACTTTATAATGTAAGCATTATTGAAAATTACATAAACTTTCCAGTATCATTTTAAATTGCTTTATTATTATTATGTGCATGCATCATATTTATTTGGGGGTATTTAGGTTACTTCCAGTTGTTAGGTCTTCTGAGTCTGAATGCCCTTCCTTTTTTAGCGGCAACAGACGCTCTTTAGTCATCTCTCCCCCAGTTCAACCATCTGTGGTCTCCGGCCCTCTTACCTCACCTATCAGTCCCTCTGCACTTTCCTTGAAGAGTGAGAGGGACTCCACCTCTGCAAGTGAAGAAGAGCTGGCATCTGATCCAGCCCAGGGAGAAGACAACTCTGAGATCAAAGAAGAGCCCTTAAAAGATGAGGAAACAGAGGAGGAAGAGGCTGAAGCAAGCTCCTCTGAGGAGGAAGAGCCTCTGCCAGCCTGCAATGGCCTCACCCCGGCCCAGCCCTCTCTCACCATTGAGGGTGGCCAGGCCCAGGAGGAAGTTCTCCCTTGCTCCGCAGCTCCATCACCAGGCAGAGCCCTAATCCCTTCAGAGCAGCCTTCATCTCTCCCAGAAGTAGTCCTCCGAACCCGCACCTCCAGTGAAGGATCTGAACAACCAAAGAAGAGAGCCTCTATCCAGAGGGCCTCAGCACCCCCCAATAGGCCTCCTCCACCCAGAGCCACTCCCAGCCCCAGGCCCTCCTCAGGGAACACACCCTCCAGCCCTACAGCCTCTGAACCGAATTCACCCACCAGCCCCAGGGCCTCCCTGGGGGCTGGGACTCCAAGTCCTAGGGCCTCCTTAGAGGCCTCTCCTGATCCACTGCCACCAGAGAAGCCAGTAAGAACTCCTGAAGCGGGAGAAAAGGAAAACACTGAGAATCTGAACCCAGAAGAACTTTCTACATCTCCTACCTTGATCTCTCAGGTGAGTGGATCTGGCTGAGTCTCTATTCCTCTTTATAACCTCGATGTAGATCATTTTTACTATAGTTAGGTTTCCCATAGTTGATAAGATTTTATGTCATTTTATTATAGACTCAAGGATACCCTTAGACACCTCTTTGGTTCTGTGGATTGTTTCATATTTTCACAGCAACTAATTTAGTGACCTGTACTCTTAGGGTAATTGACTTCTGCAAAGGGCTTATCTCCAGTGTTATTGTGAGCAAGTTCTTACTAATTTTTATCTTTTGCTCCAAGTTCTGGGAGTTCCCAATATAAAGAACCTACAGCTAGCATCCTGAGCTTTACCTTTTTTAATGGGGAATGGGGCGGAGGGTCTTTAGTTTGTCATATTTGTGACTGTGGTAAATAGATACCAAGCAAAATGGCAGCAGCAAATTTCGAAGTTGTGTCTTCTTTGATGAGAGAGACCTAGAAGAAGGAACGCACAGAGGAAGGTAAAGCAAAAGGATGGTCTTTTGAAAGGTGAGAATATGTTTGAGAAAAGGATTGTGTTAAAACATAGACACAGATCTCCCGGGGAGCACCCAGTTCTGTGAAGGATCTGGATATCAAGTCACATTCTATTCAAATTATGTGGAAAGGCTACAATATAGAAGAGAGATTTGACTTGTTCTGTAGGACTACTGAGGGCAGAACTAGGCCCTATGTGTAAAGATTTGTTTTTTAAAGCACATTTTGGATCAATACATGAGGAACTTGCAGCAATTAGCTATGTTAAAAAAATGGTATGGAGGGGCTGGCCCAGTGGCATAGTGGTTAATTTCGTGGACTCTGCTTTGGTGGCCTGGGGTTCACAGGTTCAGATCCCGGGCGTGGACCTACACACCACTCATCAAGCCACGCTGTGGTGGCATCCCACATACAAAATAGAGGAAGATTAGCATAGATGTCAGCTCAGGGAAAACCTTCCTCAAGCAAAAAGAGGAAAATTGGCAACAGATGTTAGCTCAGGGACAAGCTTCCTCACACACACACAAAAATGGTATGGGAAAAAATTTTTTTAGATATAGGGGAAAGGGTATACAAGGAGCTTCCAAAAACTAAAATGGGATGGGCCACCTTGAGAAATAGTTCTCCTTCCTTGGTGTTAAAAGCCAGGGCTGTGAGATCAACTGTCAGGTGCACTGTAGAGAGGATCATGGTAAGACATCTGACTCAGTGGCATCAGGATTCATCCATTCATTCCACAATTACTTATTGAGCCTGCACTATGTGCCAGGCACCTTCCTAGGAAGGGGAGTATCACAGTGAACAAAACAGGAAATTCTCTGCCTTCCTGCAGCTTACATTCTAGTGGTGGGGGTGCGGGGGGAAGGATAGACAAGAAACAGAATAAATAAGTAAAATTATAATGTAGTGGCAATAAGAGATATGGAGAAAAATTAAGTAGGGGAAGGCACAGGGAGTGGGGCCTGAATTGGCAATTTTAAACAGAGTGGTCAGAGAAGGTGGCGTTGGGCAATGAAAGAGGCCAGGGCATGAGCCGTGTGGATATCTGGGATGTCTGGTACCCCTCAGATCACAGCACGCTACTACCTATGCCTAACTGAAGGTTGACCAGCTTACCGTGGGAGCCTCCTGTTATCTGAGAGGCGCTAACCTGGACAGAGAGCGCAAGGGTGGCATCGGGGTGTGAGGGTGCAGGACTTTCTTCTACATTGTACACTTTGATCCACAGGTGTTTTCAGAGTCTGGCAAGACAGGGAAGCTGGAAGGCAAAGAAGAGAACAACGAGCTTACGTCAGCTGACTCCCCTCAGGTACTAAAATCCAAGTCATCACCATTGTTACGCCCTCAGTCTTGATTCACATGAGGTGCTGGAGGGCCTAACAGAGCACCATGTAGCCCTCTCGCTTGGCTCTTCCTAGTCTGCGGTAGCTATGCAGATTGAGAGAGACGCAGGGCATGTGGGTAGTGAATAAGCAAGAGTTAAGGTGGGATTTTGAGGAGGGAAAGTGTAGCCACTTCTCACTTTTCTGCACTGAAAAAAGCAACTCAATGGTGTGGAAAATCCAAAATTAATTTAAAATTGACTTTGTAATATATTATATGATTTTAGCATGGAGACAGCGACAGAGTGATCTTCTGTTTGACTCTGGGGAATAGTAACATAGGTTTGCATCCTTGGGGTCATCTTACTGAAGGGGAGATTTTGGGGACCAAGATGCTGTCTGACTATTTTGAGGAACAGGCTATTAACTCTCTCCTCCTTGGGAAACAGATACAGGACACAACCTCCTTTCCCCTGAATACCTCCTTATATTTGAGATTTATAGTGCTTCCTTACTCCTATCCTCTCTTGTGGGATTGCTTTTGGTCATTGGCTAAGGAGGTGTATTTTTCCTATGGAATTAAGCAACGAGAACATCCTAGACCCTAGCCTACCAGGGTCATCAGTCCTCTGAAGCCTATGTTCTACAAGATCTGTTCATTCCCTTGCAAATGCATCATAAATCATAGTTTTTCTCAAGCAGAATTATGGACATATCACATATAAAAATGGGTAAATAAAATGTTAACCGCTGGGGCTGGCCTGGTGGCACAGCAGTTAAGTTTGCACATTCTGCTTTGGTGGCCTGGGGTTCCCTGGTTCGGATCCCAGGTGCGGACATACACACCGTTTGGCAAGCCATGCTGTGGCAGGCGTCCCACATATAAAGTAGAGGAAGATGGGCATGGATATTAGCTCAGAGCCAGTCTTCCTCAGCAATAAAGAGGAAGATTGGCAGCAGACGTTAGCTCAGGGCTAATCTTCCTAAAAAAAAGGGTAACCACAAGAAAATCTGTTCTTGCTCAGCCTTTGAATCACCTGACAGAGAATGAAGGTTTGAGAACCTTCTGGGAGGTAGTACTATCTTTGAGGAAATTCATGGCCTGGAATTGCAGGAGGGAGTAAGAAGAAGGAAAATTTCCTTAAAGGAGAAATGTAGAATTTCAAGTGGCTGTCATACTATTTGAAATTGGTTCTACTTTAAAAGGGTGAATTTTATAGTATGTGAATTAAATTTCAATTTTAAAAAATTTTAAAAAATAGGGGCCAGCCCCATGGCCGAGTGGTTAAGTTCACGCGCTCTGCTTCAGTGGCCCAGGGTTTCACCGGTTCAGATCCTGGGCACAGACATGGCATCGCTCATCAAGCCATGCTGAGGCGGCGTCCCATATGCCACAACTAGAAGGACTCACAATTAAAAATACACAACTGTGTACCAGGGGGCTTTGGGAAGAAAAAGGAAACATAAAATCTTTAAAAAAAAAATAAATTCACTCTAAACCTTCGAGTGCCAAGGTCTTCTCCTGGGTTAGCAGTTCCTAGACAGGGCTTCCCACACCTTGGGTTCCCATCTTGAACCTAGAACTTTTCCCAAAGAAACCATTACGCCACTTGCCTCTCCTAACTGCTGTGGGTTAGGATCATCTAAGTGTGAGAGCTGCAGTGTGTTCTTGAGGAGGGTTAGTGTAAAAGTGGTAGGTAGTGGTTTTATGACCTCTGTCATACCCTCACAGACTCCCACATAGATATACGTACAGATGCATGTCACACAAATCACACAGTGTCTGATCATGGACACAGCTGTGGAGTCCAAAGACCTCATTTCCTGTCCCAGCAAGTCATTTTTCCCTTTGAATCTTGGTTTCTTAATCTGTCAAAGAGAATGACAAGTAAAGCCTTCCCTGATGCCTTCAGGCTATAGTGCAACTACATCGGATGTTTGCCCTTGGTGTTGTCTGTGACCCTTGTAAAGTGTCAGGCGCAGAAGCCCCTTTGAGCTGAGAGGCTGTGGGGGTTGAGCCACCTCTTACTGGCAGAACTCTTCTTTTTGTAGAGCCAAGATCTTCAGCTTCATGTGTCTGCAGTTCCAGAAGAGAGCAACACCATAGCACCTGAGCCTCAAGAAGAGGTAAGGAGGCCGGACACACAGAACAGGATGGGTGGTAAGATTGGGCATTGGGGGTGGAGAGAGGTTTGTTACAGGCTAGGATCCTTACCGTGGGCTACAAGGGGAACCCAGCAGTGCTCTACCCTTAGGGCAAAGCGAAGCAGGTGGGAGCCAGAGGAACCAAGGGTAAACTAGGACTTTGTGGGGGTTTTGTGCTCATTTACCAACACTTGGCCTTGAACCTCTTGACCTCTCACCATAGCCCTATCTCCTAAGTATTTATTTAGTTATATCTGGACTTATTTGTTTCAAAAAGGAGTTAAGATATACAAAAGGCATACAAAAAGGTAAATACATATATATACACACACACACAAAATAGAGCAAAATAACTCAGAAGTATATTAGTGACAGTGACGTAAAGTGGAGCCATGAATTAGGCAAGTACAAAAATGTATTCTATAAAGTAAACTTACTAAGGGCGGACCACAAAATTGGTTTCAGACTTTGTAATATCCAAGAAGAGGAAAAGCTGATCAGTTCACCCAATTCATGATGCCCATTCCTTAAGAGAACAACAACTCCTGCTACTAAGATGGAAATGAAATTTCTCCTGTGAATCCTCATAAAGAGATGGTGAATGATGTAACGAACAGTACCTGCAGCAAGTCTTTGCAATAATCGCAAACACCAGTTTCACATCGCCTCCCTCAGTAGAGGCTGGTGGATACATGAAATATAACTCGATAGAAGCAAACTGAGTTTCTACCCTCGTTGAGTGGTTAGTGGGAGGGCAGGTCAGCATCTAAGGCAATCATGTTTATTTTCCAGGTATCTACAATGCAAAATACACACCTCTGAAGAAGAACTGCCAAGACCTCCCCACACACACCTCCCCAGAGTAGCTCATTGGCTAGAGGGTGTATAGGTCAGAGGGACTGAAGATCCAGCATTCACTTCTAGGTTCCCAAACAATCTGAATGCTAGTGGTCCCTAACGACCTGGCATTAATGGAGGCTGAGGAGCAGACTTGGGGGGAGAGGGACGCAGGCTTGGGACAAGACACCGTTAGACTCAGGGAATATTTAATGCAGGTTTTAGTATTGTTAGAATAGTAAGACTTTATATATTAATTAAAGTGGGGCTAAAATGGCTATAAAAAGCAAAAGCATCTGTAGACACAGACAATTGTCCACACAGAGACACACACCACACATAACTCAGAGAATAGTGAACAAATCTTTGACTTACCACTCATTTTGCAAGACTTAAAGAACAGATTTTCAGATTGTTGAATAAACTGTTATTCTACGTGTGGATTCTTTGTTTGACACGGGGAATTGTTCCAGCCCAGCACACTGTTCTCCACTGAGGCAAGGTTATTGATTCTACCTGAGGTTCAGAAAGTGTTAGTCACATCCCTGACCCCTAGACCACCCTACCTCCTGGCTTAACTCTCAGATGATGCCAGGGGCTTCTCTCCTCAATCGAGATGCTTTACCGCATGTCCCCCATCTCGTTGGTTAATAAGCAAATACCCCTAGAAAGAGCTTACATTTTAGAGCTGTATCTAGTGTTTACAATCTGGTTTACAATCTGGTGTAAATAAGGATCTGAGCAGGATGGAAGAAATGGAACTCCAAGGGAAGGGAAAGCATACAAAGTATGATAATATAATAGAAATGGCATGGAATTTGGAGTCAGAAGTCCTGGATTCAAGGCCTATCATTTGCTTCTGTGAAAACATTAAAACCTAACTTTAAAATCCTATCATCCTGATAAACACACATCACATGCAAACGGTCATCCACCTTTGCGTTTATTTCTAGGGGTGATGGACAGTGTCAGCATTCATTCGGTCATTCGACAAGCACTTACCGAGTGCCTGCTCTGTGCCACGCAGAGAGATATATGAGAAACAGAGAAATAATGATGAGGGAAAAAAGTAAGAACTTTATGGAGACAGAATATTGAGCAGGGAACAGAATGGGCAGGATTTAGCAGTGGCTTAGAAGACATGATGAACACTGAAGTTTTCAGGAATTATTCTAGGTTAGGCTTCAGAGACTGGAATTTGGTGGTGCCATTCCCTGAAATTGTGACTACAGGAGGAAGTGCATCATGTGGGTTCTTTGGTTGCAAGCAACAAACTGACACAATTAAGCAATAAAGGATATGCTGAAGGCTATTAGGCAGCTCATAGAATGGAAAGAACAGCCAAGCTGCAGAAAGGACAAGAATCAGCCCACAGAGGTCTGTAGCAGGAATGTATGGACTGCCCCTCTAGGCAGTTGTCATTGCAAGACTCAGCTCCAGCCACCCGCTGCTCTCCAGATCCAGATTCCCTGGAGAAGGAATCTAGCCCAGTTTGGGGGGGGGGGGGCATGTTAGTGTCTACAATGACGGGAAGACCAGTGGGGGTGGTGGGAAGGAGAGTGGATTACAAAGAATCAGGAGGAAACTTGAGGTGCTGGAAATATTCATGGTTTTGATTGTGGTAATAGTTTAATGGGGATGTATGCATGTGTCAAACTGGTCAAATTGTACACTTGATGTGCAGTTTCCTGCGCGTCCCATAGAAACATTGGACATGGAGTTTGAGAACTTGTAGGACTTTCCAGTAGATGTGTCTGTTAGGGAAGTAACATGTTTGTATTTAGGAGTCATTTTTCTCAGATCTGATCCTGTTAACTCTTTTATTTGAAAACCTTCAAAGGATCTCCACTGCTGTAATGGAGAGGAGGTTGCATGCCCCCCTGGCTATTTTAATACTTCTTCTCGAACGCAGCCCACTCCCTTGGCACTCACAATCACTGCTGGGAGTGATGATCCGGGGCTATTGGAAGGTGAGGGAAATGCTGGGACTACAGGCCTCTTGCTGCCCAAGGCCCTCCATGACCTACTTGGAATGCTCCTCCCACATTCATCTGGCAAAACCCGGTTCAGGCCTTTTTCCTGCAGGGCTTTCCCCGACCCTCATCTCCTAGGAAACATCCTCTTCGAGGAGGGCGACAAGCACCCAACAGGCAAAACTGAAGTGGAAAAATTTACTAAATTGAGGGGTTGATACTTTATTTGCATATGGCTCTACTGGAGGCTCTAGGAAGGCAGGGGAAAGGGCCAGTATGCTGGGCATGAGTAATAATTTTGCTTACCTATGGTAGGCAGTCCCAGCTAGGAACCAACCTGTTTCTCCTGATTTACAAAATGGTAAGGTTGGCCAGGGGAAAGGCTAGGACTTAGAAGACTGCCATCTTGGCAGTGACACAAGAAGGGGCTGATAGCCAGTATAACTGGGTGAAGATGAATATTTCTTACCCCTGTCCAGGACTCCTGGAGGTATGTTGACAAAAGGATAGCTGCTCCAGTTTCTGAGCTTCAGCATTCAATCCTTGGAGAACACTGGTAGCTCACCACCATATGAGCTTCATTCATCATCTGTTTTTTGTGTGCCCTCGAGTCAATTCCGACTCCTAGCGACCCTGTGTACAGCAGAGTGGAAGCCTGCCTGGTCTTTTTTGCACCATCCTCTCACTTCTGACGCTATATCAGATAACGCCCCACTGCTATTCACAGGGTTTTCATGGCCAATTTTTCGGAAGTGAGTGGCCAGGTCCTTCTTCCTAGTCTGTCTTAGTCTAGAAGCTTCACTAAAACCTGTCCATCATGGGTGACCCTGCTCGTATTGCTTTCAGCATCACAGCAACACGAAGCTGCCACAGTACCACAACTCAGATGGGCAGTGTGGTTCCCTGACCGGGAAACGAACCCCGAGTGGAGAATGCCAAATCTTAACCACTAGACCACCAGGGCTGGCAGCAAGATGAATATAAGTTAATAAAAAGGTCAGCCTAGCCAGTCCTCAGATAAAAGAATATCCAAGAGATATGGAAATTCAAATTCTAAGGGTTAAATTCTAAAAGTGGACAATTGCTTGCATTTACTGACAAGCTGACCAAGAATTCCAGAAAAGGCTGAGATTTTTCTTGTATCCTGGTCGATCTCTCCCAGAGCTTATTCCATTAGGCATTGAAGACGGTTAGACCCACCGACTCTCAGAGACCATCCAGCCCAGCTGACTGCTGATTTGCTGTTACTTTTTCACAATTTAATTTGATAGTTAATAGTCTCTCACAAGCATCTTGTTTTTCCTTTAAAATGTAAGGTTTGCTAGCACATGATTTTATCCCTATAGGCACATACTATTCATTTTAAAATAGTAAACATGCAGAAAAATAGGCTCCAATATGCACATGCTCGGCACCAAATTTAGCGTAAAATAAGCAATACTGTAAACAGTGTATGTACTCTGCTCTTTGATGTATCCCACATATTCTGAATGTTTCTGGTGTTCTCTGAACATCTTACCTGGTCTGTCAGTATTGTCCTTCACATTTCTGGAAGGCAGGGACTAGGTGATGTTCTTGCCATTAATTGTCCATAGAGATGGATACACATAGATGAGCCAGCCCTGGTCTAGTACTTAGAATTCGGGGCTCTCATCGCCATGGCCCGGGTTCATTTCCTGTCGGGGAACCACACCCCTCATCTGTCGGTTGTCATACTGTGGTGGCTGCAGGTTGCTGTGATGCTGAAAGCTCTGCCACCGCTATCTCAAATACCAGGAGAGTCATGGTGGACAGGCTTTAGCAGAGCTTCTAGAGTAGACAGACGAGGAAGAAGGACCTGGACACCCCTTCCCAAAAAATTGGGCATGAAAATCTGTGAAAAGCAGCAGAGCATTGTCTGAAGTGCTGGAAGGTGAGAGGATGTCGCAAAAAGAGCAGGCAGAGTTCAGCTCTGATGTACAGAGGGGCAGTAGGAGTCAACTGTCGGCACTAACAACCGATACGTCTTGGCTACATGTCCTTTCCTTTGCCTTTCTTGGTTGGATTCGCAGTTTCCAACACATGGGCTTTCTTTTTCCTTACTGATAACTGCTATGCCTTTAAAAATATATTTAAATAAAACGAATTTCATCAAATTCTTCTGTTTTTTTATTTCCTCTGTTTTTTACCAACCAAATAACATCTTTAGGAATGAAAGCCTTGCTTGTTTTGTCTTTTTTTCTCACACATGCCTCTATCCTCTGAGACTTTCTCTTTCATTCTTTGTTCCTCCCAAATGAACATGCATAAAACCTGTCCCTCTATCGATCTATATAAATATTGGTTCCAAACTTAAAGAACTCCTCACAGGACTAAGAAGTAAGCCCAGAAGCCTGTACCACTGGGATGGGAGGCAGAATAACCACAAGAGTTCTAACCCTAAGAAGAATTCAAGATAAGGATAGGTAGCATTTATTGAGCACTTACCGTGTGCCAGGTAAGGTTCTAATGCTTCAGATGTATTAACTCATTCCCACCCCCACAGTAACTCTGACACAGGTGTTGCCCCAGAGGAATGAAACCAGTGATTTGTCCAAGGTCAACAGCAGAGCAATTCCAGAGCCCACGTTATACTATTACATCCTTAGTCATTGAGTTCCTCATTAGTTTGGGAACATTACCTGCCACCAAGAAGCAAGTCAAGAGATGGCTATAGTATGGCATTGATTAATAGTTAAATTGAGGCACTCACCAAGTGCTAGAATTGTGGCTATGAAATGGCTGCGCAGGCATTGTTACTTTCAGTGCCCCATTCAGGGATGAGGGCAGAGACTTAGAGACGTTAAATATTTTTCCCAAAGTCACTCATTTAACAAGCCACGGAGGTGGGACTGTTTGACTCCAAAGTCCACGACGCCCTTAACCTCTGCTCCACACTGTCCCAGATGCATGTGGGTCAGGGAAGATCTGGGTGGGGAAACTCTCCCATCCCCACCTCCTCTCCCTGCCTCCCGGCCGGACAGTGCCCACAAAGTCAGCTTACGTCCCGAACTTCTGGACACAGACCTATTGACGTAAAAGAGAGGCAAACGCAAGGAAATGTAACTTCCCGCATTTGCTGAAAGTTCACAGAACGTCAGTCGCGGGGAGAGCGAACCGATCCCAGTCAGCCCCGGGTTCAGATCCCCTGCCCTGTGGAGCCTCGGGGCGAGGGAGGAAGCGGCTCCGGATGGAGAGTAGAGTGACAATCGCAGAAGGAAAGGCAGCTCTTCCTCCCGGGGGAGCAGAGGCGGCCCGGCGGCAGAGGGAACCTGCAGAGGGCGGTTTCTCTCCTCTTTTCCTGTCCCACCCAGTCGGCCGGCCCCCAACCCCCACGCCCGGCCGGCCTCTGCCAGCTGCGCTCGTCTCCGCGGCGTCCTGGGCTCGGCGTCCCTCCGAGGGTCCCCGCGAGGCGCCCCCGCGCCCGTCCCCGGCGAGCTCCGGAGCGGCGC